GATACGCTCCCGCATGTTCTGGGTAGCTGTTGGGGAGATGAGGAGGGCTGCCAAGAGGGCTTCTGAGAGGACCATACTGTGATGGGTCCCGGTACGAAGGACCCGAGTCTCCTCCCATAGGCTGCGGTGCCCGTGTTCGCGGAACTGGCCCATTGCTAGCGTACCGTGGCCCGACATCACCACCAGAGCTTGAGTGGGGAATGGTATAGGGTGGGCTCCGCATGTTCCCTGGTGGGCTCCGCATAGAGGGTGGTGGGCTTCTGAACTGGTTTGGTGTCATGGAACCGCCGCGAGGCAGGTACGGAGGATGCCCTTGAGGAGACGAAGGATTTCTCATGTTGGGATAGTCTCTGGGACTCCGCGGAAGCTGTTGCATAGACTTGGTGCTGCGCAGCGCCTTGGGCGGGTTGCCGTAGGGAATTCGGCCCTGCTGGAGATCAAAATCGCTGCCAATTCGGCGCGGACCGTCGCGGCCGGCTGATGCAGGTCGAGTGGGCGGCCTGGGCATGCTAGATGACGACAATTGCCTGTCGAAACGGCCCATAGCGTACGGGCTGCTGTCGTTGCTGTTGCTGTAATACCGGTCGCGCGAGTCCAGGCCGTTGGTATAATGGCCCTGTGAGGATTGGCTGCGAGGTCCGTAGCCTGGCGAGTAGGGCTGCTGCTGGCGCCGAGTATCATAGTTGCTTTCAGTCCTGTAGCGTTGGTCATACCGAGGATCTTGGCGGGGGTCGTAACGGGGATCGTGCCGAGGGTCGTATGGGCGGTCGTTCTGATGCGTGCGCTGGGAGGGAGGGAACTGGTGAGGATGGTTTGGCCGCTGGTCGTATATATGGTGATGTTGTTGGTAATAAGGCGCGGACTGCGGGTGCTGCGGACCATTGTGCCGCGGCGGAAGGCGGCTTCCACCAGGGCTTTGCTGTTCCCCTGTCCATGACTTTTCTAGCTGGTCGATTTGCGCACCCCAGCTGCGCCGCTTGGGCACTTCAATGGCAAGATCCCTCTGCATAGCAGCATCTTTGGCCTTGCGTACGCGGGCTTCTTGGTAGCCAGGCCCGGTGGGTGTCACATCGCGGGAACGTGTGCTCAGCGGTGGCGGCACAAGGATGTCCGACTGTGGCGGAGTAGCGCGATTGGCAGCCTCGTTGATTGCTAACTGCGCTTCGTCGCCAAAGCTAGTGGATTGGTTGAGCATACCACCACTGGCCATGCCATCGGTAGATGACTTTTTGCTGCTTTGCAGAGGCCACACGGGCTCTGGTGACATGGAAGGTGGGGATTGGTTTGATACAGTGGAGGGCGGCGAGGCAGCTCTCCGTTCGTCATTTGAGGAGCCTTGGACTGACGATTCTGTCGCATCCGTATCCGTGGGTGCTGAGGATGAGGTGGACATGTTGTTATCGCTCAGGCTCTGTGAATTGTGCAAGCCTGACCGTGTTGGCGAGTTAGTGCCAGACCGCACGTCGGTGGATGCGGCCGCATTGGAAGGGCCTGCAGCTGCCCTTCCCTGTGGTGTTTGCGGCCGGTTGCCAGCTGCCGGGCCGAACTGAGCACTGAATGAGTGGCTGTGCGCCCACGGTTTCGAGCCCGGACCATGGGATGTGCTTGGCCGGACGTCGCTGTCGAGAGGCAATCGACTTGAGCTGAAAAAGCCATCATCGTTTCCACTGCTCTCGGGGCCACTCATACCAGAAAAGCTGCCGGTCCGCTGCTGAGGCGCGCCGTTGCCCGAAGTCCAGGGGCGAGACGGTGCGTGAAATGCGCCGCCACTCAGCTTTTTGGAGAAAATTCCGTGCGCGCCAGTCGGTGAATTCTGCTGTGAGTCGGGGCGAGACAACGGCGTGGCCGCGCGCTCAGGGAAAAATTCGGTGCCCGCATAGATTTGGGTCGTGGTGCCTTTGCCTCTCATATACGGGTCGTCACCGAGGAAGGCTTGGTTGAATATGTCCTTTTCTACCTCGACATCTTCTTCCTTGGCTTTTCCCTTCCTGTAAGAGTTGTGAGTGGTCAGTAAATGTATGATGCCTTCGACGAGTATATCCGGGACAGACCGCGATGGACTCACTTCTTCTTGTCAGACGCGCGCTTGAATGAAAAGATGCCCATATTTGCTGTTGAACGTGCTAATTTCTCGGGATTGACCTCTATTCAAATGTCGATTCCTGAAGATATGACCAAAATGTCCGGAAACTGGAAACGAAATCGAAAAGTAGCGCGGTATAAACGAGCTGTATTTTGGTGTCAAATCGGCCCACCGTGCCTGTTTACAGCTGATTTGGTATATCGTCGAAGCCGTAAAAGCAGATACAACGGTGGTTCCAGTATGTTGCAGGGAAGGTAGAACGTGACAAAGGCGATGCCGGAGGCAGTCCAAACATCATGTACTCGAGTGTATACGCCTGTAAAAGGTGGATCGAATATGAGTGTTTCGAGAAAAACAAGGGCGAGAATGAGTTTTGATGGTGTCAGGTGTGGAAGAATGAAAAAGAAAACGCGAAGAGATTAAGAGCATTACCAACGCACAACCGAAGCAAAGAAAACCGGACACATGCTTTTGGAAGAAAATAACACAATACATCTGCCCGTCCCCGTAAAATCAACTACATCGGACCCAGGCGGAGCGTTAGTGGAAGAAGAAAAAAAATAAGAACGCGCAAAGGGGGAGGGGAAGAAGGGGGGTCAGCATCAGTGATCGACACGAAGCCAGGGACAGGAACTGGTTTGCGGCGGCGCGTTAAGAACATTGACAAGGGAGACAGGCGCAGGCACAGAGCGACAAAAGGAAGCAAAAAAAGTAGGCAGGAGGAACCAAAGACACCATGCTCTAAGACATAGATTCTCCACTCTTTCGGCCAGGAATGTGATGCCTGGACCACAAGCCGAAAGAAAAAAGCAGGAACTGGAGAGACGGACGCCCGTAGGTCGATCGAGACGATCAGAGGGTCCCATTTTAGCGTGAGGCCGGGAAGTCGAAAGGAATAGCAGAGGTCCTCAGAGCCAAGCAGGCAAAAGGACTACGGAAGTATAGGACGCGTCGTAGTTGGCAGCAGCGGACAGGGGACGGTACTTCCCTCGCCCAGATCGATTCTAGCTGTCGTTTTTGAGTTTTGCCTATGGCAGCTCCCGAGCCAAGGGAGAACTGTGATCGGGTGGCTGGTGTGACTGGGAAATGGAACAGCGGTTTGTCCCAACTGGTGTCTTCAATGAGCAACTCGAGCAGCGTGAGTGTTCGAGAGAGAAAGACAGGTCCTGGAGACACCACGTTAAGACGGGGTCCGGAGGACCTGTGGCTGCTCTGACGTGTGTCATTTCGGCCTGTACCCCGTCTACTTTCGGACATAGATGAAGAAAATGTAAGATCCGGCCCTTGGTTGATGATGCACGACGCATGTAGTGAGATGACTTGCAAATGCCAGACAAAGTCTACACGGGTGAGTACGAATGCCGTTGGAGTCGTTTGCTTTATGGCTATTTGTATTTTTTTGTTTCGTCGCGTCTTTTCCCTTCATATCTCTTCGACACATTTAAGTGCAGATGTCCCATCGGTCGAATGGGCCAGACCTAGCGCACTGCCGGTTCTTTCAGGCTTTCTGACCCTACCAGCCTGCCAGCCTGCCAGCCTGCCTGGTCTAAACTCGTCTGAAATCGCTGATGCTAGTCTGGCCTTGGCCATTTTTGGGAGCGTCTCTGCAATGTGCACGCAAATGTGTGAAGTCTGAAGTGTTAATCAGTACCATTTCTGCGACCTGGATTCTGGATTGGGAATCTTGAAGGCAGACCCGGTTCACTAGGAGCCTCGACCCATATCTCTGTTCTTTGTCAGTCAAGACGCCGGCCGTGGGCTATTCATCCACAAGCATCACAATGATCTACGCTGGCCTTGGTTGGCCCACGATAGATTGCGCTGGCGTACTCTAGGATCGCTGAAATCGAAGCCATCGGCAAGTAGGACAAGTAAAGCAAAGAAACATATGGAACAAACCGAAAAAGCATGGCTTAAGAGCAAATACCCACCTGGACGAGCCCTAACCCGGAAGCCATGAACATGTCTCCGAGACCACACACACCCTTGTTCAACAAAATTTGCCGCCAGTAGCCTGCAAGGTGAATGGCTGGCCCCTGTCCCAGCGTTGCCTTAGCCAGGGGTTGAAAAGGCGAAAACAAGCAGACGGAAGTCGAGCGGACTAAGGACAGGGAACTAAAAATCTGTGCGATGCCGTCACTGGGTTGTATTAGCACCTGTCAAGTGTATTTTTGGACCGAGGACCCTGGTCTGGCCTACCTGGTATTAATGCGGTCGCCCAACTTTTCGTGTGGTCTGTGTTCTTCCACATGCAGCGAGTGGCACCTTTGTCGGACGACATGCGTTGAAGCAAGGAGACGAGACAAACTTTGTTGAAGCAATTTTGGTGGCAGCAGCTGAAGGCCTACATTAACTCGAAACTCGAAAGTAGTCCCTTGCATCGATTTCGTCGTTCGTCGAAGGAGAAGGTTAAATACTGTTGGTGATGATGCTAGACTGACGGTTTCCAATGCCTGCAACGCCAAATTTTATCTGTCTTTTTCTGCAAAGTTCTTCGACTTGGTCGCAGAGATATGCACTGTGCCGAAAAGGGGCACGACGCAGGAAGATGGAGAAGGCGAACGAAGCGACGAGGCAAAGAATCACTAAGAAAAGGGGTCACGATGCGGTTGGTGCGAGGTTGCTACGATATCACTCCTTGCTGCGCCAGAGAGGGCAGGAGCAAGGAGGACCTGTTGTGTTCAGGTGCAAGCCACATACAGAGAAAGAAGGAGCATTGAGTGTGTTTTGGCAGAGATAAGGGAAGCCGCGGGAAAAGGCAACAGCGATGCTGTGCTCGATGTTGCACGCCGTAGCTCCTTCCTACTGCATGTTTCAAATCGACATTTGCATGGTTTTGCTTCCCCTTTGACGAGTGTTTTTTCTCGCGGTCGATTCGCGGTCGCAACTTCCCTATCTCGGGTGTGGCTCGTTTGCATTATTTTGCAGATGCGAGCAGGCACAACCCACACACACCTGCGCCTGAGCACAATCTGTCGCGTTTTCGAGAGGGAGTCCACGCGCCTTCCGTTTCGGTTCCGTCCGTCTGCTCTTGCTGGAGAGGACGGGTGCCTCTTTCCCCAGTCGCGTCTCTTTCGTGTTGGACTCCCGTCTCCTCCGCAATGCTGACAGCTCCCCTCTCCCCCACTAATGTATCCTCCACGCCTTCATCCGCTGCGTCGTTTTCTTCGTCGACGAAAGTTGCGCGTCGTGTCGTAATTTCCGCCGTGTCTAGCTTCGAAACAACCCAAAAGCCTTTCCCGTCCATGCCGATGAGCAAACGCGATGTCCAATGGATGGGTGGTATTTTCACGCGATTTAGCGTTGCGTGAGCTGAAGAACGGGCCTTTTCTTGATTGGGCAAGGAGCAGCTCCAGCAATCAGTCTTGAAAGTCCCGCCAGCACGCATAGTGCAATATGGCCAGAGATACCGATAAATTAATCCTTTATTGCGATTTCCGTATGTACACCTCTATTGTCTAGTATTTTCAGTCCGACCACCAACATGTGGCACGCCATGTCTTACATGATCTCACATCTTTGATATTGCATATTACACAACCTCGGGTTCCGACGCGGACGACGCTGTGCTCTCATCCGGCTGTCGCCGGGCCTCTGTCTCGGCCGCCACGTCTGTTTCTTTCTGGAGCATCGGTAGCGGGATGCGGAAGACGACCACGACGAACGTGCCCACGAAGCACACGCCTGCCGCAATGATGAACGGCAAGCCCGCCCAGGGACCGCCGAGTACGACGCCGCGCTGCAGGGCGCCAAACAGGACGGGCGCGGTGACCATGACGCCGCTGTACTCGAGCAGGCCCAGCAAGGTGTTGAGCATGGCCAAGTGGTGCGGCTCGACAAAGGCGTTCAGCAGGCTGCGCATGGCCGGCGAGTAGCCGCCACCCAGCGAAAAGACGACGAGGGCCACGGACAGCAGCCAGGGCGTGACGGCAAAGGCAATGAGGAGCGCGCCGAACACAATCAAGGTACCCGACACACGGGCAATCCAGAGGTCCTTGCGGAGAGAGGAGCCGTCGATGCCAAAGAGGGACCCGCTCTTGAGCAGCACGGTGCTCGCCAGCGGGAGGAGGACGAGGCAGAGCACGAGGTTGGTAGTGGTGCCGATGGTCAGCAAGAAGGCGGCCTGGCTCCAGGACCAGGCGTATCGCTCGGTGGCGTACTGGAGCAACAGGGTCTGCGCAAAACGGGCGACGGTGGACGAGACAAAGGGGACCACGAGCAACAGGAGCGGGCGGTTGCGGAGCATGAAAAGCGAGGTGGCGCGAGCGTCCGTGCGCAGCAGGTGCAGGAATCTCTGCCAGGCAGAGCCAATTTTGCTCCTCTTCGGCGGGGGTGATATCGTGACAGCGGACGGCGGCGGGTCGTCATCGGCGTATGTGTCCGAGTCCGAGGCGGCAAGTCCTGACGCCGTCTCCGCAGAACCAACTGCCGCTGCCTTGCCAGCCGTCGGGTCAAAGTGGAGCGTCTCGGGGAGCAGCAACAGCACCAGGCCGCTCACAAGCAAGGCCACGAGAGCTACCATCAGCGGCATCCAGTGGCCACCCCACAGCAGCAGCGTGCCACTCAAGGGGTTGCCAATGAGTTCGGCCACCAGGAATACGGCCGTCAGCCGGAAGTAGCGGTTGGCACGCTCGGCCTGCGGCGTGACATCGGCCAGCACCGTGAACGCCATGGCGGGGCCAACGGCCTGGAAGCAGCCGACAGACTCAAACAGCAGCGAGAACCGGAGCGTCCAGAGCGGAAAGACACTCGTAAAGTAAAACACGGTCAGGTACCACCCAAACTGCAAGGTGAGCCCGGACCAGGCCAGCAGCAGAACGGGTTTGCGGCCCAGGTTGTCGGCCAAGATGCCGTAGGGCAGCGAGAAGAGAATGTTGGGGATGCACTCGAGCGCGGTCTGCCAGCCGAGCACTTGCGACAGACGGCCCTGTATATCGGGGGCTTTGCAGCGGGGATCTGTGGCCCTGCCGGAGCCGCCGGGGCCGACGACCAATGTGTCGCCGAAGCGCTGGCGGCAGATAATGGCCTCGATCATGCTGCTGATGGCTGGAATGGCGGTGCCAGCGCCGAGTTGGACAATGAAAATAAAGACAAAGTCAACGAGGACGACCCGTTCGGCTATTGTCAAGCGGACGACACGGTGGGCGAGCCTTTGTAAGCATGCCGCGGGAGAGGATGATGCTGTCTGGTGTGATGGTGCTGCTGCTGCGTCCGCCGGCGGGACACGTCTGGAGCCAGCCCCAAGCAGAGGCATCTGCTCGTCGACTGTATGGTCGGCCATGGCTGCCGTGTGTCGACGCAAGGCACCGAATGTGTCAATGCGAAAGTAGCAATTGCCGTAGATGGACGTGCATGCAGGACACAGAGAACATGAGGAGAGGCCGTAGAGTTAAATACTCTCGATATTTTCGCGGTCATATCGCGAATACGACCCTTTGGTTTTGCAGTCGATCCAGTCGTCAAGTTCACTTCCACTGTACGCCGTAACAGGCCTCGCAACCGCTCTTATCTCGTCCTCTTCTCGTCCCTTATTCGTGGCGGAAATACGAAATGCGATGCTTGATGTGGTTGAATACTGGCGGCTGGACCGCTTGCATGTCAGCCTGAGGTGACACTGTTGCAGTCACGTCAGTCTTACATTGGTCGACGGAAGAGGTCGTTTCTTATGTGCGACGATTGCGTGGCATGGCTTCGCTAGATTGCATGGAAAGTAAGACAGTGATGAAATAATAGAAAATTCCGAGTGAAATAGATTCGACGGATAAGAATCGAGGAAAAAACGATCGAAACTTTGTTTGAATTCTTGCCCTTTCAAATACTCCTTTTTTTGAGGGGCTCTTCGACCGCGCTGAAGGCGCAAAAGATCGTACTCCGTGCACTGGCCGTCAGCATGAGCCGTCAGCCGTAGCGGTCTGACATCAACCTTCCCAATTCGGACCTTCCGATCTGAATTGCTATTTTGTGCATTTCATCGCCTTCTTTTTGCTGTGGCCATCCCACAACCGTCGGCATCCAGACCCACTGGATTGAGTCCTGGCCCAGGCTTTGCCGCGTACGCAGCAAGGTACGTGCGACGCTCCCTTCACAAGCGCTGACACACTTCAGGGGTACCCAACAATCATATCCAAGTATACATCATAAGTACAATCACAAAGCCATTCCAAGGCCACCCAAATGCCCAATCTACCGCGAGTCGTGTCGCGTGAGCCATTGGTAGGCATTGCCTTGTCTTTTCATATGCGATTCTTATCGTCTTCTCCGTGGAGGATATGGGGATACGCAAACCGCACGAACGTGAGCTGACGATTGGTGCAGCCACACGACGAGGCAAAGTGGACCAAGCTGGTCAAGTACGGTCTCTCTTGCGTCATGGATATCCACAGCGCGGTCGTCCACTAACATGAGGACAACAGGGTCACGTATGAGGACGCCGACGGCAAGTCACGCATCTGGGAATCTGCCGAACGCACCACATGGCCCCCAGCGACAGCAGAGAACCCAGATGTCGTCGATGGCGTCGACATTGTAGCCATCATTCGGGGCACCCCGGGCGCACCTGATCCCCGCATCGTTCTCATTAAACAATTCCGCCCAGCCGTCGGCTGCACCGTCATTGAGCTCCCGGCCGGCCTCGTCGACGCCGGCGAGTCGGTCGACGAGGCCGCCGTCCGTGAGCTGCGTGAGGAGACGGGCTACGTGGGCCGTGTCAGCGCCGACACGGAGGCCTCACTCTCGCCGTCGCTGACGCTGTATGCCGACCCGGGCTTTGGCAACAACAACTTGCAGATTGTCTATGTAGACGTTGACGGCGCCGACGCGCACAACCGGGATGGAAACCGCCGGCCGCAGCTCGAAGAGGGCGAGCTGGTCCAGGCGGTCTTCCCCGTGCCGCTGACCGACCTTTTCGTGACGTGCCGGCGCCTGGCGAACGAAGGGTATGCCATTGACGCTCGCGTGGGAACACTCGCCGAGGGCATGGAGATGGCCAGGCGGTATTTACGTCTAAAATAAACAGAGGCACTGAGATTGCATCCGCTGGGCACTTTCGTTAAGAGTATGTACTGATATTGTAGTTGCTACTTTCATGGTACAGGGTTATCTAATACAGTCAAAAATAGTATGCAAAATCGAAACATTGGACGAGAGAAAGACGAAAGACAATGTAGGAATATGAATTCCACATCCACGGCCACAGGGCCTGGCACGTCTTCCGAGAGAAAGGCAGAACACCATAAACAAAACACTGGATGAAGCCGCCGTTGGATGCGTGCCTGCGTGGTCCATACGGCACTTTTCCACGCATTTTGTCTTGACACCTAGGAAGCAACCCATGGTAGTTGTGACCTAACCATTCCGGTTTCCTTTTCCCATTCCCTATGCCTGTGTGGACAGCTGCCCAGATTGTCGGTACCCTATATGTCAAACTGCAAGGATGGAGTTGTCTTCTTCCATTTCTTTTTGTCTTTTTTTTTTTTTTTTTTTTTTTTTTCCAAATGTTTTATTTTCTGGGTGAGGATCTTTCATCATTATTTGTCCTTGAATTTTTTAAACTTTTTTTCTGGGATAATTTCGCTGGGGTTTGAAGAGCTTCAACAGATGGCCAGGGCCTGACGAGCAGACCTTTACTCTTGACCAGAAGGAAGCAAAGAATGAACAAGCAAATGAGAAAGCCTCCCGTAAGAGCAAAAAAAAAAAAAAAAAAAAAAACAAACAACGAAAGAGAAGGAACAAACAGCCCCCCTTGGAAGCTTTTCCCAAGAGAAGCCTTTCTCTCAAACTTACCTACGGCGGCTTGCCGAAGCGCACGGTGGATGGACGCGTTTGAAAGTACCCTACGGTCACGTGCTATTGTCATTGTGCTTTCGCTGACGGAGGTACGGGTGTGTTGGGTATGTTCGACAACACCGTCAAGACGTGATCCTGAACGATCTTGTAGAAGGCGCTATTGGGAACAAGACGGCTCTCATCCGCCATGTTTGAAAAGGTAGACTGCTCTTGTCTACCCTCACCCTTTAGCACGGAAGGTAGACCGATAAGTACGTCTTCGGTCTTGGTCCGTTGTGAATTGGTCTCAGTAGCCGTGATCTTTTGCTCAACGGCTACTGCGGCTGCGGCCATAGTCATAAGGCTTCCCTGGTCGGCTTCAGGGAGGTATGGGGTAGAGTCTGTATCGCCCACGCCCGCTGTGGCGACCAGCGGCTCGTCCCGCAGGCTGTAGTCGACGTCTGCAAACATTTGTATTGTGTTAGGAGAGCGCAACGTTTTATGGAAATGAACAAATAAAAACGGGGCGCATCAGCAAAATCGTACAAGGTGAGGGCGTATTCTTGTCTCTGTAGCTAGGAAATAAGAGACGGTACATGTGCGTCCACTTGTCGGACTCGTTCTGACCGTCAATCTTTTTGCGAGAGCGAAGCTTCTTTTCGATTTCGAGGTCGAAGCCGGCGTCTTCCGCCACGCTGCCTTTCGACACGGCACACGCAACCTCTTGGCGGAGGTGCTCTCGCAAGCTCTCCTGGAGCTTGAAAGTCATCGAGCACCGGTCACAGACGTAGTGCATATGGTGACGGTACAGATGTTCCCTGGTTCGGTTAGATAGGACACGTACAAGTCGAAAATGACTTTGGGTTTCAGTACCGCAAGACTCACTTGACACGATGGACGCTGGGCCAGCCCGAAGTGCGACAGGAGCGCTGATGGCAGTATTTGTGACGGTTTCGTTTGTAGAAAGGGCAGGCGAATTCAAATACCACGGGCGAGGTAGGATTGTCGCTAAGCCGTGCCTTCTTTCCGGAACCATCCTCCTGTTCCTCGTCGTCTTCGCTCTCGCTCGTTGGCCGTTTGAGACGCATATTGGAGCGCATGCGGCAAGGCAGTTCCAGACTGGGCGTTGTGCTTTTTGAAAAGTCTCTTCCCAACGTCGGCCCGCTCGGTGACTCGACAGAGTACATCTGCTGCGGGCTGTTGTTGTAGGTGATGCCAGCTCCTCGATCTGCGTATTGATATCCAGGCATGGCTGGGTTGCTAATTGGTCTCTGCATAGTCTCGATGGAGTGCCGATGGAAGTCGTGTGGCTTCTGATTTGTCCCATTGTTGTTTGCTGGAACTGGACAATTTTTCTCATGTCGCTGGGACTGATTGGACCCCTTTTCAGGGATGCAAAGTGCGCTGATGAGCATGTTTGCCGTACCTTGGAGACCGTTCTTGGTCAGAGACAGCAACAATTCCCGCGGTTTTTGAAATCTAAAGGTGTAAGTGGTATGAACGATTTGCTCACTGGTATAATTGTGTCGTTGGAAAAAGGACAGCCCGTGGTAGGACTTTGGCTGGACAAGAGAGAAACCGAGAGAGAGAAATGAGGTCTTACAGAAGTTCATTTATTGGTATCAAGGTTCCCCGTCTTGAACAGACCTAGACTGATACCAGAAGGAAGGCAACTCGAGACGGTGCCCGAGCTAGATCGAAAGGACTGTATTACTGTCGCTTTGGAGTGAGGAAGATAAGTAAGACAGGGCTATCAAACCCGACCAGGAGGATGGCCAGGGGCAAGGATAGAACAGAAGCGAGGTGTGTAAATCCTTGAAGTGAGCCTTTGATGAAATGGTGTAAGAAGCGGTGAGAACATGAATTTCACGTCCCGGGAAATCGTTTCTTGGGTTTGTAAGTGCAACATATGGTTCGTGCAAACCTGAAGGAAAAAGGAAATGTAGATATGGTGAACTAAACAACTGGAAAAATCAAAGTCCCTAAAGTATACCATGTTAAATGTTTTCTATTCTTTAAATAAAATGACAAGGGCAAGGAACAGAAAGGGGGTGAGAACAGATGCACTCAAGTCAAAGTAAGATAACCAGGTAAGTTTGGTAAATAACGGTCGTATAATAAAATAAGAAAGGCCCCTGAACGCTACCGAAGAGCAACGCCCAAGCAGAAGCAGTAAGTATTGCAAATAGAACCTGAGCAAAAACAGACACATGCATACCCGAGAGAACTACTCCACGTATAAGATACGTCGGATGAAGCCAACAAGTCGTACACTGGCCGCTGTAGTCGCCGTAGGTGGAACCAACCATGCCTCATTGTCCAACACTGCGGCGCTGTTGTACCCCCAACACGCCTGCAGGGGGCTGAATGTGCGCAAACAATGCAAAAGTTCGAGGACGTAAATAGACTGGATGTACAGAGATCAAGCAGGACAGAGGCAAAGGACAATGTCGTAATACCCACACTAGGTCAAGTGGTGTTCCGGAGGCGGTCACGCAACGCAAGACGCTTTGCCGGAGGGGTGTATGCCAGAGAGAGGTGTGTAGCTTTTTTCAGCCAAGCGTTTTCCGCGCACCAGGTGCAACAGCAGCTGAGAAAATGTCTCCCTTTGTTCCTGGCTGGATGCGAAGCCAAGTCGTCAAACGGCAAGTTTAGACGGTAGGAGCTGGGAAGGGCGGTCTCGGCCGCTGCGACGCAGATAGTCGAAGGTTGCTTAATGCAGCCAGGGGAATCTCAGAACACTTGTCGGTTCAGAATGTCTCGCCTAGATTTGGTGCGTTCACTGGCAGCACGCGTTGGGCTGGTTTGTACAAAATGTACAAGTGTGAATGCCCTGGTGTACGCAGTAATTACTCCCTGCTGAACAAGAGGCCAACGGAGGTCGTAGAACTTTGAAGTTCACTCTTGAATCCTGGAATAGGGAAACATCGTTGTTGGACCCATCTGACGCATTAGAATTTGCCGTGGCACTCCTCGTTGGACAGTGGAAGCCATCTCGTGTCCACTTTTCATGACGCTCCCGATACATGCACCTCCTAGTTGTCCATACCTTGCAACAATTGTGATCTGTTATCGTTGGCAGGATGATCTGCAGAAATTGCGCGGCCCGCCATTCTTTGGCTACTCCTCGCGTGCACATTCCATTATGTGTAACAGGTGTCTTGTCTGGCCAGCGTACGCCGTGTCTTCGGCAAGTGTACACAATGGATTGGGGCTTTACGATTCTGGAAGACGTGTATGCGAGAAAGAAAATGTTGCGTAACGGGCGAGAGATTGAGAGACATGGTACATTGTCATCAAAGACAATTTCTTGGCCCGGGCCGGGCATGCGAAAAGATCCTTTGGGGAACGTGTTCTAGGATGGGGTCGTGGGCGCGGGGGCGTCCCGTCTGTTGAGTTGAGGTGATTCGGAAGAAGACGATGCAGAGACGAGTTAGCGCATGCAGTGTAACACAATAGGGGAGGATGCGAGTGAGCGAAAGAAGGAAACAAAAGTAGAATACGAGAGAAGATGGTTGGGTGCGAGGAACAAGGGCGGCGTGAGTAGGTTCGAAAGCGGGAGGGCGCATCAGGGAATGAAGAGGGAAGCGTCTAAAACAGCGGAAAGCAACAGGCTTTGTTTCGTCTCTTGTCAGTTAATTTCTTGTTTTTTTTCTGTCTTGAAATGTGAGGGGGAAAAGGGATTCAATCAACAAAAAAAAAAAGAAAACCAACTAGTAAAGATTGACGGAAGTCAAGAGATTCAAAAATGGGTGGGTGGCAGCGACGGCAGGTAGGAGGGCGCCCACCCCAGTGGGGAACAAGGCTAATCACACGGTTGCGATGGGGATCTTGGAAAGGCAGGTGCGTCCGATGCAGAAACGATGTTGTGATATATGACAGAAAGCGTTGATCGTTCTTGCCTTGGCCGTTGTTATGTTAAATGTGAACGGAAAGAGCGCGCAGAAGCCACCGTGTGCAAGAGCAGGCAGCAGGGAGGAGCGCACGAGAAGACCTGTCAAGCCCGCGGCTCCTTCCTGCCCGGTTTTCTGGGTGACAGGTGCTGTACTCCGTTTGCAAAAGGCGGAGAGGAAGGCGCCAGGTTAGGAAAGTGCGAACGCCAAAGCAAAATAAAGATGAACCGGTGGTGACCATGATGTGCCATGTTACAACAAAACTACATACACATGGATGCGCACAGACATTGATCTATGTGTAATTGTGAGATTGCATTTATTTTTGCGTGTTCTAGAGTACAACAAAAGCCAGTCACTCTTGCTATCGTATTTGTGCTGCGTCCGGTTGTTCTTGCCTTCTGACCTCGCTCGACAAATGACCCTCCCTTTTGGATTGGACCTAACAAGTAGGCACGACCCTTGCAGAAAGGCGTCAGATACACATTTTGAGATAAGGAAAGAGTAATCCGGCGTGTGTTCGCGTATGAAAGGGGCAAGAGGGTGCGGGCAGGGGAAACAGCCACATTCTCACCCGTCCTGTTAGCATTATTCATCTTGCCGTGCATATGCATGTTTTGTTTTCGCCGAATCAATGCTCAGCCCACGAGCAACCAGCGCCCAGGATACCACGTCGGCTTCGCATCTTAGTAGCAGACAAGCTGGCAATCGAATCCTTCAAGCCTGACCCATACCTGCTCGACTAAAAAAAGAACGTCTGCCGCCAACTACCCACTCCAGCTCAAAAGGAAGCTCGAAATCCGACTCGTGGAAGAAACCGTCCAGGCTGTAAGAGCTGTGGGTTTCATGCATACAGACGGAAAGGCAAGTCATTCTGCTCTGTCACCAACATCTCCATGCACATGCAGGTCGGAAACATCGGCTACTTTGCCAGCCTGAAGAATGGTACGAACGGCAACAGTTTCCAAAAGTCCTAACCGGTCTGGGGCATGATCACGAGAGGCAGAGTAGGAAAAGCAAAGCAGGCGCGAGAGCAAAAGGCGCCGCTCTTCGGCAAGAAGCGACTACGGAAGAGTATTGGAAGGCCGAACGAGGTTGTTCGTCGGGTAGCGACATCCCAGACAAAATGATTTCCTCACAGCTGCTCCGCTTCTTTCGTATTGTTGACCACGTCGTCCAATCCATCGCTTTCAATGGCGCATGCAGTCTGCACCTACCCGAAACAGCCAGCGTGGCGAAGCAACTAAGTTACCATCTCACGAGACCAGGAGACAGAATATGAAATAAAAAGAGGAGGAAACAAATGGTGGACAAAATAATAAGAGCTACAAAGGGACATAGCTGCCGCAAGGCCCGGTCATTACCTTGAATCTCCGGCAACCAAGTCAGGTGCTCGCGGTTTTGTCGCTTGCTTCCCACCGACACTTTTGGTTGACGAAGCTGACTACATCGTCAATTTCGTCTGGAATTTTGTACCAGTGGCCTAGCCCCTCGTAAGGTCTCCATTCGACATCAAATCCCAGATTTGACATGGTGCGGCTTGCCTCCTCACCCGAAGCCAACGGCAGCTTCTCATCAACGGCGCCGTGTCCGAGAAAAATGGGCATCAAATCCACCTGTTCCTCAAGAACGGTATCCCACTGGAGTAACTCGCGGACGTATGCACGGCCGTCTGCGGCCTTGGTGGCGCTGCTGTCGTCGTCGCTAATATGAATGTGTTGTTCAATTTCTTTCTGGAAAGGCATCCACCCACTCAGGCCAACAAATCCGCCGATGAAGCCGCAGCCTCCCAGGGCAATGGCACAGATGAGTGACATGGCAGAACCATTGCTGAGACCGCCGAGAATGATGTTGGGCGCAGAGATGCCTGCGCGGCGTTCATTCTCGATGAGCGCCAGGACCTCCCGGAACGACTCGCGCAGGCCAGGCAGCTTTTTGTCGTTGCGTAAGGACCGGTCCTGCATATCGGCCACGTCAAACCACTGCGTGAGCATAGCCCGCCGAAAGGCCGACGACCGCCGCCATCGAGCCGTGAGGAAGACGAAGCGTGCGCCAGGAAATATTGTGCTGAGAAGACGGCCGTCGGAGTTCTTTCCAGTGTGCCATCATCTCGCGGCCAAACTTTTCGCCGTTGGAGCCAAGGCCATGGAGGAGAATGAAGCTGTGGGTGTGCGCGGTAATCGATTCCACAATGTAAGGCGGCGGGGCAGGTGCGTCGCCTCTGCGCCGGCGGTCAGGAGTTGTGCTTTGCTCCATTGTGACAGTTGATAAGCTGGTGCGTTTCTAAGAAAGGGAATTGCATTCCGATGAATGAGGTCGCAAGATGGGTGTTGGGAGCCAATTCAGAAACGAGGGAATGGTAGAGAGCAGGTTGTTTAAAAAGAGACAAAAAGACAAACGCAAAAGACGCACTCAGTGTACGAAACAGGACATACATTACATTTGGAGGCTATAAGAGCCATGTCAAAAGCAAAAAGGAGAGGTTCTCATGATTGCAACCTAATTTGAGTCTGGTGCATGTGCAATGACAAGGTGCTCGTTTGTTGACATCGCATCACACGTACCACGGGCCGAATGGTCACGTGGTGTCACTCACTACACTGACTTTCCTCGGCAACGACGCTCTGTGTTGTCCATGAAAGAGCCGCACCATGGATCTCGGCAAGCTGGTTTTTGATTTTGTGCTTGACAGCTTCTGACGGGGTTTCGTTGGTGACGAGGTATGCGTCCACTCCGTATCCAAGCTGATGAACGATGGACACGGGAGAAAAGCCATAGGAAGCCAAAACAAGTCAGCATCGTAAGCTGATATCCTTTCGTTCTGGTTAGTATAAAATCCCATGGAAGAAGACATACCTTTACCTTCATTTTCTTCCGTACCGGGAACAACTTCGTATGCTGCAATCCCCATACGTTGCCCTTTTCGACTTGCCGTCTCACCGTCGCTAGCTGGCGACATTCCTTTGAAATTCTTTGTGGCTTGTCGACGAGCAGGCGAGATACAAAATACAAACTGAACAAACACATACAAACACATACGCATCAACTTCACTATCACGTTTGACGAGGGCCAAGGACCGCCCCCAGCACAATGTTGCAAACAAAGCTAGTGGCAAACGGCAGCAGCCAACACCACGACCACGGTTACAAGGACGACCGCGACGTACAGGCGAGTGCCTGGACCGACCCCGGTACTGCCCTCGTCCTCTTTTCCCGGGATACAATGACCGATGATGTGCACGGCTCTGAGGCGCACCAGACATTGGTGCCGGCCACATCGTTCTCGTCGGTGACTCTCGACTCGCCTTCTGCACCGTCGTCCCCTCGTCCTTGTTCCCCTATTTTGTCTCCTCCGCCTTCGTCTGCCACTACCCCTACACCTGCACCCTTGACCAAGCCCAAAGCCGTGTACCGCGTCACCCACCTTCCCCGGGGCGAGATTGAGCACCGCGTCGCCATGGGCCGCTGCACCTACTGCGATGACGACTCCCACACGCGCACCACGTGTGCTTCCGGGCGGCTGATGCGCCGCGTGCCCAAGCGGGTGCTCAACCTGCGACTCAGCCACAGCGTGTGTCCCTTTTGCGGCGATCCGGGCCGGGACAGGCACTGCAAGGCGACGTGCCCGCTGCGCATCGAGCTGCAGGCGGCGCTGGACGCCAAGGAGGCGGAGTTCCGGAGCGGCCACCTCGACAACAACGACGACAGCACACGGAACCCGAACGAGGCACGGGCCCAGCGGACGGCGGCAGACGCGGTGATGGCGGCGATTGAACGACAGACGGAGCAAGCGCGAGCGGCTGCTGTGGCACTGGGTCGGTCGACGAGAACCGAACGATTCGACTGGCGTCACGGTGTTGAAGACAATGGACACGCTGGGTACTCCGAGGACCAGCGGCCAGAGGTTGCGTTGAGGCCGGCCGCGGTCCCCAAGAAAAAGGCGTACATCAAGCGGCCACCCATGAGCAAGACGAACGCACCGTGGCGGGCGGACATTGTGCGCTCCGTGCCGGTCGCCGAGGCAGAGACAGAAACAGAGACAGGCCAGACGGAGCAGCCGTACGATCTCATTGACTTGCGCACCGCCCTGCCAGTCTATGCCCCTCCGGGCAGCCCCTCGACGACGTCCTCGGAGGTAACCGGTGGCACGAGCGTTGCGACGAGCGTCGTCGACGAGCTGCTGCCGCCGCTCAGCCTCTTGGACACAGAGGTCACCGAAGTGGTGTGGGACAACATTATTATCCCGCTGCATGAATGTTTCGGCGTGGTAACTGACTGTGCTGAGGCAAGCACCAACTCCAGCTCCAGCAACAGCTCGAGCTTAAACGGCGAGTCCGACTGTACGATGGCCGAAACGAGCAACACAACCGAGAATAGTGACGAGGGGGAAGACTTGATTGACTTGGGGATTGACGTGGTGTTCAATTGAGATCTGCATGTGAGACGGGAGTCATGGGGGGGAAGGTATTGGAGGATGACCTTGGGAGAGGACTTTTGGCGCAAGGGACAAAGACGGACAGGAGATGAACAAGAGTCAGGGGCGAACAGGAAATAGATATCAATTAATATAGTAGTAACGGACAGAAATGCGTACAAAACTACGCTTGGACAACACCTTACAAAAAAAGCAAAAAAAAAAAAAAGAAACAGAAATAAAGGGATCGTGATGGGGGCACGGTCCACAACGCACACACTTCTTGTCGCGACCGCTGTCCGTTCTGCTTCTTCAGCTGCTCAGATTCTGCATGCCGACATATTCCCAGTAGCGGCCCTGCATGGCCATCAGCTCGGCATGGTTGCCCTGTTCCACGATAGAGCCGCGTTCGAAGACGTAGATGCGGTCGGCGCGGGCAATGGAGCTCAAGCGGTGGGCCACGGCGACGGTGGTGCGGCCGGCGGCGGCGGTGGCCAAGGCTTGCTGCACGACCTGTTCAGAGTGGGAGTCGAGGGCCGACGTGGCCTCGTCCAGGAGGCTGGCCTTGGGGTCAGTGGGAGCGCGTGGCGAGACGAGGATAGCAAGGAAGGAGGACGACGTACAGGACTTTGGGATTGCGCAAGAGGGCGCGGGCCAGGGCGAGGCGCTGTTTTTGGCCGCCCGAGACCTGGCTGCCACGTGGGCCGATGCGGGTGTTGATGCCTTCGGGAAGAGATGTCTGGAATTGTGAGCTGAGAAGAAGACGAAAGGAAATCAAAAAAGAAAGAAAACGAAAGAAAAAGAAATCAAACATCAAGTGAAAGGGTCCTAGCTCACCACAAAGTCCCAGATATTGGCATCGCGGCAGGCGCGCTCAATGCGGACGTCGTCGACATCGCCGTGGTCGTCCATGTCGTCCACGTCACCCATTATGATGTTGTCCTTGACGGACCCACTGTACAGCACGGCATCCTGGTCGACAATGGCCAGCTGGTGACGGTAGCGCTGGAGGTGCAGGTGGCGGAGGTCCCGGCCGTTGGCCAGGACGTGGCCGGCGCTCGGGTCGTAGAGGCGCTCGAGCAAGTTGAGGACGGAACTCTTGCCGCTGCCGCTGGCGCCGACCAGCGCGACGACACGGCCGACGCCGGTGCCGGCGCCAGCTTGCAGAGACACCTGGTCGAGGGCGCGAACCGTCTTGCCGGGATAGGCAAAGTCCACGGCGCGCAGCTCGACGTCACCGGCGAGGTCGTCGGCGGCCACATCCACAACGGCGTCGCGGGCGTCGTCCGCCTCCACATCAATGCCGGGGACGGCGGCCAGCAGGCGCCGCAGCTGCCGGACGGCCTCTTGGGCACCGGCGATGTCCGGTGCATACGAGAAGATGCCGCCGGCGGCCTGGGCCGCGTACGTGGTAGCGACGTAGCAGATGAGAAAGCGCTGGACCGTGTAGCCGTCGGGCCCGGCCAGCAGATGGGTGCCGCCGTACCAGAAGAGCAGCGCCGAGCCGAAGACGACGACGGACTGGCTGGCGCCGTACAGGACGGCCAGCAGCAAAGCGCGCGCACGGCCGGCGCGCGCCTCGCCGCCCAGTTGCGCGCGGTACTGCTGCGCGACGGTGTCCTCGAGCCCCAGCGCGGCGACGGTGCGGGCGCCGCGCACGGCCTCGGCGACAACGGCGGCGGCGGCGGCGGCGTCGCGCGTGTTCTTGGCCTCGAGGGCGGCCAGGACGCGGTAGCGCGCAAAGCCCGTGGCAAAGACGAGCGGCATGAGACTCGCGGCGACGAGGCCCAGCTTCCAGCCAAAGGCCACGGCGACGACGAGGCCGGCGACGACGGCAAAGACGCTGCCGAGCACGTGGCCGAGGATGGCGCCGCTGAGGCCGTTGAGGCGGTTGGCCTGGACCGACAAAAAGGCGGCGAGGGCGCCGGCGCTGTTGCTGTGGCTGTGGCTGTGGTCCGGCTGCGCAAAAAAGACCATGTCCTGGCGCAGGATGGCGGCAAAGGCGACGCTGCGGGCGCGCACGACGAGGCGCGCCGACGCAAAGGCAAACGCGAGGTTCTGGACCAAAAAGGCGGCGAGGATGACGGCGGCGAGCAGCAGCTGCATGCCGGCCCAGAAGCCGACGCCGTAGCCGCCCAGCGTCGAGCCGGGGTCCGTGAAGCCGAGGACCATGTTGCCGAAGAAGATGGCCGTCAGGGGGTAGGCGAGGCCCGTGACGGCGCTGCCGACGAGGCCGACGACCATGACGGTCTGTTCGGGCCGGTTGAGCGCCCAGAGGAAGCCGATCGACCCGAGGCGGGCCGCCCCGCCGGAACCAGCCTCGACCTGCTGCGCCAGGCCCTGGGTCTCCGTGTCCTTGTCCGGATCGCCGGTCGACGACGTCTTGGCAGTGTCTTGCGGGAGCACGGCAGCCGCAGCCGCAGCTGTAGGCGCAGCCGCTTGGACCTTTTCACCACCGGCCGCAGCGCGTCCGCTTCCCCTGTCCACGTCTGTGCCTTGCCGAGCAGCGGCATCGTCGTCGAGGTCCTGGGCGGCGGCGAGCGAGGCATACGTCCCCGCCTTGGCGAGCAAGTCGGCGTGCGTGCCCTGTTCTGTGATGACGCCGTGCTCCATGACGACGATGGTGTCGGCGTGCCGGACGGTCGACAGGCGGTGGGCAATCACAATGGTGGTGCGTCGCGTCTCGCGGCCGCTGCGCGCGAGCGCCGCCTGCAGCCGCGCCTCGGATTTGGTGTCGAGCGCGGCGGTGGCCTCGTCGAGCAGGAGGATCTGGGGGCGGCTCACGACGGCGCGGGCCACGGCAATGCGCTGGCGCTGGCCGCCGCTCAGGCGCCCGCCGACCGCGCCGACGCGCGCCTGGTAGCCCGCGGGCAGCTGCAGGATGAACTCGTGCGCGTCGGCCGCCTTGGCCGCGTCCTCGACCAGTTTTTGCTTGGCCGCGTGGCCGGCGTGTTCGTGCTCGGTGCCGACGAGGCCGTAGGCAATGTTGTCGAAGACGGTCGCGTCAAAGAGGAACGGCTCCTGGCTGACCATGCGCATCTTGCACCGCAGCCACCGCAGACGCACGTCCTCGATGTTGCGGCCGTCGACCAGGACCTGGCCGCGCAGCGGCGCGTAGAACCGCTGCAGAAGATGCACGAGGCTGGACTTGCCGGACCCCGAGGGTCCGACCACCGCCACGGTCGACCCCGCAGGCACGTCGAGCGAGATGCTGTCGAGGACTAGATGGCCGATGCGCGCCGGGTAGACGAGCTGGACGGCGCGGAACTCGATGTGGCCGTCGAGGCGGTCGGGCGTGACGGCGTCGGGGGCGTCGGCGTCGATGGTGGGCGTGCGGTCGATGACGGCAAAGATGCGGTTGGCGGCGGTGGCGGCGAGTCCCACGGCCTGCAGATGCGGCGCGATGTTGCCAAAGAGCACGGCGCCGGTCATCATGGCAAACTGCACGGTGACAATCTGCGCCGTCGTGATGCGGCCGGCCGCCAGGAACAGGTGGCCCGCCCAACAGGCCAGCGCAAACGACGACAGCATCATGCACATCATGCCGCCGATCAAGACGCCCAGCCAGCTCTTGGCCCGGACGTCGGCGCGCAGGGCCGGCGCGAGGGCCGCGTCGTAGCGCCGCGCAAACCTCCGCTGCACGCCGTACGCGGCCACCGTGCGCATCGACGCGATGGCCTCTTCGGCAAACGACGCCGCGTCCGCAAATCGCGCGAGGGCCGCGCCCTGCGCGCCCTTCATGCGCACGCCGACGACGACCATGAAGGCGGTGACGGCCACCGGCAGGCTGAGCATGACGAGGGCCAGGCGCCAGCTGCGCAGAAACGACACGACGAGGGCGCTGACAAACGTGGCCACGCCCTGCACGATCAGCCCGACCTTTTGCGAGACGCCCTCCTGCACCGCGTTCATGTCGGCCGTGATCTGCGTCGTGACCGCGCCCGTGCCCAGGGCGTCCAGAAAGGCCGCGTTCTGCCGCAGCAGCGCCGCGAGGTACGCCGCGCGCATCCGCTGCGCAATCCGCTGGCCGGTCCACGTGAAGCCGGCGAGGAACAGACTGTAGCAGACGAGACCGCCCACGCCTTGCCATGGGACAGAGTGTTAGTGTGATGGGGAACGGATGATTTTTTATGTCTTTGCTTTTGCCTCCATCGGATGCCGTCGCAGAGCAGAATTCTTACCAACGTAGACAAAGTAGAGGCACAGGCTGCTGACGTCGCTGGAAAAGGAGGACAGTTGCTGCGAGGCGTCGGTGCGGTCCGAGAATTTCCCAATCAACGATCCGAAAACAATCTGAGAAACGCCGGTTAGCCACCTGGTAGATGCAAACGGAACGTCGTACGTTTGCCTGTCTCACCGTCATCAGTGGCATCGTAGAGCCAGCGCCGCAGGCCGCGACACCGCTGACAAACATCACGAGGCGATCTACCCGGTCCGCATAGCGATAGATTGCTCCGTAGCCGGCCGTGCTCGCGGGAAGATCGATCTGGCGGGCGAGGCACGCGAGCTCGGCCTCGTCCAGGCCCAGTGGGTTGGGGTTGGGGTTGGGAACGGCGCTGGGACTGGGGTCGTCACTGTCTGTTTTCTCGTGGAGAGACATGTTGGAGGCACAAGATATTGTGGTCACGAATTGTCTGGATAGAATTACAGCATGAAGAGAGTGACTCGATGGACTAGACTGGCGAGGGAATCTACGAATTTATAATGTGGTCGACTGAGACCTTTCTTATTATAACAGCTTGACGGCGATAGCATGAGAGCATATAGTCGTGGAAAGGGACATGGATTTTCAGATCTGGAGGCTCGTTTACGTCTTAAGAAAAACGAAGCTGGCGTGTCCTCGACGGCGTCCGTCGTCAGCTGCCGGATGGACTGGCAGAATTGGGACTCTACGTCGGCTACGCACGGTGCCAATGTCCATGGCTTGACAGACTGGACCCGTGCAATACGAACTTATAATCCAAGTCCGTTGCCCGTTACCCCTATTAAGACCAGGACATGGCAAATTGTGGTGTTGTAGATGTCTTGCTCCATTCGTTGAGAACGGCTGAAATGCGGCCATCTGATTCGTCCGTGTCTTAGCCTTCGTTTATCGAAAGGGGAACGAGGTCAGGAACGAGGTCATCCAATCTGCCCGTCCCCCCGCATCGGGCAAAGTGGCCCTTGTCGCTGTTGGAGAGATGTGCCATTGTCAGAGGTACAAAAGCAGCACCAACACGGTCACAACGCACATCCATCTCGTTCCACTTCGTTCAAACTCGTTCAACTTCGTTCAGTCTCATTCCACCTCGTTCAATCTCGTTCCACGTCGTTTCTCAATCAATTCAATTTCCTTCAATTCTTCGTCCTCGTTTCTCTTTAAACGAACGTAGATCTCTTACTTGTCGGCAACTGTTCCAGAAAGTCCACCGAAAGCGACACCGCTGATACTGATAGCCTGGCTGGCACGTTTGTGGTCCTGCAGGGCTTGCAGGACTTGCAGGCTGCTGCGGGCCGCGAGCAGCCTCGGCGGAAGCGAGCGCATCGAAAGAGCAAGCAAGGCTGTGCCGCATGCCGGCGACGACGCGTCAAGGTAAATTCCCCTACGGGGTCGTTCCTTTTTTGTTTTATTCCACCAGCGCCCTCGGACGGCCACTACTGACACGCTCCGCTCAGTGCGACGAGAACGAGCCGTGCGCACACTGCGTCCGGCGCAAAGAGCAGTGTCGGCGGCTGTCGGTCAAGGATACGAAAACAAAAACACACGATGACCACGAGGCCCCAGACGCCCGACTCAACATTGGCCCCAGCCTGGCCAGCCCACGCCTCGAGAATGACCCGGACCCGCACGTCAATCTGTGGCACCTCGAGCTGTTCCATCACTTTGCGCAGCGGACGGTGGCGACGCTTTCTTTCCCGGCCGTGTGGCCCACGCTGCTGCAGCAGAGTTTTCATGTGAGTGAGGCGGTGCCTGGTTCTTGCATCACAACACAACGCACGACTGACAACTCCCTAGGATGAGTGCATCATGTGGGCCATCTTGTGCACGGCCAGCTGCCATCTGGCCGCCCTCGCGCCGCAGGATCCCCGGTACGCGGGGCCGTCGCCGGCGTCTCTGCCGTTTTTGCCCAAGGCGATCGGCCTCTTCCGCCAGAACCTCGCCCGGCCCTTCACCAAGTCCAACGCGGACGCGCTGATGGGCTGCGCCCTTCTCATGAATTACATTGCGTGGACCAACCTGACGTTCCTCGACGGTGACGGCAATGCCTCTGGCGGGCTGGACCTCTCCCACGATCCCCTCTTCCTCCTCAGCCCAGGCGTCCGCCACGTGTACACGCAGGCCATGCCCATCTTCATGGCCGAGCAGAGCGTCTTTTTGACCATTGCCCACGAACATCCGCGCCGCAACATCGAAGCAGCTCTCGCCCGGCACGGCCACGATCCCACCCGGTTCGTCGAACCCTTTATGCGCTGCTGGGACAGCCCAGAGTTTCAAGAGTGTCGGGGACCCGACGGCGTGGCCAGCGCACAGTCAAGTTCAACTACATCGACGTCATCGACCTCATCGCCTGCAATGCGCCCATCGCGCACATCAACGTCGTGGCTGCTCTTTACCGAGTTTGAATACGAGTTGGCTTGGGAAAGGATTGCCAAACTGCTGACGACCTCCTCGACGGCGAACAACACGCGTGACACCCCGCCAGAAACAACCACGGACGGTTCCAACACAAAGAGCCTGTGTCAATGCCCCCTCCAAAAGTTCAAGACGCTGTTCATGATGCCGGCGGACCCCCAACCTGAACCTGTGCCCGTCGCCCCCATGGAGCTTGTCGACCCGCAGCAGACCGCCGCGCGTACAGGCTACGAGCGTGTGGCCTGCTGCCTCTCGCCGCTCTTGTGCTGCGCAGCACTGTCGGCGTCAGGATTGTCCTCCTCCGCAAAGGGTGACGACGCGTGGTGGTGCACCGCCGACAGCCGGCGCCTCTTCTTCACCATCCCGCTCCTCTGCAGCGGCCCCTTTTTGCAGCCCATCGTCCAGGGCGACGCGCGCGCCTTGCTTCTGCTCTTCCACTTTTACCGGGCGGCGCGCATCGTGATGGCGGCAACGGAGGAGGCGTGGTGGGCGCGCGAGCGGAGCCGCGTCATGGAGGATCGGATTGGGACGGAGTTGCGGAAACGGGGGTTCACTGCCTGTCTTGTGAGGGAATGAATGACCACTACATAATGCATATTCATATGGCGTCAGAGTGTGGTGATGCAGTGCTCGTGAAGCTGTCTAGTAACTTGTCTCTACACGGGACTGGACATTGAATCTCAGACATAATAATTGCTCTGTATATCTCAACAGTCCTTGCTTAATAATATGCTAATATACCAATCGATGCCGGTTTCTTGCCTCCTTTTTTCCCTCTCAAATACGCTCGCCCGCTCTTATACGAGGAACGTGACCAACGACCGAGCAGGAACAGTCGTCTTGAACGTGCCGTCGTGCGCTGCAACGACGGCTTTGCGTGCCGTCAGATCGTTGGCGTTGTCGGTCAGGTAGGGCACCATTTTCTTCGCGTGCCATGTAGCGCCCTTGAGGGAGAGCGTGACGTCGTACGCCGTGGTGTCGTTGTTGATCACCTGCGTCGCGATCTTGCCGTCCGTGTTGCGGAACGCGCTGGTGTAGAGCAGGCGGGCCGACGACGTCGCCTCGACGCGGCGCGCGCCGGGGCGCGCAAAGCGGCTGAACTGCGCCATGGACCAGAACCGCTTGGACGGCACAATCGTGTCGTTGATGAGGTTGATGAGGCCGCTGTTGGTCGTCGAGTTCTCGGCGCCGATCCAGTACAGGAACCCGCTGACGTTGGCGTCCACGAACGCGGTCTGCACGTAGCGCGCCCACCGCAGGCCCTCGCCCGGCCCGTCGACGTCGTAGAAGACGGTCGGCGTAAAGCCGCCCGCGAGGTCCGCCCACTCGCTGAGCCACGTCTTCTTGGTCGTCGACAGCGGGTACGTGGGCGCCGAATCGTAGCCGTGGCCCGTGACGACGTCGAGGTACTGCTCCGCGGGGTCCGGGCCGGCCTGCAGGCCCGCCATCATGGCTTCCTGGTCGTCCCAGCCGATGCCGTCGCAGCAGGTGATGCCCACGTCGAGGCGCGCCTGTCGGATGGTCTTGGCCAGCACGCGGATGAAGTCGGCCGCCTGCGTGCCATTCGACAGCATGCCCGCATAGGAGGCTAGGAAAAATGATGTTAGCTTTGACATGACAGGAAAAACAAAGAGAACATTGTGGCCTACCCGCTAACTGAGGCTCGTTGAGAAAGCCCAGCTTGTTCACTTTCACGCCGTGTTCTTCGTAGAACCGGACCCACTGCACCAGGTAGTCGGCATACGCCTGCTTCCAGTCGCCCGACGCACAGACCGCGCCCGTCACGCCGCAGAGGTAGCCGCCGTTGTTCTCGTCGTCGTTGGTCTTCATGAACCCGGGCGCCGACCAGGCGTTGCCGTAGAGCGTCGCCAGCCCGCGCGCCCGTGCCTGCTGCGCCAGGGGGAACTGCGCGCTGTCGTAGCCGTCCCACGTGTAGTGGGGCGCGGCATGTGGCGACCCGGGACTCACGGGCTCGATCGAGTTCATGAGGTTGCTGGTCGACGAGTTGCTCGACCCGATGCCGTTGCGCAGAATCGCAAACCCGGCGCCGCCCTTCTCCAGGCTGTACAGCAGGTCCAGCACGTCGGCCTGGTGCGCCGGCGAGAGGCCGTACTTGCCAAAGACGTCTTCGGCGCGCTGGAACGCCTGGGACGCGCCGAGACCGTCGACTTCCTGGTACTGGACGGACGTGTCGACCACGACGCGCGCCGACGGACGGTGGCCCAGCGCCGACGCAGAACACGCCCGCGCGGCGGCGGCCAGGACGAGCAGGCGAGCCAGAGCGGATGCAGACATTGTGGCAAAGTGAATAATAGGGATGGAGAACGAAAAGGGACGTGGTGGTCGAGAAGCGCAAAAGCATGCGGCCGTCTATCACCGGCGCCGCGATTCCTTATATTGTCATGCATTGGCTGTGATTTCGTCTCAGTGGATCGAAAAACAAGTAGGCAAAGTCACCAGGTCGGGAGAGAAAAACCGAATCAAGCCGGGCACGGATGGGAATCGATTTTGATTTTCCACCAGTTACGACACGCCCGCGACCGTGGCTGTAGCAAAAAGGTGACATGGTGTCGGTTGCTGAGGTTGGAAAGGTCGGCTCTGAGGGGAACGTCCACGCGTATTCCAAAGCTTGTTCAGGTCGCACCAGACTTGGCCGACATGGCTTCCTTTCCCCAGACAACTTGGCATCAGAACCCCGGCACTCGTCATCAACTAATGCAGGTTAAATGCAATGCACAATGGGACACTTCGGTTAGTCCCTCTCTACTCCACTTTCCACAAAATCCGGGTTGAAGGACGGTTTTCCGGTGAGGTTTGTTCTCTTTACCCAATTCGTCTAATTATCTTCGTCGTCTACTCGAGTCTTCCTCTATTTAACCGACACAAAGACCGGTCCATGCAACGGAAAAAACTGTACGAATTACTCCGTACACTGTACAGGGACGCTCTGCGGGGACTGAGGGGATGCTCTGAAGAAATTTTGCCTTCGTCACGTAGCTGGAAAGTCTGTCGTCCATTCCTAAGGAAATATCACTAAATTTCCCTCGGGGGTAATAATAAACGCGTGAATCTACAGAGTGCTCGTCTTGCTCATTGCACCGGAGGAAAATACTCGTGTCAAACCAGGTAGGATCATCCGGAACGGCCATCATTTCAATATGGCATCGGCTTCAAGGTGTCCCCGGCCTATCTGACGACCAACGCGACCAACGGCACCTATGATCCTCAACAACCGTTCATGTGGACCTGTTGCTTGTGCGGCTTAAAGGAGACAGAGCTACTCAACAAAAGTGGATCGATCTGGTTTTGAACACGCCAACCGCTACTTTTATACAACACTGCGATTCCAGCCAAGGAGAAGCATCTGAACAGTTGTTCATCCAATCGTTTGAGCAGCCGTCACGTACCGAGCACAAACAAAAACGGACTAACTTTGCTCCTCCGTTGACGCGAACTTCCCAAGCAATGGCTCGAGATCCTTCAACGACCATGTCAGGATGACAACATTGGCCTTCCGATCCGCTTGTTTCTCCAATCTTTCTCTCTGATTCGGGTCTTCCATAATCCCCTCAAACCTAGCCTGGTAATCCAACCAGGTCTGGCTGAACAGCGAGGAAAACCTTCTCAGCATGTTCCACTGCATGACTTGAACTAGACCGTTGTCGACACCAGCCAGAACAGCGCTTTCTCGCTTTCACCTGTAATGAAGAGAACACTTGGAGAGAACACAGTTGTGGCGGCCAGTCGGGTGTCTCGATTCGTTGCTGATTGACCCGCTCACGCAGCGTCCCTGATGACCGCATATACAGAATACATTTACGGCATCTCCGTAGGCGATAACCAGCAAAGACCCGCTGCTGGACGCCGTGCGCTTTATACTCTTACGTTTTTGTCTCTTTATCTTCAGCAACCCCCTTGGGACCCTCTCCTGTTTTGTTGAGCGATGTTAGGCCCCTGGACATGGGTCCTTTGGCTGACCAGCTGTTCAGCCACCATGTAATTACATCGTGAGAATGTGGCGCTGTGGAGTGGGTTTTCACGTTGCATTGTTTCCTCAATTGTTTGCTCCACGCTTAATCATTTAGGAAGCCAGTGTTTTGACTGGTCGGTCGCATCTGCTCGGTCGCTTTAACTCGACCACTTTCACTGCCAAGCCAATAAATAATCCCAATCCAGCTGTTAAATACGCCACACTTCCCAATAGAAGGCCTCGTATGTCACCAAACAACGCCTTGCAAAGGATTAATTGTGTGTTTTGTACAAAAGCGTGCGCAGTTTAGGAGCTGAACCGTAGTGTTGGGTGAGAGTCGATTTTAGTAATTACTTCGTACAACAGACTCCTGGAACAAACAAAACATATCAATTCCCACTCCTCACTTCGTCCTTAGATGAATTCTCAAGGTCTTCCTCTTAACAGCGGCAACGACGACTCTGTCTCCCTGCGTAGCAATGTCATATCCTTCTCGACAGCACTCCGTCGTCCATCTCCCACAATGCGATTTCCGTCCATCCTCGTCCTCGGCAGCCTCTTATGGGCAGGCGCCGTCGCAGCATCCCAGTGCAAACCATCCCACACGCCGTCGTCATCCTCTATCAGCCCGTCCTCCGTCTCGTCCTCGTCGGCCGCCGCGTCGTCCTCCTCGCCGCCGCACCTCCCTCCCTGCTACACCAACCTGCTCGGATCCCGCTACAAGCCGACCGACGTCGCATCCAGCCAAAACATTGCCGAGTCGTATCCCGTCGCCTGCCCGATTGGTGGCGGCAACACCTGTGTGCGTTTTCTCGACACGGACGGCCAGGCCGGCTCGTTTTCCTTCAGCGCCACCGTCCCCACCGTCCCCGGCACCTACTACGCCTACTACGCGTTTGTCCGTATTGCCGCTGCCGATTCCTCCAACCCGCTGGTCTGTACCGTCACAAACAGCGCGTCCACCACGTCCCAGGCACTGCAGACCGGCGACCATCCTGTGCTGCTCGATTTCTTGGCGGGCCCTGGCAGCTCGTCGACAGTCACGTGCAGCGGATCGGTCCAGACGACCCTGGATCTGACGGCGTCGGCGTTGTCGATTATCAGCACGGACCCAAGTAAGGGGTGTGCGTAGGCGAGACGCGAGGGACAAGGAGAACGTGTACTTTTGGCGAGACAGGCAAAAGAAAAGAGGCGTGGTCCCCAGCTTTTTGTAAGCTATTGTGGAAACCATGTGTCCCGTTATGAGATACGCAAACGCGATTTGACTTTCGAGTCCTTGAACATAATGTGTGCGCCTTATATATGAAAACAATGCGTTTCGAGTTAAAATAATATAGTCATACTTTCGTCGCCAACTTAGAAAAGAGTGCAACTAAAACGAACGAAGCATGGTGCCACGAAGATGACGTTCAAGTGACACCGACCCCACGAAATCTGATCTCTAAGACATTACATTCCGTACTTGTTAATCTTCTCCTTTCGGCAAGGGCTCAATCAACTGGGCTGGCCCAGTCGGAATGATCAGTGGACCCTGTTCTTTGAACACCACCTTGTGCCGCGACCGCGCATAACCCTCAATGTAGTGGCCAATATAGGGCGCCGTCGTGGCGTGGAACGCGCCGCGGGTCTGGTCGCGCACGGCGGCGCCGTCCCAGTAAAGGCGCCGCAGCCACAGGTGCAGGTGCGGGTAGTCGTGGCGGATCGAGCGGAGGGTACACAGGAAGACGGCGGCGTAGGCGGAGTCAAAGCGCACGAGCGTTGTGTAGAGGCGGACGTCGGCCTCGGTGAGGGCGTCGCCTAGCAGGAAGTGTTTGCCGTGGGCGGCCAGCTGCGCCTCCAGCCGGTCGAGCGACGCGAAGAGCGCCGGCACGTGTTCGTCGTAGGCGGCCTGCGCAGTCGCGAAGCCGATCTTGTAGACGCCGTTGTTGACCGTCGCGTAGACCCAGTCGTTGAGGGCGTCGATTTCGGCGCGCTGGGCCGCCGGATAGAGACCGCCGCCGGGCTGGTTGGCTTCGCGGCGCGCCTCGGGCAGGAGGCTGTCAAAGGCCGATGCCAAGATGCGGATGATCTCGCTCGACTCGTTGTTGACGAGCGTGCCGGTCTTCTTGTCCCAGAGCACAGGCACGGTGTAGCGGCCCGTGTAGTTTGGGTTCGCTTTCAAGTACAGCTCCTTGAGCTTGGTAAAGCCGTACAGCGGATCTTTGGGCAGCGAGCCGCCCTCGCCGCTAAAGTACCATCCTTCAGGTCCCATGTAACTGTGCAGCTGGTAGAGGTCGACAATGTCATCGAGGCCCTTGAGTTTGCGGACAATGAGTGTGCGGTGGGCCTGTAAGGATGGTTAGGGAGCGAAGCAAAGAAAGAAAAAACGAGACGAGGAAAAAGAAATGATGGAAGCCACAAACGAAAGAAGAAAGTCATACCCATGGACATCCCGGCGCAAAGTATAGAGCGTAACGGCCCTTCACCGGCGGGTAGCGAGCACCGGGTTCGCTCGAGATGGTCTGGCGGAACTCGCTGTCCGGGCGCACAAAGCTTCCGTCGGCGGCTTGGTACGGCTGGATGGTGGGTTAGCACTGGGTTAACAGTACTTAGATCGGGGTTGGGGTGAGATTACCGTTGTTGTCGTCATATTTGATGGCCGTGTAAGTGAATGGATGACGTGAGACGGGTTGATTCAATTTGTTGACGTTTTACCTCCCGGAGCAGTCAGCAGTGGTTAATGAAGATCGCAAAGCACTTTGTGTTTGGAATTTGTCGTCACTGTCAATGCTCTTTTTATATCTTGGTCAATCGCAAGGGCGCGCACCACACTCTTTCAACCGCGCCAACATGCTCGATGGCGCGATGGCGCACCGTCCCCTCATTTGTCAGTCTTGCACGTCCGTAGTGTCGGACGAATTGGAAATGCAAACTTGGTTAGTATGGACGGCAAGTACGGGCGAGCACATAATCTAGGCGTCGTCTTTCCTTTGGAAAATGCATCAGGTGACAGGCAGTAGCCAAGTTCTGTTTTCAGTCCATTCAGCAGTGCACCGCTTAAAGGAGTGCATCCTCATCTACCGCGCAGTCTTTAGTTGCATTCGCATTCTTCAGCGATTTGTTTTACGCAGCTCGTTCTCCAACTTTACTAGGCGTAACATACTTTATCCGTCACTCACATCCTTCCCGTCTGACAGCCTAACCGGCCACTGCCGGGCGGGATGGATTCCAAACGGCGGCCGCCTTGCGCTGACGAATCCGGAATGAATTGATGGAATCCCACCGTCAAGTGCTTTCCTTGGTCGTGTCCCGCGGTCCTCTCTTTCGTGTCTGGTTCCACTTGCAGACTACAGTTCGGTCCCTGTCTCGAATCTCGCGGCTACGCGAGCTAGGAGAATACAGGCTCGCGGGCCAATCTGTATGCACGCCAGCGTGGTTAAAAAGCACACAATTTTTGGCGTGCTCCTCGACCGGCGATATGAACCAGTCAAGTTCCGCTAAAGTCCGTCCCAAAAGGGAAGGAATCGGTTGCTGGCCCGCTGCCGGCTAGCCGATGCGGGACGTGATGACGCGCGGGGAAGATTGAATATAAAAGGGAAGGCGCCCATCCGTTCCTGCCAAGACAAGAACATGGCAAACAACAAAACGGTCCTCACAATTTTCACATTTCCGTCCAAACAAACCAGATCGTTGCAGAGCAATTGAACGACCCCTTCCCCACCATGGCTACGTCGGCGCAAAAGGTCGTCTTCGGGGCGATGACGTTTGGTACGGCGGGCGCTGAACAGGCTCGCGTGCACGAGCTGTCGGACTGTGCGACGATCCTGGACGTCTTCCAGAAGCACGGGCACAACGAAATCGACACGGCGCGCACATACGGCGGCGGGTCGTCGGAGACGTACCTGGGCCAGCTGGATCTGCCCAAGCGAGGCATCGTGCTGGACACGAAGCTGGCGCCAGGCCGGGGGGGCGGGGGCGGCGCGCAGGCGCACACGTACACGCACCGCCCCAGCGACCTGGAGCCGGCGCTCCGCGAAAGCCTGGCGGCGCTGCAGACGGACAAGGTGGACATGTGGTACCTGCATTCGCCGGACCGCAGTGTGCCGTACGAGGACACGCTGCGCGAAGTGAACCGGCTGTACGAGCAGGGCTATTTCCGGCGGTTCGGCATCAGCAACTACGCGGCGTGGGAGGTGGCGCAGATGGCCGAGATTGCGCGGCGGCACGGCTGGAAGGCCATTGATGTGTACCAGGGTGTGTACAACGCGCTGCACCGCGCGGCCGAGCCGGAGCTGTTCCCGTGCCTGCGGCACTACGGCATCGCCTTTTACGAGTACAACCCGCTGGCCGGCGGCCTGCTGACCGACCGCTACACGCGCGCCGACACGGCCGCCGACGTCGAGCCCGGCAGCCGCTTCGACCCGGCCCGGACGCAGGGCACCAACTACCGCACGCGGTACTGGAACGACGCCTACTTTGACGCGCTGGACGTGGTGCGGCCCGTCGCCAAGGCGCACGGGATTCCGACGGCCGAGGCGGCGCTGCGCTGGGTCAGCCACCACAGTGTGCTGCGGAAAGAGCATGGCGACGCAGTGATTATCGGCGCCAGCAGCGCGGCACAGCTCGAGGACAATCTGGCGAGCCTGGAAAAGGGCCCTCTGCCGGACGAGGTGGTTCAGGCGTTTGACGATGCGTGGAACGTGGTCAAGGCGGCGTGCAAGCCCTATTTCCGGGTCTAGGTAGCAGGCAGGCAAAGGTGCCAGTAGACTATAATGTATTTCCATCCTATATACCATTTTTCGATTCCCCCCTGTCCCCCCGCTTCCGTATGCCGGCCTACTTCCCCGTATCTGTTGCCGCCATGACGCGCTCCATGCCCGGGTCGCAGAACGGATACGGGTCGCGGTAGTGCATGTTCAGGCCCGAGCACTCGATGGCCTGGCCCTTGATAACGTCGAGGTCGGGCCGCGCCGGGTCCTTGTTATCGAGGAAGATGAGGACGGCCTTGGCGATCTGCGCGACAGGCGTAAAGTACTCCTCGGGGAACTGCTGCCACAGCTCAGTCGTCAGCAGGTTCGTCTTGACCGTGCCGGGCAGCACGGCGTTGACGCGGACGGCGTCGCGCCGCCACATGACGCGGTCGATGCAGCGCATGAGGCCCAGCACGCCGTGCTTCGTGGCCGAGTAGACGGGGCTGCTAAAGGACGGGTACAGCGCGCCGCAGCTGGCTGTGAACGTGAGGACGCGCTCGCCCCGCGTCGACTCAGGCGATAGCCGGAAGTAGTGCTGCGCGAGGTAGGCCGTCGTCGTGGCCGCCGTCAGGCAGACGTCGATGATCGTCTGCGTGCCTTTGGGCAGCGGCGGCGGCTCGTCGCTGTTGGACGCCTCGGTGCGGTCATAGAACTCGTCGGCGCGCTCAGCCACACCGGCATTGGCATAGACAAAGTCGATGCGCTTGTGCAACCGAAAGATGTCGCGGAAAACAGTGCCCAGAGCCTTGTAGTCGGTCACATCGACCTGGTGGAAAACGCCGCCGACGACGCCGTCGACGGCCTTGACAGCCGCCGGGTTGTAGTCGAGGATGTGGATCTCCCAGCCGGCCTTGCGCGCGCCGAGGGCCGTTGCCGTGGCCAGGCCGATGCCGCTGGCTGTGCGGGTTAGGGGACTGTATTAGGAGCAGAGATCAGGGAGATCAGGGAGATCGACTTACCACCACCGGTGATGATTGCAACTCGTGTTTCGGCCATTATGAAGTGTTTTCAAAATGGGGAGAGAATTTATAGTACTGCAAACAAGAAGCAAAAGAATAGCAAAAAGCATAGAACGAAGAGGAGGCTCTGCTCTGTTTTATTGTTTTATTGTTGCCCGTAGCGGAATTGTCCATCGATACCCGATGGCTTACAACTAACATTGCCTACTCCCGCTTCCTAGGCACAGTCCCCGCACGACTACGGATAGTCTACTAACGGAAACACATGAGATCGTGAGGAGATCCAGGAAAACAATATGAAAACTACCTCGCGGCCGCGCGGAGTCGGGTACTCGTTTCACTCCTGACACGTTCAAGAGGGTGTTGAGACCCGGACGGACTAGGCACAGGGCGTGTTAGTGGGATCGGGCCACGGTGCTACTTGCGGAAAATAGCAACCGAGAGGACGGCCAAGGAGCAAGACCATCGGGGTTTCCCCAAATTGTGGAGACGTGTAAATATAGTATCTCTAAAGAGGCCGTGAAGATTGAGCATGCCGTCAACGAGGAACATTGACCTCTTCTTTGCTTTATTCAGCTATCACTATCCCATGGCTGATGTCGTAGCATGTACATTTGTCAACTGGTAACCGTCCACGAGCATCACACACGTAATTCTGCCTACGTCCGTCACATGTCATCGAGAACCCTACACTACCGACTGGTTGACGCGCTTCTCTTGCTCCTGCGCCACTCCCACGGCCGCATCCTGCTCGGCCACATTGACGGTAATGTTGACGCTCTTGGTCAGCAGGTGGTCGACGTTGGGCGCAAAGATGGCGAGGATGCTGCCGAGACCGGAAAACGCAATCGTCGTCAGGAAGACGGTGCTGTACGCCGAGGCGCTGGCTTCTTGGTAGGCGCGGATGCCGGCTGTCTGGATCTCGGGCGTCAGACCAGCGACGGCGTCCCAGGCAGCGGCAGTACCGGCTTGGATGGCGGCAATGAACGCCGCCACGGAACCCTCGGGCAGGCCGGCAGCCACAACGGCAGCAGGTACTTTGGCGGGGATGGTCTGCGCCAGGCGGTTGGACAGGACGGTCGTGTAGATGGTGGAGCAAACGGTCGAGATGAGCGAGCGCGACGAGCCGCCGGTGCCGGCATAGGTGCCAATCTCGCGCTGGTCTTGGATGGAAATGGTGGCGACGGTCGAGTTGAGCAGCTCGTTCCAGCCGATGAAAAAGGACGCAAAGAAGATGAGCGCCGACGAGCGCACGACCGTGTCGGGCGTGCTCGTGGCCATGGCGCCCAGCAGGACGCCCCCGACCGGGAACACGACCATAATCTGCCAGTTGGTCCGGCGCTTGAACGCAGCCGCACAAAACTCTCCCGCCAGAATACCACAGCCGGGAATGCACGACATCCAGCCGGCCCACATGCGGCTGTGGCCCTCCGAGTACAGCGCGGCGACCATGCTTGGCCACAGGATGGCGTTGGCGTAGTAGATGGCGGCGCCCAGCGACCACAGGACAATGGTGATGTTCCAGCCGCGGTGCCGGAAGACGTGGATCGGCATCATGGGCTCCTTGGGGTGGCCGTACGTCTCCCAGAGCACAAACGCCACGATGATCAGGAACCCCAGCACAATCGTCACAATGACCGCTGCGCTCTTCCATGGGTGCAGCGTGCCGCCCCACGAGATGCCCATGAGGAACAGCAGCAGGCCGAGCGTCACCAAAACGATGCCCAGGTAGTCAAAGCTCTTGATGAACGCCTGTTTGTTGGCCGACGCGTGCTTCATCCTGAAGGTCGGCGGGTGGTAGAACAAGTAGAACAGGACGGTCGTAAAGGCATTCAACGCAATCAAAAAGTAAAAGATGCCGCGCCACCCGGCCTTGGTCTGGTAGATGAAGGCATACGAAATCGCCGGCGCCAGGCCGCTGCCGGGGATGCCCCAGACAAAGACGTACGCCTGCGCCAGGAACCGCCACTGGAGCGGCACAATCTCGCCCACGGCGAACGCGTACGACAGCTGCACGGATGCGCCCACGCCGATCAGCGTCTCGCCCGCAATCAGCGCCGGGACGTTGGGCGCCACTGCGCAGACAATCGCGCCCAGCGTGCCCATCGCGTTGCCGCCGACGAACCACCAGCGGCGGCCAAAGATGTCCGTGACGCGGCCGACGACAATCAGACCAATCGAGCTGGTCAGGAGGTACGACATGGACACCCACGTCAGGTTTGGGTCGGGCCCAATGTCCGCGTTGACAATGCCCAGCACCGGAGCAATCAGCGAGAAGCCGCCGACACCGCAGCAAAAGGACAGCCCGATGGCCAGCATGGACCCCACGAAATTAAGGCTGCGGAAGTAGCCGGCGGGCAGCTGGTCGTCGGCCACGGCAAAGTCGGCACCAACCACATTGTCGTCTTCCGTATGGCCGAGCGCCATCTTTTCAAAGGCCGGCGTATCGTTGTTGTTGTTGTTGTTGTTGTTGTTGTTGTTGTTGTTGTTGTTGTCACCGTCGTAACCATGCTGCTGTGTTTGGATCTGGTCACGGCTCTGGTCTGGGCCGCTGTCATGATCGACGTGCGCCACCACGTCGGTCTCTGACTTGCTGCCAGGCCTCCCGGAGATGTCTGCCATGATAAAGGGATCGATGGCAACAGGGTAGACGAGGATGAGGAGAAGGATTGGAAGGGCGATGGTACAAGGGGATAAGAATATAAGAGAAGGAAGAAATGAACGAGATCAAGACGAGAGATATTGGTTGAAGAGGAATTGAAAAGATCAGCAAGGAACGGGGATGTGCATTGCTTTTTATGTCAGGGTCGACTGTCAGGGATGAGGAACAGCAGTAAAAATGGTCTAGCATGATATGGAATGTGCAGATACTCCGATGGCAGGCCAGGTCATTTCTGTTGCCAAGGACAAAAAGGACAAAGGAATCATCCTCTTCTATAGGGACGGTAAGCCATGACCGTGTGCAAAGTGGGCTCGACTTTTACACATAAGAGGAGATGCTGGAACAGGAGCAACCTTCATTGGACGACCACACGCAGATGGCTAGGTCAAAAGTCTCCTCATATGTTTGCCGACGTTCATTTACTCGACTGCGATTTACAAGTGTGCACATATTCTAGTCTCCGACATAAGCAGACGGACGGCTCATGAGACATATCGTGGTGTCCTTGTCTTTGTAGGGAACTGCGGGCATTGCAATAGAGGAAACCGCCAATCCATTCAGCTGGTATGAGCATGCCGTAACAAGAATAAAAGAAGACAAGAAAGGCGGTGATGAAGCCGTTTGTTCACCCTCGCTAACACCAAGTGATGTCTGCGTATCGTTTTCCGCGGTACTAAAACAGGCTGCCCCCAGACGTTTTCTGGGGAAACCAGCCCCAAGAAACGCGGGGTTGGGGACAACAAGGTTCGGAACGGTTCATGGCCGGCAAGTGGAGAAGGCGAAGAGATGGCTATGGGTAGTATGAAGGATACGTAAAAGAGTAAAAGGATTGATAAAATTCAGCGTCAGTGAAAAAAAAAAAAAAAAATGACCTGTACGAATTCCAACAGAAGCAAAGCCCCATCGATCTTCCCATTGACCTCCCCGTTGACTTTCTCCTCGATGTCAACATCCACCTCTTCGTCATCATCCTCATCAGACTAGCATCTTTTTTCGAGTGGGAAAGGGTTAGATTGACCATTGTCAGTTTGGAAGATTCCTGCGTTAGAAAAATAAAGTACAATATACGACAGCAATTCGAAACCCTCTTTGCCTCTATAAACAGCTTCTACTCGGATTGTGCCGTTATATCAACCATCTTGGTGGTCATTCACACGGCTGTCACGGCTGCGAGAGACGGCTCCAGTCCGCGCAAGTGTAGAGTGAGAATAAATCCGTCTCTCCCATCGTTGGGTGGCCATCAATACGAAAAGCGCTCTGGGAAAATGCCGAATTAAGTCGAGTTGGCAATTTTGACAATGGCAAGGTTGCTGCATGAGATTAGGTATGGTCACAGAATACCACGATGATAATGCCAGAAACAAAAGGATTGCAGTGAACATTGAATTCTGCGGCTTTGAAAACTGTGTGACATATCACGTACACGTCACGTTCTCTCCAAAGAAGGATCGTATGTTGGATGCCGTTGTGTGAGTTCGATGCACCTGTGATTTGAAAAGTGGGCCTTCAAGGTCAGGGGCCCACTCGAGCTGCAGGGGCTACCGAGGAGCGAGGCTACCCACAGCCGTGCCTTCCCCGTCCAGAGCCGTTGGCTGGTGGCCCCCTTTGCACCAATAACGCGACCGCAAATGGGTGCAGTGACGCCAAAATCAGAAACATCGCTTCACTTTTGCCGGTTTTTTGGTAACAGACGACCAGCACCGGCGGCCCCGAGGCGAACGAGCGCCACTCCCCACGATACCCGACGATACCCCAGCGCATTTGCACGACGTCGGCCGTCGACTGTTGACTTTTTCAATCTTGCCGATCGCCACTGGCCGTGACACGCTAGACGGCACCTCTCCTGACTAGCTCTCCCCTGACCCATTTCCGACACCATTTTTGTCTGTTCACGATACGCGTTGTTCAGTGGTTCAGTCGTTCAGTCCGCCCCCGACGACAGCTCTACGTCGCGATACTTTTTTTTACTTGCACGCTAGCACGTACGCCACGACGTGCCGAGCACGCTCTTGCTCTCCATTGCACCGGCACAACGACCCATCCTACTTCGACGTTCCTCGTCTCCCACACCGACAACGCAACATGGCCAACACAAACCGCTTTTCCACCTACACCTCCGTGTCGGCCGGCTCCGGCAACAATGCAAGCGTGTCTGCGTCCGCGGCGGGGCCTGACGGCACCAGTGGGAGCGCTGGCAAGCCGAAGAAGGACCTGTGGAACTCCATGCTGGACTCCGTCGCCAGCGGCCGCAAGCTGCCCGAGCGCAACCTGCTCGTGCTGGGCGGCACCGTCGACTCGCAGCGCGAGTTTCTCACGTCGCTGGGTGACCGCCGGTCGTCGACCAACCTCGGCGGCGGCGGCGACCCGACGCTGCCCGGCGGCGCGCCGGTGGCCAACAACTTCGCCCTCGGCTACACGTACTACGACGTGCTCGACGCCGACCAGGACGGCGACATCCTCGCCCGCATTTCCTTGTACCTGCTGTCGAAACCGTCGCCCGCGTTCAGCGCGCTGCTGCAGCCGCTGCTGACGCCCGAGACCATTCCCAACACGCTGATTGTCATTCTGCTCGACTGGGCCCAGCCGTGGCGGTGGCTGCGCCAGCTGCGCGAGTGGATCCTGCTGCTGCGCACCGTGCTGGTGTCGCTGAGCCCGGCCGCCAAGGAGGCGCTGGAGGAGGTCATGGAGCAGTGGCGCGAGCGCGGCCGCGGCGGCTCGCGCAACCTGGACGGCACGACCACCGCGTCGGCCGCAGGGACCAGCGGCAGCGGCGGCGGCGGCAGCAGCAGCAGTGGTAACGGTGTTGGTGGAGGGGGCAGTGGCGACGGCGGCGGCGACGCGCTGCCGCCGGGGCCGGGCGAGTGGGAGGACGCACTGGGCCTGCCGCTGTGCGTGGTGTGCCAGAACGCCGAGAAGACGGACGTGCTCGAAAAGACACAGGGCTGGAAAGACGACGAGTTTGACCTGGTGCTGCAGTACCTGCGCACGGTCCTGGTGAAGCACGGCGCCTCGCTCATCTACACCACGCCCAACGTGCCCTCGCAGCTGCCGACGCTCATCCACGCCTGCCTGGGCGTGACATCGCTGCTCAAGCGCCCGCCGCTCAAGCCCGAGGTCATCAAGCGCACCGAGGTGGTCGTGCCGTCCAACTGGGACTCGTGGACCAAGATCTTGGTGGTGCGCGAGGGCTTCGAGGTCGACAAGGTCAGCGCGGGCTGGTCCATCGACCTGCAACGGCCCTACCCCGTTGTGCAGGCCCAGGCGGCAGGCCATGCCAACGGCACCAACGCCAAGAACGACGCATCACAGCAACCCGGCACGCGGACAAGATCACCACCACTCGACGACGCGCCCCCACCAGAGCGGGACGAGTACACGCTCGAGGGCCAGGGCCAGGGCGAGAACGGGTTTGCCAACGGCAGCAGAAGCGGCGATCGCCCGGAACCCGTTGGCGGCGCCGACGACGACGACGACTACGAAGAGGACGACGAGGACCACGACTCGGCTGTGTCACAGTACGAGCGTGCCATCCGCGACCCGGGCATGGACGTGCTGGCACTGGCAGGCGGGGATCTCGAAGCGGACGACGAGGACGATGCAGACGACAACGAAACCGGCACACAAAAGCGCCGCCGCCGCCGTCGGCGCCAGCAGCTCGAGGTCGAGACCGAAGACGTCCAGCTCTTCCTCGGCGACCAGCTCAAGCTGCTCGAGCAGCTCCGCCAAAAGGACGAGGCCAAGCGCGACAAGGAGGCCAAAGAGTCGAAGCGCCGGGACGGTTCCATGGGCAGCGGCAGCGGCTCCAATGCGTTGGCGAACGCGGACGATCCCGCCGAGGTCATCAGCAGCCACATTGGCCCTGTGCAGTTTAACCTCGGCGGCATCCAAGTCGACGCCGACGATATGCTGGAGCGGATCAAGGTAAGCACACCTCTGCCTCTACTCTACTACGCAAGGATTCACATGCTAACTCTGCATCTTATGTAGAACCGCCATGGATATGGTTCGGCATCCCCAGAACCGGGCAGCCCCGACGGGTCTGCCATCGGTGCCGGTGTAGCAGGGGGTGCCGCCCCCGGTGCGGGTGCAGGAACCGGCGTCGACGGTGCATCCCTGGCGCCGGAGAACGTTGACACAGAGAAGATGACGGCCTTTTTCGCAGACCTCATGAACCGGCCAAGCCAGACGAGAAAGTCATGAAAAGTGGAAGACGGGCTGAAATAGGGGGAAGGTCGAGAATGTACTGTAGAGTAGGCCAGAGCGATTCAATTTTGGCCGGTTTCGTTTTACTTTGTCTTCAAACTCCTCGCAAGATATCCATATATAGATGTCTGTTTTTGTCACTTTTTTTGCCTTCAGTACGTACAACACGAAATGGCCTCATCCGTCTTGATTGCCAAGTCAATTTTCACGAGGAAATTATGAATAAAATAAGACAAAAGGGTCTCCAGGCTCCCATGCAGACTCAGCTCGTCTGAAGCTTGTTAAACATATGAATAGACAAATACTTCAAACGTGTATAATTTCTGTCTGGTCACAACCACTGAGTGCCTTGGCCCGTTCTCGATCGTCAAGTATGTCGCCACGGCCGTTATCAGGATGTAGGCAAGCACTCAATATCCTAAGAAAGACTGTTGTTGACAAGAGACAAGCCGTCAATCTTTGACTTGGTGGCTCTAGATGCTTGTGGAAGAGATCTAGAACCTCGCCGTCAAGGCTGCCATGTTTGACAAGTTGAAAAAAGCTGGCAAGTCCGTACTTCTGTTGAGTAATGAATTATCTATCCCTTACCTGGCCTGAGGGAGGATTTACAACGGCGACATTAAGGAATGAACCCTGGGACGGCCCTCGCCCAAAAACTAGATCGACAATAGTATATGTCAACAGGCCAGCCAAGGCATTATTTGGCCACAGTGTGGCTCTTGTGGCAATGTGGCAATGTGACAAAGGTGGAGAGAAACATATCCAAGCTTTTGTTCTAGGCCAGTTTCGTCATGATTTCTCGGTGGCACAACCGAGACAACTTTTCTGGTAACCAGCAAGACGTCCGCCAAAAGGTAGAGTCCGCCGTAAATAAACAAGGGAAATAACAAAAAAACACTCCCAGCGGAAACCTGGTGTCTTTCCCCACGCCGCGGCAAATGCAACGAGGAACGCACCGGCATTGCTCGTCTTGGAATCCTCGAGAACTAGCCCATTTTGGAGCCCGTTTCACCCAACACGGGACAACTACAAGCTTTAAAAAACAAAATAAGAATACGCCGTCGAGCTGTCGTTGATGTGTGGCTGCTGAGCTTATTCACTTTTCGGGGGACACGTGAACTGCCAGGACTTTGCGAATCCATCCTGTTTTGAATTTCTCAACAAAAAGAATCGGCGTCATGTATCCATGTATCGCACAACAAACGGTCGTTATTTACCTGTCAGTCTTAGTCCCGTCTTTTGGATTCTGAAAGCAGGAAATGGGACTCATTGCAATTCATTGCAATCACCCGAGGCGGCGTCCCTTTGCTGTATCCTGGAGCCTGGTTTTCTATTTTTTCTTGTGTTTGCCTCTTCCTTGATTTTAAGTTTTGTTCTGACAATTTTCAACAAAAAACTGGCATCGAACCACTTTCCAGCAGTATGGGGTTGTTTGTTCGTTTGTTCGTTTGTTTTTTTTAAAAAAAAAAAGTTTTGTCAACATCCGGGCCTGCCTTCTATGCTAGGCGACCACGGCGACCGAGGCGACTTGTTATTTCGGTCTCGAACAGCGGCGTATATCCACTTTTCAATGCACTTTCGAGATTTTCCAGTTTCTTAAAACCGTGGGGCAGTGGTGGCGTGCTGGCCGCCGATTGAAAATAGTGATATTAGCGGGAGCCTTTTGGCCAGGTTTTTTGTGACGTTTCGTTCTCTAGCCAATGACCGTTGCCGTCTTAGACGCCGTTAGCTGTCTCAGAGAATGACGTGAATTGGCAGCCTTGCTTGTTTGTCTATTATACTGTCACCTGTCACGCTGTGACAGTTCCAACGCCTCGGGAACCTTGGCCCGGGGATCTACCATTAAAACAGAAGATTTGTGAAAAGAAATAAAAACGAAGTGCAAACCGTACGACCCATGACATTAGGCCACACCGCCAGCCTGTGGCCATTGCCGGGAGCCGCAAAGAGCGGTGTTTTCACAGGTAGAATAGCAATGACAGACATACTGGACGTCGTTCTCGGCCGAAACGACACGGTGCTACAGATGTACGACGTCGAGCCCATCCTTTGATACCGACGGTGTAGACATGCATGCTATCTGCTATCACTGCCGCACCATGAAGGTGGGGGTTATGCATTCTGTGCTGTCGAGGTGCCAAGGAGCCCAAGTTCAGGGCATCTTTTCCTTATGGACCTTCCATCCGGTGAGTTCAGACGAAAAGTAGAAATAAGCGGGGATATGGTGAATCCCGCTCTGAAACGCGAGAGTCGGTGCAGTCTCGGTTCAATCTGATTGATCAGCTGCAGTATGGGTTCCCGAGTGTCCTGCAAAATCTCGATGGAAATATCGTGCCCGTCAACAGACGCTTGCGGCAGCCGGGACACAAAAACATGGACCCGTCCGGGCGGACAAGCGTGAAGGACGGGTAAGGCGGGAGGTTGTTGTTGGACACATAAATGGTGGCGAAAATGGAGTGCTTATAGTAAAGATGTCAAAATCGACGGAAGGGAAGGGAAAGGAAGATTCAAAAATAAGGACACACTCGCAGAGTTGTGGGGATAAAGCATTGATAACTTACGAAACTAACGACAACACTGAATAAGAAACAAGGAAAGAAAAACGAAAGCATCGCCGTCTGAACACATATGGACGAAAAGTATGAACCGGGGCCTGCGGAATGCGCTAGGAAAATAATGCAAAGGCCTGTGGCGCCAATATTGCTAACCAGGGGCATCGGTAGGGAGTGGAGACTACTGCGCACTGCAGATGGTAAAGGGTTATGACGAAAGCTGGCATTATGGCTGTTGCCGATTTCGTTATTCTGACGCTTTTCTTGGAGTGTAGATGGGGGTGGGTGCAGTTTAGTGAGTTTATTGAGTTTAGTGGGCTCAGTGGAGAGAGTTCCACTGGCGCAGAGTTAAAGGATGCCGCCTGCCCTTCAGAGTTTAAGCTGCACCACATCCACATGCAAAAGCGTAAGCGAAGCAAATCGGCACCGAATAACGAAGAAAAAAGCACCGAGCCAAAGCAAAACGCCATGAAACAGGTATATACACACACCCCCCAAAAAAAGAAAGAAAAGACAAAAAAAAACTCCGCAACTCTTGCAAGCGTTTACTTTGCGCGGGTCGTACAAAGCACAGCAACTACTGACAAAAAATACGGGTACGTCGTACGCGCAGTCCAACACCACTTGGTGGAGTCGACAACCACGGGGAACACAACGACGCAAGTATCAATACGACACAGACGAACAAGAACGACCGACTGTGACAAAGTACGGAGTATGACAATACGACGTGATGAGTTTTACAAGAGGCTTTATGAATATAGTCAGTCGAATGCAGTTCCATCCCGTTCGTATGGCGGAATCGCGTCTGTCCGCACAATACATAAATGCGTTTCGGTATTTGTGGATCACTGCAGAGAAAGGAGACAATTTGGACGAGAAGGGAAAAACGATGTCCACAAAAGTGCACACAAAAAGAAAACCGACAAGCAGACAAAACCATCCCGATCGTCATACCCAATCTACGACAAAAGAACGCAACGCAGAAAGCGCAAAACGTTCTGTTCTCCGGCCCGCATCAAGCCCGCCCTGTCAGCGTCCCCAGTTGCGCCTGGCCTATCAGACACGAGAAGGAGCATTTGCTCCGGCGTGTTGTCTTGTGCTGTTCAAAGTGTGGGTGAATGGGGTGTCCTTCGATTCCGCTTCCATTTGGGCCTCAGTACATTCATACAGGGTCTTAGTATGCAGCATAGGGGCCCTCGGGCCATAAAAATTAAAAATAAAAGCAGCGAGGTGGGAGAGAAGGCATTTCGGCAGCTGGCGGACGATGCAGGACATACCGCCGCCTCTAGGTAGGATAGGCCGTTCTCGTAGTGATAGATCGGCGAGATAGAGAGGGTCATGGGCGAGGAAGGAGGTCTTTGCAGACAATGTGGCAAGCACGCTCGCGTTCCTGGTCTCTGGTGTTCCTGGTGTGTGTTCCGGGTGGGTGTACCCGGTGGCTGTTCCTGGTGTCTTCCAACGTCTTTGCCCCTCGCCTCCGAATATGACGTTCAAGACTTGAACAACTTTGAAGGGGCACTTTAGTCTCCCTCTTTCAGCCCTGTCCATTCTCGGACCACTCTCTCTTGAACCATATTTACGCCCCATGTACCACCTGTAAGATTCCTCGATACCTCTTTATGCCGCCGCTACAGTATGCCTCCTCTCGCCACACTTCTCCGCCGGGCCGCAGTTGACCTTGGTTGGGTGAACACCAAAGCACAGATCAACCAACCACACCGGGCAAAGCAGGATCAACAACATCAGAGAGGGGAGGGAGGTAACAAGCAGCAGGCTAACGGCTTGCAGACAGGCCTCGTTACCAAGACAGGCAGCAGGTATAGCCATCCATCCTGCAAAATAAGGGGCACAGGCGACCAAGAAACGAGCACATACCCGGAAAGCCACAACAACTAGCAACAACACGGCAAACGACGGCCGGTAACACATTGGCACCTAGAACGCCTTACAGCACAACCCATAACGTCATCTCTGCATCACGTGGCCTTTGCACTGCAAGATCCCACACGACCGTTGCTAGTTCCAGGAAGACGTGCATCGAGGGAAAGGGGGGTTGCCTCTGTAGAGGCAAAAATAGCAGGGGCACGCTGAAAGGTAGGCGGGAGTGTCTGAGGGACAAGAAAGGAGAAGCAGAAATTCATGAAAAAGAGGAGCATAAGTGAAGCAGGGCCACAGCCAGACGCGGGAAGCAAATCGTGCCAGATGAAAAACCGGGGAGGAGCCACATTCATCTCTCTAACGAGCCACACCTTGGCCGGAGAGAATCGTCCGTTGATGCCCATCGCTCCCCAGCATCCGACACCCAGGTTGTATCTTGCACTTTGACTTGATTTGATTTTTCCCATCAGTTCAGTCGTGTCCATCAGCAACAAACAAGGGGATACGGCTGCCCCGCCCACGACGGAGAACGGGCAACAGAGTCGAATAGGTGCCGAGCCGAGAGGGAAATAAGCACACCCGCCAGGACGCTGGGTGGATTCTACCCGGTTGGAAATCAGCACATTCGAAAACACAACGCGGCAGTCACCATAGCACGCACAGCACACAGACCAGTCGACACCGTCGGTTCGTCATCAACAAAACAATCGTCACATCAGCCATTCCAACGAACCACAGCGACAAAGGGACGAGGACATCAAAAACAACGTCGATTCAGGAGACGACAAAAGGAACCGAAAGCAACCCAGCCAGGGCCGGCAACGACAGACAACAGAAGGGACGGGGAAGGCATCAGTCAAGGGCGACGAACCAACTTTCAGTTGCCAGCAACGTCTTCTCAATATTTCCCCTTGGCCGGATTCTCTGCGGGGTCCAAGACAGTTTTAATGTGCACTGAGCACATCGCTGACTGCCCAGCCTGCGGGAAAATCTACCTGACTTATATCGCCTTCTGCCATGAGTACCATCCTCCACTGGTGAAGTGTCCTGTCGGTACGAGGATGGAGGTGACTGAGATGCCGGAAGGAAATTGTCCAAGTCCCGTCTGTCCGAACAGCCAAACCGGGGGCTGTCAGGTTATATGATCAGCGGAGCCACCATCGTCATTGGGTACACTTGGCTTCGTTCTGGCCCCCAGCCCTACAGTTTCTTGTCGACAGAGAAACTATTACCCACCTCGACGACTTGATCGATGCCTTCGTACTGGGGGACATCGAAGTCGTACTTCGAGGCGATGGACGGCGCAACAAACCTAGAAGGAAAATGGGTCAGGTTCTTCAATCATACGGCTGCGGACAGTGCCGCCGTGCCTAGTAGCACCTGGTCCGATCTCCAAAGGGACACGAAGAACGACCATACAACAATGGATGAGTGTGAGTGAATCGTACCTTCCTCCGATGAAGTGACGGCCCTTGAAGTGCTTAACGAGGGGCTTGGGGGCAGTAAGGCTGACGAGAACTGCAGGGTGGAATTTGCTCCCAACTCCTGACTCTGGCGGGCCGTCCTCAATACTCCACGACGACGGAGCATCAACCGATGTCACGGGGATCTTTGTGTCCTCCAAGGCCTTTATGACTGCCGGGAATGGCTCCCTGACCTCTCCGGAGAAACTGAAGCCTGATCATATAAAGTTTGAACCGAAATCAGCAAGTCTGTATCAACGTCTTCATAGCCGAGCTTCACCTAGGAAGCAGGTTTCAACCTAACCAAAGATTGCATCGACGACATGGTCGGTCGCACTGAGGGCGGCTGTGAAGTCGTCGGTAAAAGGGACATTCAAGTCTTCGAGCTGCTTCGCCAGACGCTATGCACCGGCCAGTCAGTACGTTGACAATCAAAGATGGAGGCAAGAACGAATCGGAGCGACAGCGGCGAGGCTACACAACAACATGGCCGAAGAAATCAAGAACGACGACGGTAAAGTAGGGGGGAGTGGGAGTACTAAAAGGTCCCGAAGGGGTGATAACGATATCAACATCCAACACTTAGCGCCTGTCATTGAACTCAACAGCGTCATATCACAAACACGGATAGACAATCAATAAATATGTATACCCATAACGGAGTGCGGGTCATATTCAGGACAGCTGATCCAACGAGGGTGTGGGAATGTGGCACAGGACAAGTACGGTTGGAAGTGGACATCGTCAGACAAAAGAAAATCTAAACCGTTCACGTACGTGGTAAAGCTCGTTTGAGCTTCGCTTTGGATAATACACCGTCGGCTGGTACCCGTAATGGCTAAGGTGCCTTGCGGCAACGAGGCCGTCACCACCTAAGTTATACCCGTTAAACCACCTTCCCAGTTCCGCAAGCATATGCAATGACAGTGCAAGCTTACCATTATTTCCGGGGCCACACGCAAGGAGGACACGGCGACCGTTGGATGGAGGGTGGACGCGGTAAACTGGGTGTGTCATTCTAGTTAATTTGAAGGTTCCAATGCAAGCTGAAGTATCCCGTTTGAGCAGCAAAATTTCCACGAACAAAACCGCTATGCTTTGTTGCTTCTTTAAGGGGCTGATTCATGGAAATTCGGCGACAATTGCATGGCAGTATCACCGCCAAGGACATGCAATGTGCGAAGATCGAAGTTATCTGATTTCACGCACCGGCTTGGGAGACCGACAAACCGGCCAATTCCATGAGCTGGTCAATGCTGAAGGCACCGCTGCTCATCAACTCCTTGTCCAAGGCTGCAGCCGCCTTAGCAGAGATCGTCTAAACAAGGGACAAGAGAGTTAGCTGCAAGGCCACATTATCGACAAGCACAAGGAATATGTCCAAATATAAACAGATATGCAAATGAGCAAAAACGGAAGAACTCGGAGACGGGGCAAGGACCACGAGTCTAAATCTGTACCATCAACGTTCCTGTAAACAGGTACCTCTCGGCTGTCGTAGATGTCGAGGACAGACAGCGTCATGGGTCGGTCACACATACCTTTAATGCCATTGGGATCGTGTCCGCGGCATCGACGGCGGATTGTGGCGATGAATATCGACGTTGCCGCGAAGCTAGGAAAGGGGCAAAGTAGGAAAAGGTGAAGGTAAGAAACGGAAAAGCAAGACAAGAGAAGGTCAGAGCATACAATTGTGGGGGAAGGTGGGCAAAATGACGAGTGGAAGAATGGAAGGAGTTCAGTCAGTCTTTCTTGCCCTTTTGAACGACGTAATAGTACACTTTTTTGTCGAGTTTCCTTAGGTGGGTGGCCGCTGTAATCCGTTTAGTCATATGACGTATAACGAGCGGTTACGGGCAAGTGCGACCATTAAGCTCGCTACAGGTGCTACAGGTGTGGCAGACGAAACTCCGGTTTAAGCAGCTCAGCACTTACTTGCAGACAGACGACCATGATTCTGCACGCTTTAGCCGCGTTTTAAGAAACTGCAAGGTTGCGTTGTCTGCACGCCTTGGACTGGAGAGTTTGAATGGACGATGGTTTGGAGACTGTGCCTGACATCATTGCCGGGAAACGGGACGCTAGCGAGCATGCAGGCCCCTAAAACAGGTCACTGGCAGGGCCCTGCAGATTTCCAAGCTTCCAAAAGTGGCCCGTTAAATGACTAAGCAAATGGTGATTAATCATCATCTTAGCGCGAAAGCCCATCGCAGCATTTTTCGTGGGCATCGGGAGTTTTCGATGCTCGCACGACCACGAAACGCACAAACGTGACCGGCGACATTGACGACACCACGACCGCAACCGCGATATACGCGAAGATATCTGTCCAGGGCTTAGGCTCTCCCGTCAATTGACTCACCTCCCTATCCTGCTCGACTCGAACGCTCACTCCTCACACGCAGACGCACAAAATGGTCATCAAAATCCGCCTTGCGCGCTTCGGCCGCACCAACCAGCCCATCTACAACATTGTTGTGTCGCAGGCACGGACAGCACTCAGGAGCCGGCCCATGGAGGTGCTCGGCACATACGACCCGATACCACGGCGCGACCCTTACGAGGCGATGAACCAGCGTCCCGGCGCGCCGCCGCCGAAAGCACACAAGGACATCAAGCTGGACATTACGCGGGCCAAGTACTGGATTGGTGTCGGGGCGCAGCCAACGAAGACGGCATGGCGGATATTGTCAATGGTAAGTCGTCGATGTGCCCTCCTCCCATCCTCGAGTATTGAGCATGGTCTAACCGACAACAGGTGGGCATCCTGGAGAAAAAGAAGCGGCCAGACCCCCCGCGACCGCTGGGGCCTGTGCCGGAACAGGCAGTACCAGCTTTCGTTCCGAAGAAATAGAGAGCTCGGGTCTATAAATGAACCATTTTTGCAAGCATACCCTTGGTGGGATATTCGAGACCCCGGATAGCACGGTTCCGTCTAACCGAAGCCACACAGTTCTCGGTCCAGACGGGCAACAAAACGCATACATGGAGAAACAGGAGCAACGTTTTCAACCGTCAAAGGAGACACGCCGACGAATCATACAATGGCGGCGAAAGGGGGCACTTCGATTGTATATATTAAAACATCCATACCCTATACTTTTACGTCAGCATCTATGTACAACATCAAAATACGAAATATACAAAAAGTACTCGTGACTCCATGTGTTCACTGGTAGAAAATGGTACTGCAGTCGCGCTTGGGTGAGGGGTATAAAATAGATCGTAATTTTTTTTATTCCAGCCGTGACATCTCGGAATAATGGAACTCGTCTGAAAGCATAAATCATAAACACAACGACAAAATCTTTCCGAAAGACAAAAGTTCTCTTTTGCTATGCAGACGTTAAGTTGAGAACGCCCCCCTTTTGAGGTGTGGTTTTCTATAGATCCATGGTCCTCCTCCTTCGATGGGAAGGGGATATGTGTTGAAAAAAATCAAAGTAAGCCTCCTGAGAACAGAGACAAGTAAAGTATCATACTCGCTGTATTCTAGTCAAGAGCAAAGTATCATGTTGTTGAAACCCTCGCTAATCCAGTAAAAAAAATCAAGCCGGTTGAACGCCATAAATCAAAAAGCCGCAATAGCCAATATATGTGCAAATGAAAAGATGGTCAAAAACCAAAACGAAAGGCACGAGGCCTTTTTACTGCTCGCCGGTGGTATCCTCGACCGGAGGGCACGTACAGAAGAGGTTCAGGTCACCGTACGCTGCAATTTTGTTAGCAAAACGAAAGAAAGAAACAAAAAGGAATTGGAGGTCACGTACTGTCGTCGACACGGGCAACGGCGGGCCAGAACTTCTTCTCGCGGAGCCAAGGCAGCGGGTAGGCGGCCTGCTCGCGAGTGTACGGCCGGTCCCAGGTCTTGTCGGCACTGTCGCCAATGACATCGTGGACGGGGTGCGGCGCCATCTTGAGCACGTTGCCCTCGCGGGGCACACGGCCCTCCTCGATGGCGCGGATCTCCTTGCGGATACTGACCAGCGCATCCACAAAGCGGTCCAGCTCGGCCTGGCTCTCACTCTCGGTGGGCTCAATCATGAGCGTGTTGGCGACAGGCCAGCTCATGGTCGGCGCGTGGAAGCCGTAGTCTTGCAGACGCTTGGCAATGTCAATCGCCTCGACACCGGCAGACTCACGGAAAGGCCGCACGTCGAGAATGAACTCGTGCGCGCAGCGGCCGTTCTCGTTTGTGTACAGAATCTGGTAGTGGGGGCTGAGGCGGCTCAGCAGGTAGTTGGCGTTGAGCATCGTGATTTTGGTGGCCTCCTTGAGACCGTCGGCGCCCATAAGCAGGTTGTAGGCCCAGCTAATAGGCAGGATGCTGGCGCTGCCAAACGGCGCACTGCTGACAGGCGGGAAGGCCTGGCGATCACCGTCGGCTGCAAAGTACTCGGACTCGGGAGGCAGAGTCTTCTCAAGGTGCTCCTTGACGCAGATTGGGCCCATGCCCGGGCCACCGCCACCGTGAGGGATGCAAAAAGTCTTGTGGAGGTTCAAATGGCACACGTCGGCGCCGATCTCACCAGGCGAGCACAGGCCAATCTGGGCGTTCATGTTGGCACCATCCATGTAGACTTGGCCGCCGTGCTCGTGCACAAGCTGGCACGCGCGGCGAACACCGGGCTCAAAGACACCAAAGGTGCTGGGGTAGGTAACCATGAAGGCAGACAGCCGATCGGCGTACTTCTTGCACTTCTCCTCCAGATCCGCGAGGTCCAGGTTGCCGGTCTTGGCGTCACAACGGATGGGGACGACAGACATGCCGGCCATGGCAGCAGACGCGGGGTTGGTACCGTGGGCCGACACCGGGATCAAGCAAATGTCACGCTTGGTGTCGCCGCGGAGCTCGTGGTAGCGGCGAATCGCGCGCAGACCAGCGAACTCGCCCTGTGCGCCCGAGTTGGGCTGCAGAGACACGGCATCCATACCAGTGATGTCGCGCAGCTGGTCCGTCAGACTGGCCAAAATGCGCTGGTAGCCAGTGGCCTGGTCGCGTGGCACGTAGGGGTGCAGTTGGTTGAAGCCAGGCATGCGCAACGTTGCCATCTCCACGGAGCCGTTCAGCTTCATGGTGCAAGAGCCGAGCGGGATCATGGAGTGGACCAGCGACAGATCCTTGGACTGCAGGTGGTAGATGTAGCGAAGCATCTCGGTCTCCGAGTGGTGGGTGTTGAAAACAGGATGTGTAAGGTACTTGGACGTGCGGCGGAACTCCTCGGGGATCGTAGTCTGCGTGATGGAGCCGGCCTCGACCTCCTTCAGGAGGTTCTGCAAGAACGACTCGAGGCTGTCGGCAGATGATGCGCCGCTGATGGCAGGGGCCGCCTCATAAAAGGCGCCAATGACAGCCAGAAGGTCCTCGTGCGTCTTGGCCTCGTCGTTGCTGACACCGACCTCGTCGTCGTTCAGCTTGCGAAGGTTGCAGCCACGGTCAAGAGCGGCCTGCAGTAGGACATCGGCCTTGCCGCCAGGCGTCTTGACAACAAAAGTATCGAAAAGAGAGTTGGTGGGCTTGAGCTCGAGGCCGAGTTGTGATGCAGCGCGCTCGAGAATGCGGGTGCCGGTCATGATGCGCTCGGCAATAGCGCGCAGACCCTCGGGGCCGTGGTAGATGGAGTACAGAGCCGACATGTTGGCCAGCAGGGCCTGGGCCGTGCAGACGTTGCTCGTAGCCTTCTCACGACGAATGTGCTGCTCACGGGTCTGCAGGGACAGGCGAAGAGCGTGGTTGCCAAGCCGGTCCTTGGATACACCAATCAGACGGCCGGGCATCTTGCGCTTGTACTTGTCGGCGACAGCGAAAAAGGCCGCGTGTGGGCCGCCAAAGCCCATGGGCACACCAAGGCGCTGGGCGCTGCCAAAGGCAATGTCGGCACCCCACTCGCCGGGCGGCGTCAGGACAGTCAGAGCCAGCAGGTCAGTCGCACAGCTCAGCAGGGCCCCATGTTTGTGCACCTGGTCGGCCAGGCCGCGGAAGTTCTCCACACCACCCTCCGTGTTGGGGTACTGGACGAGCACACCGACAAGGTCCTCGCCGAGCGTCTCGAGCGTCTCGGCGAAACCAGCCGATGTGACGTCCCCGGTCACGACCGAAATGCCGAAGCCGTCGGCACGGCCACGCAGCACCGCGAGGGTCTGGGGGTGGACGAGGTGGGAGACGACAAACGTCTTTCCTGGGCGGCGAGCGCGCGAAGCAGATAGCATGTTCATGGAGAGGGTCATAGCCTCGGCGGCAGCGGTACCCTCGTCGAGCAGACTCGCGTTGGCGACAGGCAGCGCCGTCAGGTCGGTGACGACGGTCTGGAAGTTGAGGAGGGACTCGAGGCGGCCCTGGCTGATCTCGGGCTGGTAGGGAGTGTAGCTGGTGTACCAGGCGGGGTTCTCAAGCACGTTGACCTTGATGACTTCAGGGACGAGGGTATCGTAGTAACCGGCGCCAATGAAGCTCTTGGTCTTCGTGTCGTTCTCGGAGGAGACAGCCTCGGCATAAGACTTGACGGTGTGCTCGGCCAGCGGCTCGTTGATGGCGCGCGTGACCGGGTCGTCGCGAGCAGACTGGGCCTTGGGGAACAGGGGGTGCTCCGTCAGAATATCAGGCGGGACAACCTGTGCAATGAAGTCGTCCAGGCTCTTAGCAGGCGGCGAGAGGGCCTTGAGCATGGCGTCGGTCTCGGTCTGGTCCGGGCCAATGTGGCGACGCTGGAAGGTGTCGAGGGCCTGATACTTCTTGGCAAAAGCGCTGGAAGTGGCCCAAGAGACGGCAGCCGCGCTCGACGACGAGCTCGACACGCCCCGGACACACTGCTGGCATGTCCATCGCGGCGCGGAGAATGTCGATGCCGGTGCAGCCAGTCTGGAGCCTGCCCGTGCTAAGCGGCTGGGGTGTAAGTGCCGCGAAGCGGTAAGTCCCCGGCTCAGCATTGTCGTCGTTGTATGCAGGTGGGAGGCTGTCGTGAGGGGAGGGGGCAAAAATTGGAGTAGGCACGCTGCCAGGGGGAAAGGAGAGGAAGATGACGCTCAAAAGAGATCACCAGAAGAGAAATTGCAAGAGGACACGAGAAAGAAAAGAAATGCAAGAAGGATGGAGGGGAAAGGGAAGGAGCAGAGCAAAAAGAGGGACGCGCCTGCCAACACAGCAGGAACCACCGAGATAAAAGATAAAAAAAATTATTATCAATGAGTAGTGTTATTGTGGAGGCGGAAAGAATCGGCCAAGGACTAAAGATTGGAGAAGCTAAGGAAGGGGTAAAGTACATAAGGGACCGGTCTCTATGACATGTGCCAGCACCAATTCGCCACTTCTTGACGAGGTCGCCGTGTCTCTCTTGCAGGGTTGCGTATGACAGATTGGTACGATACAGTTGACCGAGGACCGGCGGCTGCTGGCTCACAGCAAAACATAGACGGTAAATATAGAAGAAAACACTGCATTCGAGCCTGACCGCGTCGACGATGCCGGAGAGGGAAGGAGGCAGCGACATGAGGAGACGGTGAGAGAAGGCACGGCCACGCGATCGAAAGGCACTACCACTCGCCCATTTCGATCCAACTACTACGAATACATTAGCAATGGAAATCGGAAGGTGCAGAAAACGGCAAGAACACAACTGCGAGAACGGGCAGTTTGCGATGCGTCGCATTCCGCAAACAGCAGGAGCAGGCGACAGACAAGACTCCGCACCAGGCGACCATACAGAAGTACAAGTGTTTGTTCCGCCGTAGCGAGACAGGTTAACGCATAAAAACGTCAGGGAAAGGGGCTTCTGGGACGGTGTGCCACTTTCAACGCAGTGCTCCGTGAGATAAGAAGCCGTCCGCCCATCCATGATACGAAAGTGTGAGTTGCGGGGAGCAGCGGGCCATTCTCGCTGGCTCCTTCCACATTGGTTCACAGTGGTTCACATTCTCACCGATTCCAGTAATTGTACTCCTTACGGTATGGCAACTGCTGTCGCCCTCGTTCATTCACCTTTACTCATTTTGTTTCAGAGGCCTTTGTCGAGCGCTCGCAAAACTTGTCCCTCGCCTTTTGCACTATCTTCCTTTACTGCTTTTGTTTCTGTATTCGACCTCTAATTCCTACGCTCCACATATCTCCAGCAAAATGGGTCGACACGGGCCAGACCATAGGTTTTCTTCCCCATCAGTAGTTATTTCCCAATTGGGCATTTTTACTCCAAGCAGCAAGTGGTTCAAGTGCGCCCCGGTTATTCTCGGACGGCTTAGCGGCTGTCGCTGTACTTTAGGTCGTCGGTTTTGCTGGGCCGTGCACTGAGCAATTGGCACACCAAGCAATACACTGTCCAATCAGAGGCTGACTCCTTCCCGCCACACCATCGTCACATTTGTGGCGATAGAACAGTCGTGGAAGAATCGATCGCGAGGCTGAGGCTGTAGTTACATCTTAGAAGAGCAGCATATGACCTGTGTGATACGTGGTAGTACTTTCAGGCATAGCGCCGTTACTGCAGAAGGTGCAATTGAGTAGGCAGCCTTTGGTAGATAGCAGGAACTGAGGTACAGTGCGCTGAGCCTCAAACGCAACACCTTTGACCAAGAACCGTGCTCTCCAGTACTCAAAATGGAGGATTCCAAAGAAAAGGTGTTTAACTGTAGCAAGCGACGGGAGTTGAGAAAGAAAAAAGTTGCTGCAAATAACGAATATGCTTGCAGAAGATGGGCAGAAACGACAGTGAGTGCGAGCAACAGAAAACAAGACTGCAGAAGATAGTGCATATGGATGAGCTTATCCTAAACAGTGTCTCATATGAATTGAATATCACAGGCGTTCGTCGTCGTGAATTTCTGAAATCTGAGTGAATGCTCCGAATCATTTTGTACCGCCACCTCTGACGAGGCTTTGGGTGGTCCACAGTTGCGCGGCTGCCACAGAGAGGCAAGACCCACAATAAATCCAGCGGGATGCCTTGGGACTCGTGCGCCAACGAAAAATCTGGAAAATCGCATCGGCGCAACACTGACGACACCGACGACACCGTTAACGACGACCACTTCAACGAACCCGAACCACCCGTCACTCCCGAAACAACCGCCTCTCACAATTGATCAAGATGTTTGCAGCACGTACGTTTCAATTCTCTACTGCACCTGCCATGCGCTAGACCACCGCAAACCGTGCTAACGAACGTCTTCCATCCACAGCCCCCAAGTATTCCGAGGAGGACATCCGCCGCGGCGAGAACGAGGCCACTGGCACGATGCGCCAGTTCGTCGTGGCCTCGATCATTCTGTACTTGTGTATGTAGCATCTCCTTGTGGTGTCCCCCACTGGCTGGCCACAGTGGCACCCTTGCTGACCGTTCGTCCTTTTGCAGCCCCCTTTGCTCTGGAGACAGTCTGGAAGCTGCTGTAAACGACCAGCTGAGCTCGAATCGACAACCGCGAAACCATGACGACTATGACGCCGGCGGTTTCCCTGGGAGAAAAGGCGGCGGGATCCTCCAAGCAACCGGGGATCGACCAGTGGCATAGCGATTTGTAAATGAAGCCATCCTCGCCGCGTGCTCTCCGACAATTCGCCGACGCCATGTACGATATACACTCTTTACGTTCGGATAATTGGCACAACGCATGCACCATGTATGAAAATACGGAATGGGAACAATTAGAACTGGGGTGGGTCTGCAGACTTGGGCATCCAGGGTGATGCTTGATATACATAGACAATCCCATATATGGTAGGAATACCAACGCAATATCAAAAGGTCCTCTCTTTACTGTCTCGACGCCCGTCACCAAAGCCGCATTTGCGAGCTCGTGTAAGCCAGCAAAAGCAGAACAAAAAACTTGTACATTCCTTAAAGTGTCATACAGATGTGAGCCCGAACAGAAACATGAAAAGAAAAGATTACAAAATGCAAAAGCAGAAAGACACGCACATCATAGGCTGTGTCTTCCGTCCCAATGCTTCTTCTGCTGCAGTGCCCCCTTTTTATCCTTCATCAAGCAGCGTCGTAACTCGTAGCTGGCAAGAATGTCGCTCGCCTACTTCTGCTCTTTCTGCCACACGTCAAAGTCGGTGTTGATCTGGTCCACCTCCTTCTTCAGGTGCTGCAGCTGTTTCTCGTAGTCTTCGACAATCTGCAAAGTAGTTAGCATCAGACGGCCCCACGGTCAAACAGGACAAAAGTGCACTTCGTGTGCAGGACTCACCTTCTTGGCCTTGGCCTCAATCTCCTCGCCGAGACCCTCCTCCTCCTTGATGCCTCGCTTGTTCACCTCCACGCGCAACGCGTCGGCATAGTTGCGCAGCACAATGAGCCGGCTCCACAGCTCCTCCATACGCGCGCTCAGCGCCGGGTCCTGCATCGTCTTCTCGAGCGCCGCCAGCTTCTGCTTGAGGTCGTCCTCGTCGCCTGACAGCGCGTACCCGCGATTGCGCAGCACCTGCGTCTTGGCCGCGAGCGCCAGGCACCGCTTGCTCAGCTCGTTGTGGCGCCGGCGTGCCGCGAGGGCGCGCACGCTCGTCTGCAGGTCGTGCTGCGACAGGATGGCGTCGAGCTTGGTGTTGATCTCGTGCAGGCCGGCGTTGAAGGTGGCGACGGTGCGGCGCTGCAGCTGGAGACGGGTGGCCAGGCCATCAAAGCCCGTGCACAGAACAGGGAGGTAGCCCGGCGCGGGCTTGTTCTGGAGGGCCTCCTCCCACTCGCGGGGGTTCTCGTGGGCCTGGGGTTGGAAGAACGGGACGCGGTTCTCGTCGACCTTGTTGTAAAAGTACTCTTTGAAGACGGTGTTTGGGTTGTCGGGCTTCCATTTGCCAATGAGCGTAGCAATCTGGTCGGGAATGGGCTTTTCGACTGTACCGGAGCATATTAGTATATAGCAAAAGGGTGAGGATAGGAACAGGGAATAAGGCGTTTGCGACTTACGAGGTGCAACTGGCTGGCCGGGCTGCCATACAGATGTGCCCCAGAGACTTGACTGGTTGACAGACTGCTGCAGCTGTTGTTGCTGTTGCTGCTGTTGTTGTTGTTGTTGTTGTTGCTGCTGCTGCTGCTGCTGTTGCTGCTGGGCTGTGTTGAACGTGGAGCCGCCAAACAAACTCGATCCGAGCTGTGGCTGCTGCTGCTGCTGCTGCTGTGCTCCTCCGCCAAACAGCCCGCCTGCTGGTTGCTGTGCCGTCTGTGTCGAAGCTCCAAAGAGACCGCCTGTTTGCGGCTGGGTCGTCGCCGCCGATTGGCCAAAGGGGGACGCCGCAGCAGTCGTGCTGCCGCCAAACAAGCCACCGGTGGCGGGCTTGGCCCCGAACAGCGACATGTCGGAGACTGTTGAGGCAGTTTCGTTGTTTGTGATTCTGTGAGTGTCCGCCTTGAAGATTGGGAGATGATCGACAGGTAAAAGAAAATAAAGCAGGCGTGTCGTCGCGTCAACAAAACAGTCGCTGCCTTTGCTCGCGTTCTGTTGCAAAGAGGGCCGCTCGAGACACTCGGTTTCGTCGAATTAATCGCCGGTGCGTCAATGCAGATGCAGTATAGATCGTGATGCCTGTCCGATGGTATCAAATGGCCGAATGCGGGTGCGAAATCGACGCGCCTGGGGGAGCTTTGGGGAGCCGTTGTTTCGAAGCAACTCGCTGCAAAAATAAATTTGGGGCGGCCAGGCGCGGCCAGGCACGCTTTCACCTAAGCTCTGGGCTGCTACCAGCCTGGTGACTTCTGATTGGCTGTTGACCGCCGGGCTGGCTCGGTGTGGAGACAGCCAATGAGCGCACGTAATTGGGTGCTGACCCGGAACCGGGCTTTGGTGGCTCGAGTGGCTCACCGTGCAAGAAAGGCGGGCCAAAAAAGCCGGAGCTTTTGCGCGCAACACAGGACGACACGCACAAAACCGGCCCAAACCTCACGTCCACCCTCGACGAACACCGACATCTCCACGCTTCTTACGACAACATCTGTCGTCCTATTGATTGATTCTGATTTTGGTTAACGGCCAATCCACGGTGCAGCCGCCAAAATGTCGGGCCGTAAACCCTCGTATGTTTTGGCGACCTTTTGTCATTCCATCCATCATCCATCACGGCTCCGGGGCCCCGGCCGTGGTCCTCTGCGTCCATGCATTCCACATCGTGCTAACAGTTGTCCAGCTTCAACCAGCAGGTGCTGTACGACACCACCGCGCTGCCCGAGTCGATCCCCAAAGTGCAGGAGATTGGCGCCAGCTCGGCGCCGTTGCTGTCTGCCTCCTTCTTCATCGGCGCCCGCTGCCAGCCGTACAACGACGACTACATGCAATGCAAGAACGACAACCCGGGCAAGGGCGAGTTCGAGTGCCTCAAGGAGGGCCGGCGGGTGACGCGGTGCGCGCGGAGCGTGCTCGATGACATCAACAAGAACTGCCTCGAGTCGTTCCGCCAGCACTGGCAGTGCCTCGAGAACAACAACCAGCAGTTGTGGCAGTGCAGACCAGAGGAGTGGACGCTCAACAAGTGCGTCTTTGAGAAGCTGGTGCGTCTTCATATGCCTTGCGTCGTACTTTGTGTGTGTGTGTGTCCCACGGCTAACCCTTTGACAGAACCTCGAAAAGACCATCCCAGACGCCGCCAAGGGCACGCCCATCCACCTCCGCAAAACCCAAATCTACGCACACTACAACCGGCCTGGCGAGGTGTTTGTGCCACCGAAGAGCGCGGCCGCACCGGTCGCCGCTGCGGCGCCGTCGTCGTAAACTATACGAACGGTCATCGTACGAACAACGTCATGTATCGCATCGATGGAGACTCGGCACAAGAACGCTTGTGCTCCCAGTATTTGACTGGCGTGCATCATTGACCCTCGGGAAAGCAACATGGACACAGGAGATGGAGTCATAACGACGGCATGGAGGAGAGCAAACCCTTTTTGTGTATATATGTAGGCTAATCCAAAGAAAAGCAATGCCAACAAAACAACGTGACATCACACAATTCAGGCAGGAATGAGAGACAACAAAGTTGTTTGATATATGACAGTATCAGGTCGGCCTGGTTCCATGACACAGAACTTGGGGCATTAAGGGCTCGAGAACCGTGGCCATCTGACGAGGTACAGATGCGCAGCTTCGTCGATACGTTATCATGAGGTCATACGAAGGGAAGTAGAAGGTCCAAGTCCAAATCGACATGCTCCCAGACAACCATCGTCATTAGCTCCTTGTGGTATTTCATTGGCCGACGTCGCGTCCCTGGCACACCATATTGTGCCATTACTAGAAATCGATGACGTGTCTGTGTTCATTAGGTTCCAATAGACCGCAAGGCATGTCATCGTGTGATATACTTGAGATGCTCATCGACGTATCACATCCCAGTCTCCATGCGATAGAATTATCAGCAGGAGATACATTCCATGTCCTCACATGATCATTTTAATGGCAAAGTGTCGTTATTACTACGAAAAGGTCCGTACTTGAACCAGGTTGACCTGCAAGCACGGAACGGCAGTGCCCGATATTCTCGCACGGTGGATGGAAAACGAGGCAGTCTCGCTAATGCCTTACACTGTTGTCACGAGAGAAACAACGTGGAAAATCACAGTGGCCACTACAGGCAGTCATAGTCCTGTATCTACAGTACTTTGACAGCACAGGATTGGGACACTACGCTCGTTTCTGTGCCCATCTGACCCCCATCTGACCCAGAGCGAATCGAGATGGCAGTTACCACCGATCCCTTAACTTGGAGAAGATGTCGCGTACCGGGCACGTTGAATCTCAGACTGGGCATCGATATGAACAGGCGAGTGGCTGGTTTTAAGCACCCTGCCCTCTGGCCTCTTGCCGAGTGTTCTACCAGGTACCTCGTGTTGTGTCTCTTGTGACCTGACTTTCGGCTACGGACTGTTTTGCTCCTTTTTTTACTAATTTTGTTCTGTTTCTCTTGTACGTCCTGGACTTTCTTTTGCAGACAACGCATCGTTCACAGGCCTTGAGTTTTACAATCACTCTGTATTGTACGTTTCTTTTATTTTTGATTTCGTTGATTTTCACAAAAATAAATCTTCTTTTTGGCCCAAAACAAAAATATTCAGTCATAGGTTGATACAATTAATTAACGGCAGCTCTTCCATGAAATTGGTACACGGCGTATGCAATAATTATAAAGAATCTCTTCTTGCGTCATCTATATAACACCTGCAGTACGACCACGAAAGTCAATATCATGACAAGTACGGTAGCCATCTTACAATGCACTCATAATGGATACAGTGGAACAAAATCATTTGTCCAGTATTTCCCGACTCAAAACACCACATAGGTCAATGTACCCGAAGTAGTCATGGGAGATGCCTGGCTAAGCCCCTGTCGAATTCATTTCTCGTGTATCTTGTAGCCTTGCAATGTGACAGGCACTCCATTTTGTAACACTGGCTGCCTCTCATTAAATTTTGAATCACTGGTCTGACTCTGGTTTACTTGCCCTTTTGAAGACGTTTACCTCCACGAACATCAACAAATATCCACGCACTCTAAGAATATAAATATTAAGGCGACACAAAATACATTGGCCGCGCAGACATGGAAGCAGGAATAGGAGACCCCTGGATGCACGGAGTAGGGACAAAATTAAAGCTCCTCGGACGGAAATAGTTATGTTTATTTGTCTTGTATATGGTGCAGCCGAGTGCAATCTGTACAGATGGAGTTCACGGTAAAATTCCAAGCAGACGGAGGCATTGAGGCTTCCATTTCGGTCTTCTAATGGCTCTCTTTCTTGAAACGCAATGGCGTTTGCCTGCATCCGATGGTCCGAACCACGACAGCACTCTGTGCCTATTGGGCTTTAACAGGGTCGCCTACGCATGTTGTTTTCGTTCGTCTTGATTCCGCTACCCTGCAGTTCAGGTACAGCATGGCGCATACGACGTACAAGGATGAAGCACAAAGCTTTTGCAGGTACTGGTCTCTCGTCTGACAGTGACAGTGACAGACACATCCAATCAGTCTGTGACAGCAAGCCCGCGGGGGTTCTCGAGCTCTACGTCAGGTTCTGCCAAACGGGTGACAAGCCGGAATCGACAACGCCACGAAGCCAGGGTAGCGGTAAGGCATCTGGCGAGAATACGGACAAATGGCCACTGGTTCTTCGGGTACGTACTTTATTAAGCATTTCATCAGCTCCGTCTGGCGACGTATCTGCCTCAAAACACAACACCCTCGCCAGGTATGACGAGTCCATGACCTTGCACAGCATACGGATGAGAAAGTTGTCGCAGATAGAGAGATCTTATAGAGCTCCGTGGGCTGTTTGTTTATCCTCGTCGCCGAGAGATGCAGAAGGATTATGTCGCTGACATCAAAGCGTTGCACTCAATCGTGAGAGGCATACCTGGCAGCTTTCGTCTAGGCCCCGGTGGATGGGTCAAAGACATTACTTAGGCGACATCTTCGGCCAGCACCGGCCATGCAAAGGAGTTTCTCGGTCCCCTACATGGCACCTGTTTCATAACGGAATTTTCTTTTTCTTTTCTATATTTTATTTTTTTATAACAAAAAAGAGAGGAAACCTTGGCAATTTGCACAAATCCTTCAAAATAGATAAACAAAAGAAAACAATTACGCAAATAAAAGTGCAACGGGCTATTGAAGATGTAGGATTCCCTACCAGTGCTTTGTCTTTGTATGCATCGTCATAACAGGAAGAGTCGTAAAATTAAGTTATTGGGACGGAGCTCATCAAAGGGTACGGCAGACACATCTTGTTTGATGTTGATGTTGAGCTTTGGGTGTCTTCTTCGTACTACTTCGTACAGCGTCGCCCCACCACCACCGAGCACGACGTTGATAACGATCTCGAAAGATGATCGGCAGGCCCGATTTTATGGAACAAAACCGTACTATTCTGCATCATTATCATTGGAGATCGACCCGTCTTGGTTACGGACGGAGCAAAATCCCTGGCCAAGTTTGCCGTCCTCTGGCCCTGCTCGAGATTCCGTCGGAAAAAGCCAAGATTTGATCAGCAGGTATGTCGCACTTTGTATTGTTCTGGACGGTGGATATCCAGGAACCTGGCAAAAGAGCCTGGCTCCTGGCCTGGCCAGCTGGGTCTTTTGGGTCTGGCCTCTGTACTTCGAGAAGGAAGCCCCTGTTCCTTTCGCGAGCCTTTTTTCCGTCATCTATGCCTTTCCTTGCGCAGCACAAATTCCATTTGCCCCCGTGATATTCCCCGTCGGCAACGCATGCACGTAGTAGCCTTTTGTCTTTTTGTCATGAATACCCGTTTTACTTGTCAGGTAGTCTCATGGATGCGTACGCCGTACGCCACCGGTTGACTACGGGTACCTGTTTGTATGTCGTCCCGTTTCTCGCCTTGGCAAGACTTTTCTACCTTTTAGCTTGTTTCCAGTTTCCCGTTGTCTGTTTCTCTTTGCCACGCTTTTTTCTTGGCCTTGGCCGCAGAGAGAGGCCCAGGCCACATCGTCTTGAGTCTGGTACATTCTGAACTTCTGCCAATCGGTGGCCGTGTTCCCTGTTTTCAGTTAGGCATCGATCTGATCTGATTTGGTTTGACTGGTGGTCGTTTGCTGGGGCTCCGGCGTTTGTTGTTTTCCCTTGTTTCTTTTTCTTTGTCTGGCAGACAGGGAGGTGGCCGGATCCCTCGCCGAATCTTGAAACAACCAGGCCCGACAACATGGACTGACGAAAAAAGAGCAACGTGACTAACAAAAGGAGGCAAGCGAAAAAAAAAAGAACAATAATAATAAAAACCAAAAAATCACCACATAGCGACGTCAGATCAGAACGAGCTGAACTGTCCTGTACAAGCGAGCTGTTTCCCCCCCTTGCCACGTTGACCTTGCAAGGTGGGAACAAACTAGAACCCTCTTTATCAGCGAAGATCAAACAAGGACAATTGGAAAACACACGAGGCTCCAAGCTGAAAAACAAAATGTACGACGTATATGCCGCCATTATGGCACGCACCAAAATGTTCTGGGCCTTTCGAAATACCGAAATCAAAATCGAAACGACGCCTAGGAGAATATCCAGCCTTGCTCTTGCACCTCGAATTTCAGGACCGAAAACCAAACATCAAAGTTACTTTACATCTTGCGGAAATGAAATGGAAAAAGATGTTTCAGGGTACCTGTTATTCCATACAAGATTGCGGGGCGGTTACCGTATTTCCATCCTTGTCATCAGTACCCAAGACTGGCCGACAGTAGACTTCTCACGATGGAGCTGGCGAGTAATGCAGTCTTTTCGGTTTGCACTGTGACTGGTGTTGTTCACACTCTTTGCTCTTTTTCGTGGTGCGGTTTTCGTGGCTGCTTGGGACGAAATTAACGTTGTTTCAGGACAACTAGCCAGGGGTCCATCGTTTTGTTTGGCCAAAAGCGCCACCGGCAGATCCACTGAACACATTTTGTGGGGACATCGCTTCTCCATATGTGCCCGTCCTTGAGCACAGAGACCAACTCAAGCAGTCCCGTAGTCCGCGCAGCGAAAACTGGAGTCCTGGAGCCAATTGATGGAAATACTGTGACACCGAAAGTTGGTAAGGAGCGCCTGGGCCATGGAGCCACTGTAACGACGGTGTAAGACAATTGATGGCGTACTAAATGGGAATGTCCACATGCATCTTCCAACTTCCCACTCATGACGACGTAATACCTCTTATGAGCCGCATGGCCCCTTTAAACTCCGCCACTACATCCCTTACACATCCCCACAAGCAAGCGAATGATGCAAAATGTGTACTCCGTAGCTGTAAAGCATACGGAATATACCATACCCTGTACTCCATGTCGTCTCGTAGGCCCGAAGAGATATAGGGTTATGGATAATGCTCCGTTCCAGAAGACGATGGTTAATGTTAGAACTATGCCTCTTGGCTTCTGCTTCTGCGGATGGCCCTGCAATAATCGTTCAGTCCCGCGGTCCAGACGCTGTATGAGGGACGTCGTACGACGCATTGAAGTGTCTTCAACGATGGGAGGAAGCATGCAATACTCTGGAGACCAGGAACGAGCGGGAAGCCCCTATTCAGCGGTCCTCCTAATGGTCCTGTTCCAATCCCCGTCAAATCTGGCTCTTATTCTTCTTTGTCACTTCTCGTTCTTCTGAATGTTGGTCGCCATGTCGTAGTATTAGTTTCGAGCAACGGTGTGTCTCGAAAATCCAAGGTGAACATTCGTACGGTAAGAAATGCGCGCACGTTGCAAAAAACAACCGGCAAGCCAACATGGGATGATGTCTCCCTGCTAGACGGCAGGCAATTCTAGCGTGATATATCAACACCAACTGGATCCAAATCGAACGGGATGCTCGATAAGCCAGCAGGACATTTAAATTGAAATTGAAGTTGACCAAATATGCGGTAAAGGGTAATCCACCAAAGGGATGTGGTACGATCATCAGAACACGATCCCACGATGGTCAGAAACGAGACGGTATAAGAATGGAACAAAATACAGTGACAAAAATGAGCTTTCACAGCACACCTGGTACGACTCGCTGTTCCTCACTCAGTAATCAAATCCGTTGTGCCGCGTACTTGTGCTCACATGCCTTTCGTTTGGAGGCCTTGGCTGCTTGGCCGCCTCTTGGCCTCATTTTCGTACCCCTATGTTCTTTTGTCTGCGTGGTACGCGGCTTCCTTTCCCATTCCGCTCATAGTGCCATATTTGCAAAACGGGTTGCACGGATCTCTCATACCAATACAACATACGATGTACGAAATACAGAACGTTCGTATACGTCCAAGGGCTGGCGCTGCCGCTCATTGAAAAATAGACTGTCCAAATGAGGAAATTGAGAGGCCAAAAGCCGTGCAAACAAAGAGCTGATGCTGCCATCGTACCCTAACCGTCGTCATTTAATGCTTTGAATTGCATTCATTTAAGCAATACTCCCCAGGTCAACATCTGTGTGCTGACTCGCCTATTACTCGCCTGTTCATATGTTCGTCTGGTCGCTTGCCGCCAGGGCAGGTAAAGCATCTGTGCGGTCTTGTCCACTGAGCGTTCGAGAAGGGAGTATGATCGAAGTGTACAAGCGAAAATACGGCTCTCCGCGAGTGGGAGAGTCGCCAGGGTGTGCAAGTTAAACAACAAAGGGGGGTAAGAAAGGGGTGTGTAATTAGCGCGGTGCCTGGCCGGATGCCCACTACCCCTGGCTAACAAAATAGCTGCAACGCTACGGAGCAAAAGCTGGGGCTCGGCTGATGAACACTGCACAGAGTCTGAGAGTCTGTGAGCCAGTTCTCACTCTCAGAGTCTGCCCTCTCACTTTTTGTTGACTGCGTCGCACCTGCCGTTTATTGCAATCTTGATTTGTGTGTGGCAACGAAGGCAAGGACGATGGGCGAAAAGAAAGGCCTACTTGATTTCGTCAGTGCGCATCGCTCTTTCCCTTGGCCATTTTGGCCCCTCGGCCTACAGACCAGGACAGGGATCGCCGTCCGTGATTTCCTCGGGCGGCTTTTTCTCCAGGGAACACTGATTCCCCCCTGTCGTTGCACGACCAGCAAACGAGCACCCCCCTGCCACCTTTTCCATGTTTATCGGCCTGATCTTTTCTCTGCGATTTTCTGCAGTTCACGGTGGTCAATTAAACAAAAAAGTCGAACAAGGCCTGGCCAGGATCCCGGTGCAGAAATCCCTGAAGTATTCTACTTCGTACGTGAGGCAGACCGTTCCTTCTGCATTCTGCAAGCCCTGTTCTGCACCCCTGGGCCGCACCTTCTTCCCCAAGGTCTGGCCTCGACTAGCTATTCTCCTGCCAATTTCCTCGTTTGTCATTCGGTCGTGCCTTCCATCTCCGGCCCATGCCCCCTGGCCGACTCGTGCTGTCCGAGACTTGTAGGCCAAGCAAAGCCCGGACAGACCAAACAGTAAAACGTACCAAAACAAATCTCTGAAAATAGTGAACACGCTGACTGTCCACGAGGCATGTAAGATTACAGCCAACATACAATTGCTCAGCCAAACTTACACTTGTCCGTCCTCGCCCTCCATGCCCTCCTATTCCTCTATCTGAGCGTCGAAACCCCGTAATTTACGCAGTAAGACGGTGCATGGGTGCTTCTGCGTTGTTGGTAGTCCCCTTCAGAGACAGGCCTACCTGGCCCAAGTTGCAGGTGGATAGAGAGAATGCCTCCACTTCCCTCACCTTAGTTGCCCTTCCGTGGAAAATACGGAGTATGCTGTGCGTGCTGTAAAGAGACAAAAGAAAGTGGAAGGGTTAGCTGGCCTGGAGCACCCAAGGGACCATGTCCCCATTCCACTCTTGCCTCGCAAAGTAGCTTTTGTATGTCCTTTCGCCTTAGTGTCTACCTCACTGCCCGACACAGCTAGGTGCCTGCCCAAATGGAGCTTGTTGTGTGCAACGCTCTTTCCCTCTCTGGCTATCGCTCACATATTAGCATCGCATCCCTCTTTTGAGTCTCTCCCTTTTCCTTCTTTTTCTTGTCCTCCTCTTCCTCTTTCTCTTCTCCCACCACCCATTTTTCTTTCTCTTTATCCTCACACTCCTTTTTGTGGCCGCAATCCAGGTCGGTGTCTCATTCGACACGTTCCACTCCTTACAAACTTGTCAAACCCCCCCCATTTCCCTTTCACGCTCTCGATTTTGTTCCGCATTCTTCGCGCCTCGTCTCTCGCCCAAGACCAAAAAACGTTTCTCTCGTCACGACACGTCCAGACAGCCGAGTTGTCCGTCCTTTGTTTTTAGTTCTTGCTTTTGTGATTTTTTACTTCGTCTTTCCTTGTCAACACCCTCATTCAGCAGGGCCGCCCCAGACTGTGTCTACAGCTACAGCACCAAAAAAAAAACATATCTCGAACAACATCGTGTTCGACTCATACGCACTCACGTTTCGCCTTACAACCGAAGCACCGTGTCTCAACAGTATCCTTGACGGGTCACCAGGTCCATACAGCAGCGCTGTCCACCGTCTTTCGCATCTCGCCAAATCCGCACAGATTTATACCTATCGGTTATATATCTGTTCCACGTCTTGTCTTCTCTCAGCCGTTCGAAGAGAAAAAAGAGACAGCATCCCTGGATTGGATTGCACTGCGACCTTGCACACGTCAATAGGTATGTATTTTGTGTGGTGGTGTGCCACCGTAATATGAAAACAATTTGGGCGTTTTTTGTCGCGCCCTCTCGTTCCCGGCCCGTCACTATGGTTCGCTTCAACGACTGCAACATGGATTTCCACCTGCACTACAATCCCATTGTTGGATAGTCTTTCAGGCCCCGTCGGTTGTTTGGGGACGGTCAACAAAGGGGCTTGCTTGTCGAGGAGTATGGGCAACGCCCTATCCAATAAAGTCTTCTAAGATGTTGTTCATTGATCAAAGAAGCAAAGGAAACAGTGCCTCGCTTCTTTGACCATGTCCGCATTATCCTTTCCCCTTAAAGTTGCCTGGCTCCCACGTTTGGACTTGATATGTTTTGTCTTGAGTTTGTTCTGCAAAGATTCGCCATGATCATCACGAAACATATCCCTCACAATTGCACAATCTCCAACGAAAACACCACCAGCCAAAGCACAAAAATACTCAAGCATGAGACGTTCCGTTGCTAACATTAACTCAAGAACCCGACAATTATATCATCCTCCTCACAACATTCAATATGAAGGCCTCTTTCGCCCTTGCCCTTGCCGGCTCCATCCTGGCCGTGGCCAGCCCAATCAACAAGCGTGTCTTGCACACTGAGGTCGTCACCGACCTGGTCTACGTTACCGTGACCGTCGACCCGCCGACCACCAAGCCGACTACGCACCACACTACCCACGCTAAGCCGAAGGTGACTTCTGTCAAGACGACCTCTTTCAAGACTTCGACGACTCCTCCCCCTCCTCCGCCCCCGCCTACCACGACGTCGACCCCTCCCCCGCCGCCGCCGCCACCCACGACATCGTCCACGCCCCAGGTGTTGACCATCACCGTCACGCCTGGCCAGGAGTCTCCGAGCCCGAGCCCGAGCCCTGCTGCCGCCAGCGTTGCGGCTGTCCAACCCGCTGCGGCCCAGGCTCCTGCTGAGGTCGTGAGCTCGTCTCCTGCCGCTGCCTCCACCCCGGCTGCTTCCGGCTCGAACTCGAACTCGCAGCCGTCTGACTTTGGCAGCACTGCTGTCTATCACCACAACCTGCACCGTTCGAACCACTCTGCCCCGGCTGTGAGCTGGAATAGCGACCTGGCCAGCTATGCCGCCACCGTTGCCGCTACTTGCGTCTTCGCCCATGACTTGTATGTCCTGCCCTACCTCACCATCAGCTTTTTATATTCGAGAACATGAGTGCTAACTTGCTGCTTTAGGTCCCCTGGTTCTTCCACTGGCTCCTACGGCCAGAACATTGCTGTTTACGGTGGCTCAGGCGATGTCTCCGGCATTGACTCCTCCAAGGTCGTCGCCCAGGCTATTACCGACATGTGGTACAACGGTGAGGTCTCGCAGTTCCCTGCCGACGGATACGGCGAAAGCAACCCCGATATGTCCAACTTTGAGGCCTGGGGTCACTTCTCCCAGGTTGTCTGGGTCGACACCACCGAGATCGGCTGCGCTTCGCAGTACTGCCCTGCCGGCACCATCTACAGCGGCATGGACTCGTGGTTCACCGTCTGCGACTACCGCGCCGAGGGTAACATGGGCGGCGGCTACGGCACGAATGTGCTGCCTTCCCTGGGCGAGGCCACCGTCACGGCTTAAACGTGATATGGTTCCCATGTCTTTTTTTTCACGAAACCTAACTGAAAATGCCCTGTCTCTTGGACCGGATATGTGTGGCTGAAAATATCACCGTTCTAAACCTGACAGACACAAGAAAAGCCCGCCCCTTTTTACTTTTCTCTTCTTGACTTCTTCCACAATGTGGCGCATCCCCCCCTTTTTTTTTAAATGTGATGCGTTTTTGAATTCTTTTTTTTCTTTCCTTGGGTCATTTGTTCCTCTTTTTTACTTTCTATCTGTGTTCTTTTTATTCACACACTTTCTTTCCTATCGTCTTCTTTTTCTCTTCTTTTTCATCAATGCGCTTGGTTCGCTGGGACGGGTTCTTCTCAATTTTATTTTTTGAAAAGAACCTCTTTCTGAGACTGCAGAAAATATGTATAGGACCAGGATCGCGGCAAAAAGAAAGAGATGGCGAGCAAGCAGCCTTGGCATACCTTTATGTTGCTTGGTGCATTCCACTTGCTTTTCTTTCACATTCACTTTTTGCTCCTAGCGTACCTTCTTTTTTTTGTATTCAACGAGGGACATTATTTTTCTTGTAACGCCGGCATTCACACTTTGACGATCTATCAAGAAGACATGGCAAGGACAAATTTACAACTTCAATAAAAAAAGTGAAAAGTGAAGAGTGAAATATATTAGCCGTGCCAGTTAGTGTTTGATGCTGATGCTCGACGCAAAAAAAGAATGAATGGTCCGGGTATGTCCATCCATGAATTGAAAGTGAACAAGCTTCTTTGCAGGCTTTGACTATTTTGCAGGGTTTCTTTCAAGTCAACAAGCCCTTAGTCCCTTTGTAGTTGGTAGAGACCACAAAAGGATACAATGGCCTGTCTGTTCTTTAGGTAGATGCCCTCGTCGCGTCGCGTCATTCTTGTCACGAGTCTTTTCTCCCTTGATGATTTGATTGCATTCTCCCTGTCTCCCTTCTTCCCTTGGTTGCTAGTTAGGAATGCTGCGTAGACCCTGCCAAGAACCGGCACGAGCAAAAATGCCGCCCCCCCCCCCCCTTCCCCGAGACACGATCGTCATAGAAACGTGCAAGAAAGAATACCCCGTACATACGGCATGTCCCCGTACGATTGGCGAAGCAAGTCAAGTCCTGCCGCAGTCGCTTTGGGCAAGACTGATATTGGGCCACGCGTTTCCATTCCAGCCGACTGCGACTAGAAGAAATTCGACCTTTTTTGTCGTGTCCTCTTCTTTGTCCGCCCCCCACGACGGTTGATCGTCAACAAGGCATGTAAATTTCCATTGGGTATGGAGATCGTTAACCCAATGACGTAAGTGACCGACGGGCCGTTGACATGCTAAACGGTGACAGTTGAATTGCACATCTTTTCGGGTCGTGTTCTGCGCTCACTGTTCGTGTTCGTGATGCATTTGCCAGTCGGCCCATATTCGACAGTATAAAGACAACCAAGGCGCACAGAGTAGGCATGGCTGGTTTATTGTTGTTGTCTTTTAATATTAATACAAGTATAAATCACCATCAGCCACTCGGCAGGATTCCTGGCCCGTTTCGTTTCACCGTCTCGCGCCTTAAAGCATGTATTAATAATCCAACGGTGTGCAATATACGACATATAGGTGTTTCAAGCCGGAAATTTTGAGAAGCGATGCAGAGAAACACTGCGCCCAGGGGAACTACTATCATGATAAGCGCGCACATTTGCCGCTTATGGTTTGTCATGAATTTTTGAACTTCGAAAACTGAGATGGATATGTAGCGTTGCTTCTTTTGAGAAGCCCTTTGTTTGCGAGAGACGATAAAACACAAAACATGAACAAAATGACAAAACAAGACACGAAACACTAACAAGCAAAACTCCTGTTGAAGGCAAAATCTCCCATGGCTCACCGAGAGCCCGAAGGACTTTAACGCCTCCCTGGGTGTCCATGCCGGGTCGTTACATGACAAGTAAAACAGAGATGACGAAAACAGCGATGATTTGTTTGTCACATAACTTTCCACCACCATAAAAGCACTCTCTGGTATCCCACCTCTACTTGCGTATCTTCTGTTGCTCTTTGGTGCAAATACGCCTCCATGCACCCCCATACTCACTCTACTCCTGAACCCCTATACTCACATTCTTCCAACACGCTCGTCTCAACCATCCTTAGTCGACCTGCTTCTCGCAGCCAATACGGCCCAACAGCTCTTTGCGGTCGCTGTGGTGGCCCGGCAGGCTGACACCGGTCGAGGTCGACGCGACACGCTTGACACCTGTCCGGCGCTCCCAACCCTTGAGGTCAAGCGCCTCGACACCGACCTCTTCCTCGAGAGGCTCGGCTTGCTGAGTGTGGCCATTCCCATCGCCGCCGCTCACAAAGTCGTCGTTGTCCGCTTCTTCTTCCTCCTCCTCCTCGTCGCCGTTCTCGTCGTCGCTGCGGCTGTCATCGGCGCCGCTGCCGCGCACGACGCGGATGGCGACCTGGACAATCATGAAAAACCAGACGATGATGATAAGCTCCAGGAACAGGAGCATGGACAGGAAGCCCCACTTGACGGCGTAGTTGTAGCAGACAGCGCCGTCGGAGTGGACCATGGGTTCGATCAAGAAGGCGAGCTTGTTGCTAGTAGTGTTGCTGAGGAAGGGTGCGAGCTTAGAGATGGTCGGGGTGAGCGACGAGATTTCGTCGGCTCCGACGGGAACGCCCAGCGGGCTTCCACTGCCGACGGCGCCGGCCGCACCAGCACCAGCCGCGACGCCCTTGAAGCAGCCGTCCGGCATAATCTGGGGAGTCTGAGCCCAGACGGAGTAGCAGATCATGGAGTAGAAGACGTGGCGGCAGACAAACCAGCTGAGCATAAAGGCGCCGAACGTGACGTCGCAGATATTGGTGTAGCCCAGGTACTTTTGGCACTTGGCGAGCTGAAGAGGAGGTTAGTAGGCAGTGGCTAACGAGTGAAGAGACTCAGGAGGAGAGGAGGAGGAGGCGCGGGGTAGGACGACCTACCGGAAGGAAGAAATCGCTAATGTCCATGAGGATGAGGATCACGTTGGCGACAGGCGTGTGGCGGTAGCGGTAGGATGCTGCAATCAGCGACACGGTGACAAAGTGGTGGGTGAGCATTTGCCAGTGGTCCTTGCGGCGCTCCTCAATGTTGATGACGATGATCTGCTGCAGCCAAAAGGCCAGCTGGACGAGGATGTAGGCCTTGCGGAGCCCGGGCATCTCGCGTCCCGGCCAGTGCGTCCACAGGTTCTTCATGTTCAAAAAGTACGGCGAGTTGTAGTAGAGGTAGACGCCAAGGGGGAAGAAAACGGTGTAGACAATGACGAGCCAGGCCTGCTCGGCGAAGCGGGTAATGGGCTTCTTCCTGTAGAGGCCCTGGCTGCGGGCAAAGGGAGCCAGAACGTAGTCCATGGTGCTGGAGCGCAAGCCGGTGAAGAAGACGACGAGGAACAGGATAAGGGGCACGTCGTCGCTGCCGAGGTTGTAGTTGCCGGTGGCCGGGTTGAAATAGGACAGCGTGAAGAACTTGGTAGTATGAACGCGCGCGCGGGGGAACAGCGTGTGTGTGAGGAAAAGGAGGGCAAAGAGGTTGGCAGAGAGGCCTGAAGTCCTGTGTCAGCTGCATTTTGTGAACGGCGCCATGTTTGCACGCTTGTTTCTCTCTGTTTCCCTTGGACCTACCTGTTTGGTTGTTCACCAGCCAGCGTGTAAATTGCATTACGGGCGTCTCCTGTTTTCGCTTGCGGCGCTGAGGCAGAGCGTTGCTGGACGTCTGCGTCTTGAACACCGGCGTGGGCAGGTCGTCGTTGGATTTGCCATTGGTGCTGGCCGTCGGTTTGCTCGCGGCCCGCTTCAGATGCGGTGGCAGGGGCACGGCAGTCGGCCGGGCGCTGCTGGCAACGGCGGCCATGGTCTGTATTGGATGTGGTGTAGTGTGGCGTACACACAAAGAGAGGTAGAGAGAGAGGGAGGGAGATCAATTGCCGACCGGGAGTCCAGAGCGGTCTCGGAGGATGGATCGGTGATCTCGAGTCGGAGAGCAAAGGTTGGGAAAGAGATCGTAGAAGCCCTAGCTTTTCGGCCTCGTGCTACTGTCTCACTGTCAAAGCGAGCAAAAGTCGTGATAGCTGCAAATTGGCGGCGTCCCTCAACCAGGAGGAATTGGCAACGCCAGGACGATTCGAATGCAAGACAAAACCACGTCCCGAGCAAAACAGATCCAAAGCAAGCTCACTTGCGTGTCTGCGTAACTCCCCGGCGGCTGAGACTGCTGGTCGGTCGTCCGTCTCCCAGCCTCCTATTTTGGGGCAAAAAGACAAAGCAGAGCGGTGTCGCTGAAGACGGTTCGGCAGGAGAGCGGTCTGTCCAATAGTACTGCCAGATTGTCGGGAAAGCTTGAAGGATGTCTGGAGGCTGTTGAGACGATTGCAGAATCGGAGCTTGTCTTGTCGACCACGATCTTCAAGATGTTGTCTTGTGTCAGTTGCCTTGCTTCGTGTCTTGCCTTTCTGCAAAGACCTGGCCCAACAGCGAGTGTTTCAATCGTCGCAAGGCGGTGCAGTGGGTCTGATCACCTTTCGCTTTCTTGGACAAAGTGGTTCTGGGGCCAGGCCGCCTGTACAAGTATCCTCTTTCACAAGGGTTTTTTGCACGTCTTTTCGTGTTCTGTTTTTGGTGCTTCCCAGCTTGGTCCTCTTTCCGGCCTAGGCGGTGAGAATCGGTGCACCGTCCAGGATCACAGGCCGGCTCTGGCTTGGACAAAAAAAGCGACGCTAGTGCGACTTCGCGGTGACCTGATTGGCCAAGTTGCTTTTGTTGAGTGCGACTTGGAGGGGGATCAACGGGAACAGATTTCAGTGCTGTTGTTTTCTTTGTCTTTTAGCTGTCTCAAAAGCTGAGAAGGAGAGTGCTAGGGCGGGGGAGCTCCATGGTAACAGGGGCAAAAATAAGTTAAAAAAGGAGTAAACAAAACTGCGCACGTTTTTGAACCTCTTTCCAACGAACTTAGAGCGCCGCTGGTCACAACTTCCCTTTCAGGCTTATCTAAACGCTGGTTCTTGCACCATAGCATCGTATGCCGCACAGTGCCCCATCGCTCTTTCCCAGGGGTGGCTACTTAAGTGTCTTGCCGACGACTACGGGGTTTAGGGCGGAAGAAACACTTCGTATTTATTGCTGCTTCCCCGCCGTGTTACATTGAGACAGGCGAGAGAATGGCCAACGCCCCTGCCGCGCTCCATGGTTTGTGGCCGTCGTTCCCCCATCGTAACTTCCCCCGCTCGCCGTCCGCCAGCGTGTACTCGAAAAGGAAAGAGATACTCATAGCGAGATGAAATGTGGTAGGCGAATTGTCGAAACCGCCGACTGCGCCGGCCGCGGTTGCCTCTGTCGTCGACCTACCTCGTCTCCTCGTATAACCGTAAGATACGATGTTTGTTATCTACGCTGCTCTTCATAGCCGCTATCGAACCCCGAATACAAACTGCCCCCAGCTTCTTTGGGGGGGATTGCAGGGTCTTGGCGGCAATGGCGCACTAGAGCTTGCATAGAACCAAAATGACAGCGGTGAAGACACGACCAATGGTCTTATTATTCCAAGGCAACGACATTTCGGCACCCCACAGCACCGTAATAACGAGATCGACTGGTATGGAAGGAGCCGCCAGAAAAAGAAAGGTCGTGACCGAAAAAGAACAGTTTGACGAAACGATGCCAAAGCACAGGGTCCAAACCAAAGAATAAAACAACCCTTAATGGCTGAAAGTCTAACCAGGGTCGCCTGGCGAGCGGGAAGGGTTTCTGAAGAGGGTTGGGAAGCAGTTGTCAGGTGTATGCCTTGCGTTGCATTCGCCCTTCTCCAATGAGAATCGGTTTCGCCAGCACGCAAGATTCACGCGCGTGTATGTTGTACTCTAAATGCAATCACCATTTATCCTCCAACAAAAAAGAAAGAAAAGAAACAACGAACATTATTGTCACAAGATGCAGCAAAAACTGGATAGGAAAGAAGCGTACAATGCCATCGACTAGTCCTAAGAACATTAGCCTTCCATAGATACTCCAGTAGCAATGAACCGTCGCTTCATTGGCAGTCATCCGGACAGTCGCAGAAGGTCGTTTACAAAAACGCATGACTTGCACGTGACTTTATAGAGCTTGAAATCACATGACTTGATTCCAAACACAAGACGACCTTGGCGCCAACACTGCCTCTCCATCCCCGCGCCACTCATTAGGCAACTAGAACGTCCCCCGGTGATTAGTTGATTTCATCAGCCTTCTCGCATCCGCACGAATTTCGAGACAACTTGCACTTTCTTATTTTGTGTCCTTTGTGTCGTATCATCGCCAACGGTGTTCGGTATTCGAGTTCTCGTCCCAGATTGTTCGACACGCCATTTACTTTTTCGACCATCAACACATCCCGCACCACCTCATCCTCTACGATGGCGAGCACGGCCAAGTATAGCCCGGCGGCCGCCGTCGACCCTGATGAGCACCTCGACTACACCCAGGCGCCACCCTCGTACCAGGCCGAGGCGAGCGCGAGCGCCCGCGCCGCCGCCGACGACGATCACGAGCGGCTGTTCTCCGGTGCGCCCCGCGCGAGTGTCGATGACGACAGCGACCTGCCGGACGACTTCAAGTTTGGCGGCTCCGTCGCGGAGGCCACCGTCAGCATCCGCAACCAGTTTGTCCGCAAGGTCTACGCCATCCTGACCATCCAGCTGCTGGCCACGAGCGCCCTCGGCGCCGTCAGCTTCTTGAGCGAGGGCTACCGCAAATGGATCCAGACACACCCGGCTCTCGTCTTCGTTTCGGTAAGCACGGCCTTCCGTTTTGCCCCAACAAGATACATGTACTGTATGACGTACGTTGTTTCGCAAACTAACAGGAATGTAGCTCTTCGGCGCCATGGGCTTCCTTGGTCTGACCTACTGGAAGCGGAAGTCGTACCCGGCCAACCTCCTCTTCCTCGCCGGCTTCACCGTCCTCGAGGCCTACAGCATCTCGGTGATTGTCTCGTTTTACGAAGCCAGCATCGTCCTCAACGCCGTGGTCCTCACCGCCGGCATCTTTGTCTTCCTCACCCTCTTTGCGTGCCAGACCAAGTACGACTTCACCTCGTGGATGCCCTACCTGTTTGGCGCTCTCTGGGCCCTGATCCTGTTCGGCTTCATGGCCATGTTCTTCCCCTACAGCTCCACCACCGAGCTCATCTACGGCGGCATCACGGCCCTCATCTTCAGTGGCTACATCCTGGTCGATACCCAGATGGTCCTGCGCAAGCACCACGTTGAGGAGGAGATTGCTGCTGCCATCAGCCTGTACCTGGACATCATCAACCTGTTCCTGGCCATCCTGCGCATCCTCAACAGCCAGCAGAACAACTAGACGGCGGATCATCTTGCAGAAGTGGCAAAGGTTTGAACAGTGGAACAGAGGGAAGGAAAGACTCCGATGAAGGTGAAACCGGAGTGGCCACGACAAGACTGCGTATTGTGGTGCGTGGGTGCGTCGACCACATTAATATGAATACAAGAGGAGGACATTTGGTACTGAAGAGTCTCTGGGTTCGTTTTACAGAACACCACGTTTGCGGGCTTTGCTACATTTCTCTACTCTGGTGCTTGTTTTGGCAGCAGTTATTTCCTTGTGTCCAATTTTTTCACGTCTTGACTTTTTGTCGTACTCTGCTTATTGTCTCCTTGTATTTGTACATAGCTGGTTTGTTTTTCATATTTCTTATCGTTCGTTGACATGACACCGTCCTGCTTAGTTTTATCAAAGCAAACCTTTACCGACGTTCTGAGCTACTACTAGTCGTGCGTTTACATGTCGTGCGTCCTTGATTCCAGACAATATCATGCATATAGCAAGATACAAGCTTGGATAGACTAATAAGTATGATTTGGGGATATCTGCATTAGAAATCTCATAGGTAAGAATAATAGCAACACGCACTACTGAAAAGGAAAAAGGATGAGAAAACATAGAAATAGAAAATACAAACAAAACGCAAAGGGGTAAAGGGTTAAACAACCAAATGCCCGACCGCAGATTAAAGGCGAAAAGACGAAAATGAAAACAATAAAAATAAGAGCAATTAGACAAGAGGACGGGCGGGGGAATTAAAACAGTTGTTGCCCATATGGTCCAATCGTCGCAAGCTCTTGTCAACCGCAGTTAGATCTCGGTCAGACGCCCGTGATGTCGTCTGCAAGTTGCATCACAAAAAAAAAGCTCGCATAGAACTGCTCTCCTTTTTTCAAGACCCGCCTCGTCGTAAGTTTCATGTAATTGGTTGCCCCCGGAGTGATTCAAACCCAAAATAAAATACGCCGAAGACGGAATATTTTAATTCTTTTTCAAGCCGCACAGAATAATCGGATCTCAACGCCCGTGTGTTGGTATTGCAACGAAACCCAATCTCCCCTTTTGGTTCGAACTTCGCAAAGACGATAGTCATAGACATGGCGAGTAAAAGCATTACACCATGATATCCTTGACATCCGGCCGGATCTAGTTGCCGTCGTGGTCGCCGTTCGCCTCGATGGGAGAGGTTGCCTGCTGCTGGGCGGCAACAGCTGCGGCCTCGCGCTGCATGCGAGCCTCGATTTCGCGGAGCTGAGATTCGCGAGCCAAGAGCTCTTGGCGCTTCTCGTTGATTTCGCGCTGCACCTTGACCTCAATTTCGCGCAGCTTCTCCTCTTCGCGGCGGAGCTGCTCCTCCTTGAGGCGGACTGACTGCGAGGCAAGATCCTCGGGGTTCATCGAACTGTCACTGTCCGCGAGTTAGTATGATATCAAAAGACAGGAATACCGCATATGGAGAGTGACAAAAGGGGAAAACGTACGCTCCAGCACCACCCTCGACACTCTTGCTAAGCTTCTCGGTACGGTAGTTCTCGTAGAGGAAGTCATGTGTGATCTCCTTCAGATCAGCCAGATGACTGTGCAGAAGGGCCGAGCGAATGGCCAGGAAGTCGGAATGGCGCGGGTTGTCGACCTCGACAACACCCCATGGGTACTGACGAGCGCGAACTTTGCGGCCGCCGATCTCGATGATGTCCTCAGAGCCGACAATAGCGAAAGGCATCAGACCACGAAGCTCGGCGTTCTCCTCAACGGTGTCCTCGTCATCCTCCTCAATGTCGTAGGGGAAGTTGTAGACGGGAATACGATAGTGCTCGATATCCTCCATAACCAGCTTCTTCGACTCAGCCAGCTCAGCGGGAGTCAGCGAATCGGCGCGGCCAATGACTGGGATAACGTTGACACGAGGGGCAAGTCGCTTCATGAGCTCAATGTCGAGCTCGCGGAGGCTAGGTGAGATGTTGTCAGTTTTCAAGTAACGAGCAGGAAATCCAGGATGCACCAGTGCAAAACGGTGCAGTCCCAAATCTGACTTACCCGTGGCCAGTGGGGGTGATAAAGTAGAGGAGCGCGTGAACGCGGTTGTCTCTGAAGCGAGGGTTACGCTTAATACGAGACTCTTCAGCCAGAATGTCATCGTACTGTCTCTCGAGGTAACCGACAATCTCGGAGAAGCTGTATAGGTATAAACATCAGTACACAGATTAGAAGAGTCAAGATCCGGCATTCGCCTACAAGGACCTGTTGGGCGGACATACCTGGCCTCGTTGTCAATCTGGTCGCCGAAACCGGGGGTGTCGACAATGGTGAGAGAGATGCGCGTGCCCTCCTCATCAAGCTCGAGCTCTGCGTGGTCACTGTTAGTAGGACTGTTTTCCAGTAACCAGTCCAGGAGAGCGGATGGGTTGCATGCGTACCGACGGTGACCGGCTTGATCTTTACACCCTCCTCGACATGGGCAGTGTTCGGGTCGTCCGACTCCTTGTGCGTCAAGACGCCCTTGCTGCACAGTGTATTGACAAAGGTAGTCCGTCCTGTATGAGTGCACACAAAGGTTAGCACTTCAATGGTGTCTTGGGAGCTCGAAGCCTGATCCGAGCAAATCTAGCTTCGTGGGTTCCAGCTCAATGCGAATGCGCGGGCCACAACGTACCAGTACCCGAGGCACCGCAGACCATCAGGCAGAACTGAATGCCCTTTTTGACATTCTTCTTGCGACGGATCATCTTCTGTGATAAAGGAAACACCTGGTGTTAGCAAAACGAGACTATTCAGGGGTAAAGTCGGCCGGGCAGATGTGATCGCGATGCATGGTCTCCCTGCGACCTAGCAGCTTGGAAAGTGCAGCAAAGTAACAGCAAAAAGACGCCGAATCAATGTCCGGCGAGGCATCACAAAAGTGCGGACGTACGGCAGGCGACGACATGATGCCGGTGTAATATGGGTTGAGGACGCTTGTTTGGTATGGTCTCTGCTTTCTCGGTGTACAGGGGGAGCTTCACGGAGCAGGCGGGCAATTGCTCGATGTTTCGACCGAACGAAGTGTTTCGTTTCGACCTCGAGTGCACGGTGGGGAGCAGAAAGTGGGCGAGAGTTTGTTGTGGGATGCTTTGTGTTTTGTTTTGCGTGCAACTTCGAGAAGGGGGGACGCAAGAAAGTTCAGGAGGTACGGATTGGGATACGTAGATTTTAATTTTAAGGAGGCGGTGGCCGTCGAAGCAGGAAAGAAGGGGGGACCAACGAGGGAAGTGGGGAGTAGTCTCAAGGTCGCAACCCAGCAAAAAGAAATAACGAAAGGACGGTCCAGAAAATCAGGGGCAGCACACAGCACGGTAATTTCAGTGGGCAAGCGCGACCTGCAATTGTCTGCACAATACGGGAATCCCCCCGTTGACAAGAACAGCCAGGGGAAGGGGCGCTCTGCCGTGGATCGCAATCGGGGAAGGAGCTCCTAACAGCCTACACAAGCTGGGAAAGGGACACTAAATGGGCCTAAGAACCCCTAAAGCAGCGTCTGCAAGCCCAAGGACCTGCCCGTTACCTACAGGAGATAAAGTGGGCCGTGCACGGAGCGCAAGACAAACACGGCTCCAGTCGCACACCAGCAAAGCAAATTCAGGGGGGAAGACAGCACCGACCGGCTTATTTTCCACGCCATGGCTCAAATAGGGAAGGCGCCTCAAGTTCAAGAAAGGGGGGAGATGCTCATGGCTTCTCAGTGTCCAAGGCGGTCTGCCGACAAAATAAAGTCCACCTTGCGCCGTGTCCTTTTGGCGGGTGGGCTCTCAGCAAGCGCTAGATACATGGGAACGAAGTTTGGGCAGAAACTCGATGCAAGGACGAGATACATGCGCCAAACCCAAGTTCGCAGGCCGTTTTGATGCGCAGGTTTGGAGTTGGAATATTAATGCTTTTTGTGGCCGTCGGGGGCCTCGTGCAATGCACTGTTTGCATCCCGAATAGGAAAGAACTGCTGCCAGCTGGCGCCTTCAACAAGCTCCAAAGAATTGATGCGCCAGCTGGCAATCGCTGGGCAGTTGTCACGGCACCTGCCACAGCACGCATGAGCTAGCTCGACTCCGTTTTGGTGACGCGTGACAGAGCTCCAACCGACCTCCTACCACCATTTGTCCTGAACAATTATTCCAACTTTCCTTCGTCATTTTCCATCACTCTCGCCGGATCGGCTTGTACATTGTCGTCCTTGCTCAATATCGAGCTTCAGGTTCTTCCCGGCGTACTTCCCAACCATCCTGCAGCGGAGCATGCGTCGATATGGATAGGCGCGATTTGCAACCTCCGAATACCGTTAGGACACCGATACCCACTTGAAGGAGGGGAGGCTTCTACCTACGATCAGCTCTTCTATCTATCTCCCGCTCGTTCGGACAGACCGTCGTGTCGATTTAGTTTTGCGAATCACTGCTTAAGGCCTTGCTACTATTCGTTACTGCACTTTCAAGGTGCCGCCATTTCGGGCGTCAAGCCAGGCAGCTGGAAGTCCTCTCCTCGAATTTTAGAGCCGCCACTTTGCGCCCATCGAATGTACGCGGCGCGGCCCCACACCTAACGGTTTACATTTCCATGACGTCGACCTACCCTGGCCGGGCTCACTCTACACAGACCGACTGTCGTTCATCTTGTCCATCGAGGCGGACATCTGCGCGGCAAAATGGACGCACGCACGCCTATCGAGGGTTCTAGCAATGTCATCGCACTGGCGGCATCGTTCAATCTCAACTGCGACTGTTTTGTCGTCGGCACCAACTCTGGTATACGAGGTACGGCATACGTCCCTTCCCTGCAGTTAAACGAACGCTAACAGCGTCAACCGACAGTCTTTGATGCGGGAAATTGCAAGCTCCTAGCTAAGCGGCTGTTCAAAGAAGGCGGCGTGGGCCTCATCCAAATCGTCGGACGCACCAACATCATCCCCCTCGTGGGCGGCGGCCGCGTGCCCGTGCACAATCCACTCAAGGTTGTCGTATGGGACGAGAAGCGGCAGAAGTTCACGCGGGAAGTGCCTTGCAAGCGGCCCATCCGGGGCTTGCATGTGCTTGGGCAGAAGCTCGTTGTGGTCCTCGACGAAGAGGTGTCTATCTACAACATCGACCACCAACCAGTGCGTGTGCACTCTTTCACCACCACGCCCAACCCGGCCGGCCTGTGCGCCGTGTCGCGGACACATTTTGCCATTCTGGGCCAGATCCCTGGGCACGTCAAGATCGTCCACAACGAGACGCACGAAGTCAGCATCATCCCAGCACACTCGTCCGAGCTGGCCGCGATCGCTCTGAGTCGCGATGGGTCGCTATTGGCAACGGCGAGCGAGAAGGGTACACTTATCCGCGTATTCCTTACCGCCAACAACGGCCGCGTGGCTGAGCTCCGCCGTGGCGTCGACCAAGTCAGTATCTTCTCGCTCGGCTTTAACCCATCAGGAACGCTTCTGGCCTGCACTTCGGACAAGGGCACCCTGCACATATTCGACATCCCGCATCAGACGACAAGTGATGGCCCCGGGCCGGCGGGCGGAAGCAGGCAATCTGGCGGTGTCCCCTCTGATGTTGGCGGCGAGTGGGCCTATGAAGAGTCCGACGGCGGCGTGTCCTTCTCGTCGGACCAGAGAGCAGATCCGACGCGCAGCGGAGACAGCCGGAGCGGCCGCTGGGGCGTTCTCGGCAAGATTCCGTTTATGCCCAAGTATTTCCGGGACACCGTATCCTTTGCAAGCGCCGAGTTCGCTATGGACGACGGGCCTGCGGCCAACCGAATCCGCGAGGCAGACGAAGCATCGGCTATGAGGCGATCGCGCCTACCCCTAGGTATTATTGGCTGGCGGAACGACAACACAGTTGTCGTTCTCGGGACTGGTTCGGAGCCCAAGTATGAACGATTCGTGATATCGACCGGTAACGAAGGCCAGCGCGTCTGTGTTCGCCAGGCATGGGCCAACTACCTCAACATGGAACTATCTTGAGAGGTCTAGGGAAAACCGTGCCTCGTGCGCTAGGATGTGTCCTTGGATGTTGTTCTTTTCGCTGTTCTTTCCTGTTTTTTCCCCCTAGGCACCGAGTGGCGTTATTGCGTTTATTGACAAATACTTCTTTTAGAATTGTTTATCTGCACAGCTGTGGCGTGGCGTTTCGCGGGATACTTTGGCATTCACAGGAGTTTATTTGGTGCTTTGAACGCAAAGGATCGGGGTATATAGGTCAGAAACATCGTTAGAAATGCTTGAAATGGGCATGAACAAATATCGCCCTCGTGATTGTATCTCAGTGCCTCCGCTCCCGATCCCGATCCCGGTCGTCGCGGTCGTCTTTCCTATCTCTGTCCCGTCTCCGATGCGAAGAATCCTTGCCGTCGTCTCTCGACCGATCCCGATCCCGATCCCGATGGCGTTCCTGTCCTCGGTCATGCTCTCGTCTCCGGCCATGACTTTCGTCATCGTCAAGCTCGTCCCGCCTCCGGTCGCGGTCGCGATTGCGATCTCGTTCCCTGTCTCTATCGCTTCTGTCTCGCCGATTGTCTCCACCATCATCCCGCCGCCTGTGACGGTGCTCTCGGCGGTCGCCGTCCTTGTCATCTCTCCTTGACGAGGCATCATCATCATCTCGATGCGAGCGGTGTGACCGGTGCGAGCGGTGCCGGTGCCTACGTTCGCCGTCACCCTTCGAGTCGCGTAGCCTCCTTGCTTCGTCGACCTCCCTCTTCTTTTCCTCCACCAAAAAGTCCTTCATGGGGTCTTCGTCATCGTGCTCGTCGATTAACTTCTGTAGTTCGCGCTCCTCGCGTAGCAGAGGCTGGTGCCCATCGCCTCGGCTGCGGATGCTCTTCTTCTTTTGCTTGCGTTCGTCTTCGCTCGGTGTTGCCTCGCCCATATCCGTGTCGCTGTTGTCGCCGCCTCCGCCGGCAGTAGCACCAGCACCTAGCCGTCTCTGCATATCTGCCCAGCCGACCTTGAACTCGTCCGCGTCCTCGTCGTCGCGTGCCTTGTAGCGTGCATGGTCGACCGAGATCATGCGCCCGCCAATCTGTGCTCCGCCCAAGTTGTCCACGGCCAGGTCGGTGCTGCGCTGGTCCTCATATTTCAGCCAGCCAAAGCCCTTGCTCTTGCCTGTCTCCTGGTCGCGCGCAAGTTTCAGGAAGACGGGCTCGCCATATTGCGAGAAGATGGTGATGATGTCTCCTTCGCTCAGGTCATAGGGGAGGCCACCAAAGTAGACAAAAGCAGTGTCGCGGTAGTCGGTGTGCCAAGAGGCATTCGGGGAGCTGTAAATAAAAGCACAGTAAGTAACATGCTTCTTTGAGAAGTACAAGCTTTCTCGATGAGCACTGTCGCAGACATTGAAAACTTACATTCCCTGCTCTAGCTCTTTCTTGTTGAGCTCCTGTATTTGCCGAATCTTGTTCATCGTCGCGGCAGACTAATGGCTTCTTCGCCTGTTCATTCGTATAGACACAGCTGACAGTTTTCAGAGAGCTTGGACGTGAAGCTTTTCTCGAGTCGCGATTTTGACGTTGAAATGCGGCGTCACGTGATTGTCACATGGCTACAGTTGCTCATTGCGCCAGCAAAAGGCTTCTGTACCTGGACAGTTGTGGTAACTCATGCTTTATGTGCAACATTCACAAACAGTTTCACGGTTTAGAACTGTTTGCCCAATTACCAGATGCAGAAATTCGCTGACACTGTCGCCTGAAAATAGCAGGCAATCAAGACAGTGCAATCCGCCGGGAACTCTGCGGCCTTGGGCGGGGCATAGGGCGACCAATTCGCCTGTAAGATAAACGGAGTCGTTAACCGCAACCCTGCTGGGGATGCCAGTACACTCCCCAATACACGAATGACATTCCTGGGGCTTGAGAGGCAGTCTTGGAGTCCAGAGGGTGTAACTTTCAGAATCGCTCTTTCCTCTCGCCTTACATTGTTTTGCTCCGTAGGAAGTCAGCATTGTTTCACATGGCATTTTTTTCGACCTTAAAGTGGAAAGAACAACTGGGTACATGTTTTTACGCGGCTGACTCAGGCTTGCAGAACGAAATACTGAAAGGAAAGTGCGACCAACTTGGGCTGCGTTACAAAACTGAGGCCGTCGACAGGGGCATATTCAACTTAAGTGGTGGGGCAAGCAGGTGCGACGGTGGTTTATTTGGGGCCGCTGGGCTGCGCTTGCCTGGCAATCTACCACCGTCATCATCTATGCCCCTCCCCTCCTTCCGTCTTAATGCATTTCACTATTTCCTGATTCTCCTTTGTTCTCTGCACCGTTTACTCGTTGGATTTACACCGATCGTCTTCTCTCTATCTTCTCTACCATTTTTGGACCTCCCTTTTCTGTACTGGAAACTCTTTTGCGCATCTCTCATTCGCCTTTGCTGCACGATACATTGTATCCCGACACGGCGCACAATTGCGATAACACTTTTTGTTTGTTATCTGGAGGTTGGGAGGGGTTGCATACTACCTGCCGCCAGCCCGACGGAAAGCGAGGCTGCACCAAACAGTGAGATCGCTTATCTGATTTTTGGAGTTGTATCACCTGCTCGTCACATTCGCAACGCCAGATTTGCTCCGTAACGATCTTGCGCACACGATAGTCGCGTGCCGAATAACCCACTAACCCTCAACCGACGTCACGGCTCGAGAAGGAGGGGACAACCCACCCAACAACCGTTCCAGATGATGGCCGCACAGCTCCAGAAAGCCAGCGGGGCTTCTTCGGGATCGTCAAGCGAGGCGACGGCTCTCGGAGCCGCTGCTGCTGCCCCAGCCGTGCCGCCGGCTACAGCTCCAGTCACCGAAGCCACGCCCCTGCGCAACCGCGCCGGCGAAAGCAACAGCCCGTATGTGCGTGCGCAAGCGGACACGCCCGTCAACTGGCAGCTGTTTGGACAAGATGCACTTGATCGTGCCAAACAGGAGAACAAGCCTATCTTCCTGCACATTGGCTTTCTCGCCTGCCATTGTATGCTGTTCCCATCTTTGCGCTCTAAATCTGTACATTGTCTCTAACCTGTCGTCTCATTCTAGACTGTCATCTGACGACACAAGACTCTTTCTCGAACCCTTCCATCGCTTCCATACTTAACGAGTTTTTTATTCCTATCGTTGTCGACCGCGAAGAGCGCCCGGACATCGACGCTGTGTACTGGAACTACCTGCAACTGGTCAACAGCAGCGCGGGCTGGCCGATCAACGTGTTCCTCACGCCCGACCTGGAGCCCGTGTTTGGCGGCAGCTACTGGCCTGGCCCGGGTGCGGAGGCGAGCGGACGTGACAAACAGAGCGGAAGCGAGGACGGGGAGGAGGAGCTGATTGGCTTCCTCGGCGTGCTGGAGAAGCTGCGCCAGTCTTGGACCGAACGCGAGGCGCAATGCCGGACGGAGGCCCAGGAGACAGTTGTTCAGCTGCGGAAATTTGCTGCCGAGGGCACGCTTGGTCCTCGTGGTTTGCTCAAGCCGGGCGAGTCTAAAACCAACGAGACAAACCTGTCGAGCGAGCTCGATCTTGATATCGACCAGCTTGATGAAGCCTATAGCACGTTGAGGCAGACGTTCGACCCTGTGAACGGTGGCTTTGGTGTTGTTCCCAAGTTCGTCACACCCGCAAAATACTCGTTCCTGCTACAGCTCGGCAGCTTCCCTTCCGTTGTGCAGGACATTGTTGGCGATACCGAGGTTTCCAGCATTGTCCAGATGGCGCTCTTCACGCTTCGGAAACTGCGCAATAGCGCTCTGCATGACCACCTGTCTGGTGGCTTTGGCCGGGCCAGCCACACCATCAACTGGTCCCTGCCGCATTTCGAGAAGCTCATCCCCGACAACGGCCTGTTGCTGAGCCTGTACCTCGATGCGTGGCTGTACACTCTGCGCGCACCCAAGTCGGACCTTTCCAGTAGCTCAGCAGCTGAGACACAACCTGAGTTCCTTGATGTAATCTACTCGCTCGCCGACTACCTCTCGAGCGCACCCGTGCGTCTTGAGGGAGGCGGTTTTGCCAGCAGCGAATCCGCCGACTCGTACTACCGGAAAGGCGACCGCCACGTGCGGGAGGGCGCGTACTATGTCTGGACACGACGAGAGTTTGACACAGTGGTCGGTGGAGGCAACGGCCACAACGACATGGACGCTCGTGTGGCGGCGGCTTACTGGAACGTGCTGCAGGACGGCAACGTGGACCGTGACAATGATCCGTTTGACGAGTTTATCAACCAGAATGCTCTCTATGTGAGCAAGGACACGGCCGAGCTGGCGAGACAGTTCAACATCCCGCGTGAGAACGTCGAGCGCATCACGACCGAGGCACGGACAAAGCTGGCTGCGCACCGCGAAAAGGAGCGTGTGCGGCCCGCACTAGACGACAAGGTGGTGGTGGCCGGCAACGGTCTCGTCATCGGTTCGCTTGCACGCACCGGCGCCGCACTCAAGTTCGGTGGCCACAGCGCGGAGAAGGGCGATAAGTACATCACGGCTGCGCGAGACGCTGCCAAGTTTATTCAGGAAAACCTGTGGGTTGCAAAGGACAAGAAGCTGTACCGCGTGTTTGTGAACGGCAAGCGGGAGGACGTGCACGCGTTTGCGGAAGACTACGCCTACCTGATTGAGGGTCTTTTGGAGCTGTACGAGGCCACGGGCGAGGCCGAGTGGCTGGAGTGGGCCGATGAGCTGCAGGGTAAGTCAACGTCCGCTTCTGCTCTATGCGACACTGAATGTCATGCTAATATCATGCAGAGCAACAAATCAAGCTGTTCTACGACAGCCCCGGTGTGCCCTCGACGCAAACGCACTCGTCCAGCGGCGGTTTCTATCGCACGCAGGAGTCCGGAAACGACGTCGACCTGCTGCGCCTCAAGGACGGTATGGACACGACACTGCCGGCGACCAATGCCGTGGCGGCGTCCAACCTGTTCCGCCTCGGCAGCATTCTGAACGACAACACCTACACGCACCTCGCACGCGAGACAATTCACGCCTTTGAGGTCGAGATGCTGCAGCACTCGTGGCTGTTTCCCGGCCTGCTCTCGCAAATTGTGGCGGCACGCCTCGGCGGTCCGCAGGTGGCCGCACTGGCCGCTGGCCCCTCGGCCTCGGATCCCGTGGTGGCTGAGTACTTCCAGCGACCGCGTGCCGGCCTGAGGAGTCTGGTCTATGTGGACGGTGGTGCAGGCAACGGCAAAGAGACGACAGCAGCTGCGTGGCTACTTGGCCGCAATCCGAGTCTCGTCGACCTCCCTACAAAGGAGGCCGCTGCAGAGGACGGCGGCAGCTCGTACGTGCTGAAGGATGGTAAGTGGGAGAAGGCGTCGCCGGTCGACTTGGTAGTGAACGTCGAGGCGAGTAGTTGAAGGGTGTGCATTGGTCATTTGTCAACGTGTCTCAAATGAAGAGAGGAGTTATGTCGTCGGGATTCTGAGGGGTTTGAGTTACTGGAGTTTTTTGTTTTAGCCGTTACTTCTCCGCTATTTATTTTATATTTTCAACCCCCAAATATTTACATTCACTACTGTTAAAGACATTCTAAAGTCGAGAAGTTAAACAATTTGTATTTCCTCCAAACATATTTCACTGAGTCTTTCATATTATTTTCTCGAACATAAGAGTTTTTTTTTTTTTAAAAAAAAAAAATATCTATTGATGTTGTGGACATACGTATATAATTTTTTTTTCTTTTCCATAAACACAAAGAAATGATAGAGAGCGCAAAGGGCGTGACTCGCATCCAAGACATATTATGATATCATTCTGAGTTGCGCCGAGTGCTTCTCTGCACATTCATCGTTTGTAAGCTCGGGTGGCGCCTTTGCCCGATCTTCTCACAGTGGCCAGGAACCTACAGCGCCTCACCGCCTACGGGCAATGACTCTTTCTCTGGCTAGTGGGGTAGCAATAGCGCATGCTTTGGCGCAACTGTCCCGCGAAGGCAGGCGGCAGAAAATACAAAAGTTGGTCGCTGTTTGGCCTCCATAGTTCCTTCCGTAATTTTTTTCGCTTAGAAAGCAAGCTGGGACGCGAGGAAAGAACCTCGACGAACTGACGCCCGCCTCAAACGAGTTTTCTTATATTTCGGCGACCGCCCATATATATACCATTGGCGGCCACTGTTTGTCTCTGCGGACATTTGTGCAGAGCATCTTCCAACTCCAGCCCCATACAATTGGCTTTCTGCAACGACGACGATTTCGTACGACAGCCATTCCATTCCTGCCTCTACGAACATCCCTCCTCCCTGAAGTCCCCCGAACAAAGACACAATGTCGCACAACGCGCGCGATGAGCACCCGACAGAAGATGATGGCGACGACTCCGGCCCGGAGATGCTCGACATGGACGATGCTGCAGAGGAGATTGACGGCGACGACGGCGGTGACGGCGGTGACGATGTTGCCATGGACAGCGGCGACGATGACGACGAGGAGCTCGTGCTTGTGAACGACTCAATTGCATACTTTGACCTCCACAAGGACTCGGTGTTTGCGATTGCGCAGCACCCCAAGTACCCGTCGCTGGTGGCGACCGGCGGCAGCGAGGGCGAGGGCGAAACGGCGCCCGGCAAGGGCTATGTGATTGACACGTCGGCGGCCGCGGACCGCCCGCTGCTGCCGGCCAGCTACAGCTCGGACCCCTCGGCGGCGGCCAACCAGCCTAGCAGCACGGAGCTGGCGCCCCTGTTTGAGATTACTGGGCACACGGACTCGATCAACGCGCTGACGTTTACGCTGCCCAACGGCGATTTCCTCGTGTCGGGCGGCATGGACGGGCGCATGCGCGTGTACAGTGTGGCCGTGGGCGGCGGCTCGGTGCAGTTCCAGTTTGTCGGCGAGTCGCAGGAGGTGCCCGAGATCAACTGGCTGGCGCCCTGCCCGGGCCGCGACTACCCCAACACCGTGGCGCTCGGCGCGTCCGACGGCTCTGTCTGGGTGCTGTCCATTGACCCGTCGGCCGACCCGGCCAGCCCCATCCAGATCGTCCAGTCCTTCTTCTCGCACACGGCCGCCTGCACGGCCGGCACGTGGACCGCCGACGGCAACCTGCTGGCCACGGTCAGCGAGGACAGCTCGCTGCAGGTGTGGGACGTGTGGGGCGTGGCGGCCGGCCGCGGCCTGGTCCCAGGCGGCGCACAGGCGCTGTTGTCGCTGACGGGCGAGGACCAGCGGTTCGAGGTGCCCGGCGGTCTGTACTCGGTGGCCGTGTCGCCCGGTGGCACGCTGGTGGCCGTTGGCGGTGCGGGCGGTGTGATCAAGGTGGTGACGCTGCCACGGTTAACGGGTGCGCAGGCGGCGGGCACGGCCAAGAAGGGCGCGGCGGGCGGCAGCGCCAAGCAAAAGGGTGCGGCACGGCCAACACCGGCAGGCCAGGGCAGCGGCGCAGCAGCCACGGACCCGGCACAGTTTGGCACCATCCTGGCGTCGCTCGAGGTGCAGAGCGACGGCATCGAGACGCTGGCCTTTGCACCGCCGCCCATGACGTTGCTGGCTGCTGGCTCGGTCGACGGCAGCATCGCCGTCTTTGACGTCACGCGGTCGTTTGCGCTGCGCCGACACATTCGCCTGGCCCACGACGACTTTTCCGTGGTCAAGGTCGAATGGGTCAAGTCGGCGCCGGCGTCGTTGACGGGCGGCGTGGCGGCCGGTGTGGGCGGCCCTGCACAGTGGCTGCTGACGAGCATCGGCATGGACGGCGTGGTGCGGCGGTGGGACCTGCGCAAGAACGTGACACCCGATAAGCCCGGCGACAACGGCATGGTCAAGGAGTGGCGCGGCCATCGCGGCGACGGCGAGGGCGGTGGTGTGCTGGGTTTCGTGCAGGGCGATACGGGCGAGCGCATTGCCACTGCCGGCGACGACGGCGTTGTCCTTGTTTTTGACGCATAGATTTAGAGATTCAGGGTTTGATACATAACGGGCCGAAGCATTTGCATTTTCAATAAAGAATACACCATTTACTCTCTATTCGCGGGCTTGAATCATACACGAGCATTGGTGTAAGAGGCACAATGTGCTGTGTGGATCGTTTTGTATGGGACATAAAAGTGGAGCATGTTGTTTACTTTCACCAACGGCTAAGCGGGGCCTGTGCGCGTCTGTCTCGTCATCGACTTTCGTACGTCAACCCCACAAACACAATCGCACGTTGACAACCTCCTCACACAACCGAGACGCGGCTCTTCACCAACGAAACAATGTCCCTCTACGCCTCGTCCGCCGGGCCATCGCAGACCCTCGCCCTCTACGGCGACTGCGTCGCGTCCCTCCGCACCTCGCTCGCCTACCTCGAATCGTCCGTTGCTACTCTCGCCGCCGAGACAACAAACAGCCCAAACGGCGGCGGCGGCGGCAGCGGCAGCACGGGCGCCGTGGCCGACATGCCCCGCCTTGCCGGCGTCCTGAAGACCGTCCGCCACTACGAACTCGTTCCCCAGCCGACCCTCGCCGCCGCCGAGGCCTCCCTCCAGAGCGAGATTGGCCCGGCGGTCGCCCAGCTGCTGGACCGCGCGTCGCACCAGCTGGCGCGCCAGGCACGCCGGATTGACACGCTGCAGGCGCGTGCGGCGCTGCAGGCAGGGCGTCTCGAAGGGGATGCGGAGCCGGCGAAGCTGAGCAAGGGGGGGGCGGCGGCCGCAGGCCGGGCAACGAAAGCGGCCTCCGTCGACCCCCTCCGTGCCCGCATGGTGCGGCAGCGCAAGGAACAGCTCAAGTACAGCGTGGAGCGCCTGGAGCGGGAAGTGGCGCAGAAAGAGCGGGAGCTGCGGCAGCGGCTGCGCCAGTCGACCGTGGGGCAGTGAACAACGATGCTATTTTGCTACCAGGATACGATACATATGCATCTGAGCCGATGGCGCCGTGACGAGCGGCCAGGCAGACCGGATCCTGACTGCGCACTGACGGGGATGACACGACATAGACGGGCCAGAGACGGCACTACAAGGCCAAGATTGCTTGACATCGCGACTCCTGCATCGCGTGAGTCTGGGCTGAGAAGAGGCCACTAGTTGACTACAGCAATGCGGACTATGGACCTCGGACCAGGGACTGCAGACATGGACGGCTGACAACCGACTTCGCCGACTAGGTGCAATGCAAGACCGAGGTTGTGAGCAAAGCAAGTGGCATGCGGCCACGCAAAAACGTTCTCAAAATGTCGAAGGTTTTGCTGTCGTGCGGCCTACGTTGCCGCCCGAAGTTTACGCCAATCCTGAGACATTTGATACTGCCATACAAAGTCGTTCTCCTCGGCGTCAAGGTGTACTTTCTTTTTTTTTGCTTTGGATGCGTGTTTTGCGCGCTCGTGCGTCATATCTAGAGACAAAAAGAGGAGAGGCAAAAGCTGGATGGACGCACCTGGATGAAGCGTGGGTGCAAATCTATGTCAGTGCGAGAACATATTTTTGACATGCTTTCACAGTTATACAGTTACAATAGCACCGTCAGCATAGAATAGTAGCCTGTGTTTAACAAAGTTTTTATTTCGATTCAACCTATCAAGAACCTGACCTCAGGTTTTGCTTTGTTTCCCGTAGCCGTGAACTCATCTCGTCAAAGAGAAAAAAAAATACGTGAAGTAAAAGACACAGCATAAATGATCAGACGAACAAAGGGCCTCTCAAGAGAGGTACATGGAAGCGAACGGTGCAGTAAAAGGGTGGTTGTAAAATACAAGTGTTCAGCTCTGCCCGACGAGAAAAGAGCGGCGGTATGTCCAAAATGGTGGATGGAGGACACAAACTCGACCCATTTCACGCGACAGCGACAGTTGCCAAAAAGAAGTGGTAATGTGAGAAAACGACAACAACATAAAAGTCGGAAACAACCCGTTGTGTTAAGCCAAAATGTCAAAATGACGGCAAAGAGGACTGGATGCGCAATAGTCGAAAGTAAAAATAACAAAAGAAATGTGTCGCCAAAAAGAACGCAGAAAAGGCAAAGACGTAAGAAAGCAATAAGCAGCTGGGCTTTGGAACCTGAAACACCTGTGCATACCTGGCAGCCAGGCGTGTCCATGTTTTTTTCTCCGAGCCCCTGCGTTTGTAATTTCGAGTTTGACGTGTGATGTCTCGATATTTTGTAGACCGAAGAAGAGGCGAGAAAGAGAGGGAACGGTGGTGGCGTAGATGTGGGTATATATAATGTGAACAAAAACGAAGGAAAGAAGAGCGTGAGAAGTGAACGCGCTGGCCGAGTCGATTATCGCGGTGGCAGAACATCGATCGTGTAATGTCATGTAGTGCTGTTATCGGACAATCGATCATCAAGCTCATTGCATTCACTTTTATTCTCTTTATAACAGGATCAGGTAGTTGCTTGGTGCAATACCCGTCTCGCCACTTTCTTTCCTTGCCTGCCACCAGCGGCCGCTGACGTCGGACACCTCGAGGATCTCGTGCTTGGAGAAGCTAATCTCGTTTGCGTCGTCGGGATTCGCCTCGTAGCTGTAGATAGCCTTGGCGCGGTACGGGTATTCGGTCGGAGGGACTATCTCGCCCTCCGTGCCACCCGGTGCACCAGCGGTCTTGCCAGCCGGTGCGCCAAAGCCACCGCCGTTCAATGTCGAGTTGCGCTGGGCGGTCGGCATGCCGGTGACAGGCGATGAGTTCTCGAAGCCGTTGAGCTGTGCGGAGGTGTACATCTGCGGCGGAGCGGCGGACGTCGAGGTCTCGGGGCGGCCAACGCCGTAGGCACCAGCCATGTTCTGTCTGTTGGTGTTGGATTCCTTGCTGAGGGCGAACGAGTCGAGGTAGGCGCGGGGCACGGCAGACGGTGCTGAGCCGAAGTAGAATATCCAGACGATCTGAAACGAATTAGCAGGGCGCAAGACAGCATGGAAGAGCTAGGGACTGCGACATACTGTCACCATGGACAGGAGAATAAAACCAGCAGCCGCGGCTTCCTTAGCACCGTTGCTGGAGTACACGAGGCCGTTGACGGACGAGGTGGCCAGGACGAGGCCACAGGCCAGGTAGCCAACGACAGCGACATGGTAGGTCTGCGAGGTGTCGGAGGCGACGACGACCAAGACGCCGGCAACGACGAAGAAGTAGTAGACGACGGTCCACCAAGTGTAGGTCGGGAAGGCGGACCCGGTCTGGACCTGGGCGACGATTGAGGAGATGAAGGAAATGATCCACGCAAGCTAGAGTCCCGTTAGCATTTGGCATTGTGCATTCGACCGTCACTGTTGCTCTGCTACTCGAGAGAACGGATTGAAGAGGTGGAGAGCGAAGAAATGGCGACTGAACGTACTGCAGAGATGGAGATGGTGGCTAGAGCGAAGGGGTCACCGATGATGTTGCCGAAGTTGAAGCCGTTTCGGCGTCCATACTGGACGCGAGACTGTTCCATTTTGCGCAGAGACGGTGAACGAAGCGAGCCGTAGGAGGGCATAAGGAACGTCTGTTTCGGTCGACGAAAAGGCGAGAGAGATGGCGGAAGAGCGAGAGCTAAATGATGGACAAGAGCGAAAGAGAGAAAAGAAGAACAAACAAAATAGAGGCAACAAGAAAAAAATAACTATCAGACAGTGGGGGGAGAAAACCAATCGCGAAGACACAGGAGAGGGAGAGAAAAGAAAGAATGAGAGAAGAGGCCAGAAAGGGGTTAGAAGACCCAGCGGGAGGAAAAGGACTGTTGGATGCGGAGGCTGGACTCGTCGAGGAGAGGCTGTGGGCGGCCTTGTTTGCTGGCTGGGGTGTGAGTGAAGAAAAAAGGGCGATAAAGGGAGAGGGAGCGAGTGGAAACCAAGCGCGGGAGATCGAATAAAGTGGGCTTTGGTGGAGAGGGTGTGTTGCAGAGTGGATAGCGGACGGTGGTGGATGGCAGCAAAAAGAGAAAATGCCCAAAGTGTGGCAGTGTTCCAGGAATGGGACGGGGCAAAAAGAAGGTAGGGGCGTTTTAGCGTTTTGGCGTTTGGTGTGGTTGAGCGTTTGAGCCGTTACTGCTGTTTTCGCTGTCAGTCTACTCCGTTCCAGACAAGGAGGCAGGGGGTACGGGATCGTTGAGAGCCATGGGGAGCGAGATGTCCTCTGGTGGTATCAGTGTGTCTTACCGTTCCGGATTGGCACAATGAGGTGCGTTGGGAATACGGAGAGGGAAAGAAAACAAGAGTGGGGAAGTCAACACACGGCTGTAATTCGTATGTCGCACACGATAAAACGTTTTCTTCGCAGTAATGTGAACGTGACGTGATAGAAGGGCGTGTCCGGAATGTCGCGGGATGCCAATCAATGCGTAGATGTCTCGGGTTTACGTGGCGATGTCAAAGACGGACGAGGGCCAAGAGAATATCCCATGAAGTGGCGAGGTCGCGATACTCATGAAAGAGAGCGCAAAAGTTTTGTGTGATGGTTGCGAAAATACTAGCCAAATCTATGGGACAGACGAGTCAGGATGTCGCACGTCGCACGTCGGAGTGTAATGGCGATCGCCGTTGAAGATGTTGCGGTTGTGGAGGCCAATGGCTGATGGACAAGGCCACGCGGTCGAGCACGCAGAATGCCAGAAGACCACAAAACCGTGTAGCAGAAATGGATGTCCGTTCGAAAGATGGCGACGGAAAGGGATATTTGTGCGCCCTCTGAGCCTGTTTGTCGTCGTAATTGGTTTTGTGTGTGGGATTTTATTGTGTCTGTTGGGACGATGAAAAGACTGCAATTGGTTTTTTTTTTTCGGAGAAAAGGACAATGGATGGAACGAGGGCGATATCTGCACAGCAGGCTCCCTTATTTGGATTTGTCGAAATGGTGACAGAGAAGAGAAATACGACGTGGAGATGCAAAACGAGGATTTAGAGAAGGGGAAGTAGGAGATCAACGAAACAAACATCAACACAGGACAGAAAAGCTGGGAACGACGGCCTCAAATGGCAAAGTCGAGACAGTTGCCGGAACGAGAAAGAACAACCTTTCGACCGTGACTACGGAACAAGACCATGCGAGATAAAGAAGGAGCGAGGGAGCAAATAGACAGGGGTGTACGGCAAAAAAGAAGGAAGGAACAGAGCCCGAGCAAGGACGGGCAAGACAACCAAGAAATTCCAAGATGCGGGAAAGAATATGCGGGAAAGAATATGTTTGCCAGAAAGAAAAAAAATTACAATCTGGATGAGAGGTGTTTTGTTCCAAAACGGTATGCGGTATAGGATAAGCACGATGAATTGTTAGAGTGGTTCAGCGGCCCAGGAGACTGGACGGTGAGTGTTTGCAAAGCGTCGCTGAGAAGTAGCTTACACGTGAATGTGGCAGGTGGGATGGTGGGGAATGTGGAAAGAGCAAAGGGCAACGAGTCGCCTCGCCGTGTTGGAGCAGTCGTGATACTGAACGTGGCAAATACGGGAGACGATATTGTTTGTTCGCTGGATGCAGGGATGCTGCGCATGCCAGGGGCAATGCATAGGCACATATGCGTGACGTCCGGCCGCATGCAACATCATTGGCTGTCGCTGGTACGAAAGCGGGCAGAAAATGGGAAAGGGAAAAAGGGGACGCTAGCGAAGTGCTGGAAACGATGGAAACGCTTGGTGCAAAACGCGTCCCCTTGAATTTTACCGTTTTTGACACTAGCGTCCCTCACCTTTCGACCCTATCTGGCTGGCGCTCCCTCTTCCTTATGGAGCCCGTTTAGCTCCAGTGAAACGACGAACAGTGTTCCTGGATCGAGGCCGCCATCCTTCTCCACACCCAAAAGCTAGTGGTTGGGACTGGCTGTGAGAAGCCGTTTTTTACTTGCCAATTCTCAATGTTGCTTGCTTTCCCGTATCGCCATCGCCAGTTGAAGCTTCGGAAATCATTTT